GTACATTCTTTGTTAATTCCTTGTTGCCGTCATCTCAGACATATTCAACGCCCCCTCCCCTCCCCTCCCCTCCGCACCTCCCCAAAAAAAACCCTCCCCGCAGAGTGCCCAACAAACAACCAAAACACCCGACACCTCATTCTTCCTCACAATCCCGACCTCCAAAGCAACAACTCAATGAATATCTACCACCGGGAGTCCGTCCGTCCATTTCATGCTATACTATCTACCGCCATTCCTCGAGACAAAAAACCTCCCCCCAACTCCAACTCTAACTCCAACTCTACCTATACCTCTCAAGCCGTAGACGTGAACAGCGTCCTTCCTCAACTGTATGATTCTCTCATTGGCTGAAACATTGATCGCGCTAGTGGCTGTACTCCATACCAATATGATAGAGTTGGAGTCAGTCGGTCAGTCGCTACCATACCTTATCTTATCTTGCGGAATCGGAATAAAAGGTGGCTGGAGATTATATTACCTCACGCATACGCATGCACACGTTCAAGTACTCGTCGTCGCGCAGAGGACCTTCCACCTCGCCATTTCAGAATCATTACACTCTCGCGACGTCTGACGAGGTTGGAACTTGGGACGAGAGGGGTCCCGGCCGAGGCGTTGAGCCTCATATTCGAATACCGTACGACATCGAAAAGCTTTCTATCGCATTGGTATCATATCCTCCGTCTCCACCCCCCCAAAAAAAAGGTGCAAGTCGGATGATGAAGTCCGACCTGCCACCCAACGCCACGCCACGCATGCGATGCTCAAAACTTTTCATCAAGCCAGCCTCCCTGTCCGTGATTCGTCTTTTATAGGATCCCGCCATCGCAGAGCGGAGGATTGATGCCTTGCCTCGTATCACAATCCTTCCTTGTCTCATCCGCGAGGACATTCGTCTAGCTGTGTCGCCTGATGGTCCGGTCGATCTTCCTTGCACTGCTGCTCGTCCTCTCACTTGGCCTGACCACCGAAGAGGGTGTGCACCGGAGCGTTGAGCTTATCCCTGCCCTTGAGGAAATCCAGCTCCATCATGAAAACGTATCCGAGAAGGTGCCCGCCGAGTTTCTGGACGAGGTTGCCGGCTGCTTGTGCTGTGCCGCCTGCAGTTGTTCTGTTAGCCTGCTACTCCAACATCACACGAGCTCGTGCTGAATGACTCACCCGTCGCAATGATATCGTCCACAATCACCACCTTCTGTCCCGGCTTGATCGCATCGCTCTGCATCTGAAAGACATCCTCGCCATACTCCTTCTGATATGTTTCCGTAACGCACTCTCCCGGCAGCTTGCCCTTCTTTCTGACCGGCACAAATCCCGCACCCAGCCTCAACGCCAATGTCGGTCCAAACAAGAATCCTCTGCTCTCCAGTCCCACGACAACGTCAATCTCGCTCTTCTGGCCCGTCTTCACGCCGAAGCGCTCGGCAATCTGGAGCTCGAGCGCGGCGATGAGGTCGGAATGCAGCTCGTGGTTGGCGAACAGCGGCATGATATCCTCGAACAGGATGCCAGGCTCGGGGAAGTCGGGGAACTGTCGCAGGCCGTTCTGCAGCTTTACTTTAAGACTGGCGAGTTGGGCGGGACCGGAGGGAGCGGTGGTGGTGAGTCCTCCTTGGGCGGCATTGTCGTGGAGAGAGCTGGCAGAGGCGCCTTGAGGTGGGTTGATGTTGGGGTGAGAGGAGGAGGAGGAGGCGGTGGTGGGGTCCGGAGCGGAAGCTGGTGGGTGAGAGGCCGTAGCAATCGCAGCAGGGTCCGAAGTGCTTTCGGCGAACTTGGGGTCTGGGTGAGAGGTGTGGGCGGGCGGAGGGTGTTGGTGGGAGGAAGAGAGAGGATCAGACATGGCGAAAGGAGGAGGAGGGAGATGGGACAGAAAAAGGTTGCTGGTGTTCTGCTGGTCGGGGCAGGATGGCGTGGCACGAATATCAAATTGAGTGCAGGGACCACAGCAGGGCTCTGCGCTGGCCTGTCAGACTGGCAGGTGTGGGTGTGGGCGTGCTTGCATGTGCGGCTATGCAATCATGCGGGAGCTGGTATCGGACGTATCGTATCGTATCGTATCGTATCGTATCGTATCGTAGCGTAGCGTATGGGGGGTGTCGGGCGGAGGAGGTGTGGCGTGGCGTGGAGGAGAGCTGGTGGAAATTTTTCCGAATCACTCTGTGAGTAGAGTACCCCCCTTCACAGCTCGGGAGCGGAGGAGGGGGGTGTGAGTGAGCTGCGAACGGTGATTGAGCGGCGGCAGATGGCAGTAGGCAGAGGAGATGCGGCCGAACCACGATTAGCCCAGCCGCCGGGGCGACCAGTGTCTTAGCCCACGGGCCGCGAGCCCGGCGAAGCACAGTGAAGGGGGGAGCGTGTCTCCTCTCACCAACTACTACTCCGGTCGTGTTGTTGGCCTGGCCAAGCCAAGCCAAGCCAAGTGAGTGATGATGAGAGTGGATTGCGAAGGCAGCTCCCTTACACGTGTTGCGCGTGGGATGCGAGATGGCGTGCGAATGAATGGAACTGAATGGAGATGGAGGAGCTGTGGAGGGGTGGAGGGGTAGTATTGATGGAAATTGATTAAGGCACGCCCAATCACCAATCAGCGACGACAGGCACGGCACGGCACGGCAATATCACACACTCAACACACCCCATCACACTCACACACTCACACACTCACACACTCACACACTCACACACTCACACACTCACGACACCGAACAAAGACTTACCTGCATGCTCAATCATGCGTGCGCCACATCGGCCATGATCCATCTCATCGCGACAGAACACCACATATACTATACTACTTACTACAGCAAACACACAAAGAACGTGAGAGATGGACCGGCGTGCATGCATCAGGCATCAGGCATCAGGCATCAGGCCTCACCCTCGCAGCCTGCAGCGGCACCCGGCGGCGCTTCCTCGCGAGCGAGCTTCTAGAACTCTTCCACGCATCGCAGCAGCAACGCGCATCTCCTTCCTTCGTTCAGCTGCTGGCTCCGACTACTAGTCACTACGTACACATGTCGTCGCGGTGGTAGGACTTCGGCGGGTGCGGCAGACCGCCCCCCCCCCCGGCTCCCTCGCCAGCTGCTGCCTGCTTGCCTGCTCTCCACCGAATCTTAGTACCGCACCGACGAGCTCGTACGGACTCAACCTCAACGCATGCGGGTCGACCGACGCCACATCATGCATGTCCTACTGCACGACGATCCGATGCGCCGCGGTCGCTGCGAGTGATTCATCATTCACATGTCAAGCCATGATTCATTTACCTCACATACCTGCTCAACGACCGCGTGCCCTGAATGAATCAATGGCTTCGGTTGCTATCACTCGCTGCTGCTGGTCCGACCTGGTGGAGCCGAGATGGAGAGTGCTCTAGAACTCGAAGGGAGGCCTGTGGTGTTGGGATGTTGAGATGCCCAGCATGATCCCCTTTGTCCATCCATGTCTTCCCACGCTTGTCCCACCCGCGCAGCCGAACGCGTATCCCCAGACGGGAAGGAGCAAGCAGCCCGTCTCACCTCGATGGCCCAACCAGCGGTCTAGTCGGCGCCTGCTGGGAGAATGTGTGATGGGTGATTCCGATCGCCTTATCGCCTGTCTTGCCAATGCTACCACACTACAAGTCGGGAAGACTGCACTCACACTGGTGGAGCTTCCCCCTTCGCCATGCTTGCGACTTCATTGGCACGCGATGCCCACCGAACAAAGGCAGAAGGCCGATCTGGTGCTCTGTTGAAATACTGGCCATGTCACCTGCCAATGTTTGCCTCATCAAATGTCATCTGCCAATGTTTGCCTCATCAAATGATCTCTGGCGGGAGTTACCTTCGCAATGTCAACTGATTGCTTGATGGTGTCACATGAGTGCAACGGCGCACTCGACGATTTGGAACGACGCATGAGTCGCAGAGCATTGTCTGCCATGGTACCGCAACCCTCCGTGAGGCGTGGCCCTGCGAGTGTTGAATCTGAAAAAAGCACTGAAGCAACTGACCCAGAGCTCTACCTCCTTCTCCAACTAGCGACCCGTATCGATTTCCACGCGTGCTCATCGAACTACCTACTCAATAACAACGCGGCTGCGGCTCGCAGTCTTGAGCTGATCATAGGGGAGAAAATTGGTTACTAACCAACCGGTGTGTTCTGAATCGGCACTTGACGAGAAAGGAAGAATGGCGGCGGAGTATCAGTACTACCAGGAAAGATGCACGTCGGGAGACAGTGGTCCGGTCAGAGCGGAGAAATAGTTTTTGAGAAGACCTTCCAGACTTCGAGCCCAAGATGTGTCAAGCGAGCGGTATTCGCAGCAGGCCGCGATAGCACACAGCTTGAGACGCGTTTCCCTTTCTCACGTGTCGCCGGTGGCGAGTTGCGGTGCGCGAAGGGACGAAGTCATTGGCGTCGGTTCCCAACGATCTCGGGGCACCTTGAAAGACTCGCCGATTTGAAAAATTAGAAACCCTCCGAAAATGAAACATCACCGTCCGCAGTCAGGGGACGTGTGTTGTGTGCGCCAGGAAACGATCCCAGCACGAACATGCACAAGCACAAGCACCTGGTGGAGACAGAAATCTTGCAAGCGGTAGGTGGAGATGTGGCAGATCGACGGAATCAGCTGGAGTTCGGCCCCATCGCGAGGAGATCGTAGTCTTACGTCGTAGACTTTGGTCGAAAGATGGCAGAAACTAAACTGGGGGACTTCATTGATCTGTTAGACTGTGACCTGACCTGACGCATTGCGTCTGCAATTCCTCACGAAGCTCAGCGTCCATCGCATTGAGTGAGTCGGCGATAGGAGCGCGTCGTCGTCGTCGACGGTGGACTCTGACTTGAGCTTCGCGTCAGATCTGCCGGCGACGCCCGTGTCTCGAGCGCCGGGGTGACTTGCTGGATGGAGCTGCCGGGGCTGCTCTCGTTCGGAGTCAGTGCTCTGAACTCGGAACTCGTAGCTGTAGGCTCCAAGGGGCGCTGGCAGCGGAATATTCTGTGCTGCTCTGATCCTGAGGGGGGTGCCTTGGGACTTCTTCCAGCTGGAGGCACCCAAGAACGCCGACGTGCACCGGTGCCTTCGGCTTGCAAATCGTAGATGCTGAGGGCGTTGTTGGTCACGGTTGAGCTCGTCGATCCAGTCGGTCGTGTACTTGGATCCGCCGAGGATCGTCGGGAGCGCCCATGGTAAGGGCGTCAATAAGGACGGCCTTCGGGTCTCTCGCGCGCTGGTTATCGACGTCTCGAACGATGATTTTTTCCCGAAGATCCTCGCGACAGCAGGTGGAACGGCCGGCCGAAGAGCAGCGAAGCAGATATGAATGCCATCGAGATAACTTTGCGATTCGATAAGGGGCTGTATGAACAAGGTGCCACAGATGTCAGGAGCGATGATGCCGCTCGCTGCAGTGGGCGCCTTCTAGACTCCTCTCTATCTGTCCTCCATCAACCGCGGCATCATCTCCTTTATACGAGCGTTCGCCGGCGGGTTATCTGAACGACGGCTACCGGCAGGAGCTTGACGACACGTTGAGAGAACGCCACCGCGAGATTTAAGCGGTGATATATGAGCGGAAGAACAAGACGATCCAGAACCTTTACCGGGAGAAGGGAGACGATGTCGAGAATTTACTAGGACGGTCCAGAAAGCCCGAAGAGGAAGAAGGGCGGAATGGATAGCGCCTTTCAGCGGTCAATCCGTCGACTCGTCAGTCTGCTAAGCGCGACAGGCCCCCTCCGCCCCTAACTAAGCATTGAGATTTCTTGCCACCGCCGGAATGTGCCAGCGGACGTTTGCGAACTTCACACCGCCGGAAGTTTCACCAGCGCTGGCAAGGTTAGCAAGCCACGCATTAAGCCAATCTTCCGAGTCCCCTACCCTTTCTCAACTGGCCTTATAGACTCCTTTCGCCACGTGGATCCAGATATTCAGCGTCTGCGGTACTCCAAAATCATCGAGGATGACGCTGCCTGTGACGTTTCGCGCGTCTGCAAGGATTGTTGAGACGTTCGAGGAGAATTATTAGGGGTGTCAAAGGGTCTAAAGGCTTGGGAGATTGGGTTGTTTGGGGCTGCTGTAGGATTGTTGGCGAGGCCAGCCAGAGTCTGATGTATGTATGGGAGGACGAAGATATCTTAGAAGAAGGTGGCCTTGACAGATCAATATTGCTTCTAGACAGTAGTTTGGACAGCTGATGCGGCATGATGAAAACCGCTTAATTGTCTTGAACCGAAAAGGACTTAGTGAAGGTAGTCATTCGACCGTGTGCAGTAACTCTGGAGTCTGGACGGTCTCCTTAGCTCTCGCGGCTGCTTTCCACGCGTCGGGCCCGCGGTGACAGGACTTTGCACGTCGGATAGAATTGACTCGCGGTTCAAATCACGATGTTCGGTGGATGTGTGATGATCTTCCCAGAATCCAAAAGCTGATGCCGTCGACGGCCGTCACCTCCACTTCAGTGTGGCGCGCAGTGCCTGCAAACACCCAGAAGGAAGCACATAGCGCATCTCTGCGTCAAGAGTGTATGTGGAGATGGTTGCTGAGATGTAAAGTCAACAAAAGCCAAGAATTGGAGCGATGGAGGAAGTTGGAAGTTGGTGATAGCGAGCAGCTGAAAAATGACTCCTCAGTCTCCACTCTACCATATCGCTGAAGGGTACTCCCGCTAGCGCGGCTCACCTCACAACCAATCGTTTCAAAGCTTACGGCTATACCGCAGCGCCCAGCCATCCCATCTCAACCTCACCATCGCCTCCCTTTCCCTTCTAGTAGTCATGTCACTCTCAACAGAAAAAGAATCAATCTCCTCCTTCACCACCAAGAAGATCAACAGCACAACCTTCGTGATCCGAGAAGATGACGCGTACGGAGAACACCCATTCATCTACGTCAAGCTCCATCCACTCGCTCCCGTCATCATAATCTCAGACACAGGCTGTGACGAGCCCAGCGAGAAATACAAGCACGGTAATCTCTACCACGCGCGTCTCCTTTGTCTCTTCTCTTCTTCTCTCTTCTGCTCTTCTGATTCTTCCGCCAGCCCGCTACACCCACCTCCGCCCCTACCTCGAAACCCACCCCGTGAAATCCAACAACAACCAACCCCTCAACCCGTCCGGGAAACTCCAATACCTGATCCTCCTAACCCACTGCCACTACGACCACCTCGGCGGAATCGCCCAATTCCTCGAAAGCGGCAGCACAACAGAAATCATCGCCTCCGCCGCCGGACGCGATTTCCTCCAGACCGATCTCGGAACCCACGGTCTCTTCGACGCCATCGGAAAACCCATCCCATTCTTCCAGATCACGCACTGGGCTCAAGCGTTCGAGAGATTACACTGGCCTCTGATGACCTCCCAAGCCCACCTCACCCACACGGCCGGTGGGCATCATGATCCGGTGGATCTCGGAATCACAATCATCCCGACCCCGGGCCACACGCCCGACGAGATGGCCTGGTACGATCACGACGAAATGCACCTGTACGTGGGCGATAGCATGTACCCCGAAGGGCCGGAGGATGGAATGCCCATTCTGTTCCCGTCGGAAGGCGGGAATCTCATCGAATATGGTTTTAGTATGCAGAAATTGCAGTTTCTCGTTCGCGGCGAGAATGGACGCGCTGTCATCACGAGCACCACGATCAACAACAACAACAACAACAACAACAACAATGTCAACGACGACGACGACGACGAAGACTTCGTGCAAATCCCCCGTCGCGTAAAACTCGCAGCAGGCCATCAGACGCATTCCGAAGACGCGGAGGAATTCTTCGAAAGAGTCGGAACTCTCTGGCGGGGCATCTTACAAGGCGAAATCCCCGTCGTGAAGAAGAAATTTCCTGATGCAGGGGAGGAGGGGGAGGAGGTATGGCGCTGGCGAGGGAACGATGATGCCATCTCCTTGGAAGCGCCGAAGAGGATGATGGAAGACGCGCGGAGGTTCTTTCTTTATAGAGGGTCGGATGTTTTGGGAGATAAGGGTGGTTCGTGGCTCTGATGAGGTTGAGGTTGAGGTTGAGTGGTATACACAATGCTGCGATTTCTTCACGAGAGGTACGTACTCAACAGATCCGATGGCCAATCGATTGGAAAAGAGATAGAACGAACAACCGCCCACCTACCTATGATGGATATAGTGCCAATTCAAGAAGGATGCTTCGTGTGTGGTGAGTAAGGTAGCGGAGGTAGCTGAAAAGTCCCTCTAGTCTTTTCACGTGATGGAAAAAACTTTCTAGCTACGGTACCTTACCCAGCTACCTTAGCTCATCGATTTGGCTAAGATAGATGCGGGGAGTCACGTAGATAGCGTGATGATCCAGTGAAGGAGCAGCTTGTTCATACATACCCTCACTTCACTGCTCATCAGCCATCATTTTCTTCATCTCTCCATCCACGAAGTCATGGGTACGCCCCATCCAGAATACGTGAACGGTCTGCGACACTGTGGAGAATGGAATACGGGTACGTAGCTTACGTTCGACAACTTGGAAGTGCATGTGTGGGTGAGCTGAGTGAGCCGACGAGCAAAATGGGGCTGGGGCGGGCTGTTCTCACTGCAACAACATAAGACCGCAGTACCGGGCTAGGGATCTCGTTGATTCTGAATAAGATTTCTTCACTGATACATGGCCGACAGGCCACGACGGATCACCACAAGGCGTAGAGCTCGAGACGCACCCTACGGCGCGCGGAAACTCGCGCAGCGCTTGCTCGAATTCCTCCGGGAGGAGATCAAAGACGTGTGTGTGTATGCCATGCCATGCCCCATCATCGCGCAAACTGTTTTCTGATAACGATGATGACGATGGCTCTCCAGCACTCCCGCCCGGGCATGACCTCGAAATGCGTCGAAACCGAGGCTACGCTACGGCCCCGGAAACGCGTAGCGTACTACGAAGACTTTCTGCGCGCTGACAATCCAACGCGGAAAGGAAACCAAGAAGGCTGGGCTGGGCTGAGGGGCGTCGCACGAGATCGACGGCCCCAGGTCAGGTACCGCCGCGCCGTGGCAAGATCATGCTGCCCTGCGCCGGCCGAGAATCTCTCCATTTCCCTGACGGCCGTGTATTTGGACTCGCAGACAGAATTCGCCGGGCAGTACCACAAGCATCCCTGCCTATGGGGGATCAACTGCGTGGTGCCGATAGATGCGACGTTTGAGCTGGAGGGTTTGCCTGCCTAGGGGGGATAATTGGAGGGGAGCTGGGTGGACGAGTTCGGGGCCCGGGACGCATCGTTATCTGAGGAGTCGAGGGGGGGAGGGCGTCGCGTTCTTTGTCCTACCGAGTGCGAGGATCGCGTATGATGCCGAGCCTGGAGTGTTGAGCGCCGCGGTTGAAGACAGCATTGTGACGTCCAGGCTATATCATGACTGCCAGCTGATCCTCCACGGTCAATAGTCGTTCGTCCTGAACCATGATTCTGGGCTCACTGGTTCATAATCCCTTAATCTTCTCGCTTATCCTGCTGAGATTCCTCTGAACGATCCACATGATATCGCGTCCAGTAGCCAGAAGAAGTCGATCGCACACGTGTCTCACTCGACATCCGTGGCCTATCCGCTGATCTCCTGTCCAAGCCAACCGATCGTGCTGCTCCGTACATGAATCTCACCGCGGAGCTCTCGGAGGGGAAAGAGGATGAGAACATCGCATACGACACGGATTACGATCCAGACGAAGATGACCACCACTACTCGCGTAAGGACATCGACGACTCCCCAGTCGAGCGTCAGGTCGCTCCTCATCGTCGTTTCGGCCACCAGGATCCGGTATGCCCTCAGCTCTATCATCTGAGTGGCATGCGTGCCGCGAGCAAGCGCTTGCTCCTGGCGCACGGGAGCGATTACATCTGCAGATGAGGATGGGCGAGTCAACAACGAACCGACGGTCTGCGCGGTTCGCCGGGCGTGGACCTTCTGTCACCTGTGCTACTAGGGAGAGATTGAAAGACCGCTAGGCGTATGCCAGCTGGAGCCCTGCCTCCCGGGCAGTTGCGTCGTACTGGAAATTTCTACGCGTTAAGTATCCAGTCTCCAGGGACGGTCTGCGAGATCCGCTAGCGCTTGCTCGTAGTGGAGTCGCAGCTCGCGCAGACGATTTACTCGTCCCTGCACGTTGACTCCGACCTAGTAGAAGATTAGCCAGAGAAACAGGCTACGAAGCGGTAGCTATACTCACACACTCGCACCCCGGCTTGTGGATAGGACGATAGTAGTCGCAGGCGCGATGAACTGGACGGCCGTAGCGACGTCCGTTCGCGATGCTCTTGCAGTAGTGCCTACAGCATAGGTATACTCGCGGCGCCTCGTAGTCCAGGTCGTTATCGTCCCACACGAAGTGGCGATCTTCGAGCAAGTCGCCCTTCTTAATGAATGCGGGAAAGTAGGGGTACGTGCCGGCTGTTGTGCTGTTGATGGGTAGTGGATCGGTTGTGAGTGGGTGTTAGTGTAAGCTATAGACAGGTCAGCCTCCGAACAGCTTGCGAAGCGGCACCGAACTTACCTTAGGCTTAATGCAGGAGGAGAAGACGGTTCTAGAAGTAGGAGAAGGCAATGGTAGTATATGAGCTGGAGTTCTTGGATTTGTCGCGCTCTTGCGGAAAGGAAAGAGTCGAGGGAGTCAAGATTGCCAGGAAAGCACGGACGTCGAAGTCACATGGTCCAATCGCCCCCGCATTTACTGAGCGAGAAATCATTATTCCAGCAGCTTCCAAGCACTGACTGCATGCTGACTTTCCTCTATTGAGTGTTTGCTTGCTGCACGTGCACACCTACGAAACGCGCATCAGGCTTGCACGTGGCACTCGGACTCCTGTGTGCAAAGGCCAACAACAATGTCGGACCACCTCTCTCCACCGCAGGAGTACCCAAGCGGACACAATTCATCGCCGTCTCATCACATCACCAGCGACGCAGCCAGCTCGAGCTCCACGCAGCAAAGGATGTTGGGCACGAAGTGGACACAGGAGACCGTGACAAGAATTCGCTTTGTGCACGCGGATCTTGGAGCTTGGACCTGGATCGACCCACTCACAGTACCTGACCACTGGGAGCTTTTCTCTGAGAATGGCAGAATACGATTTTGGAATCCTCTCACGGACAACATCGTAGCGGAAGAGGATGAAGTGGCGGTTGAGATTGAGCGCGAGAGAGAAATAGGGGAATGTGAGTGCTCTTGGTGTCTATACAATGAGAATGGATGTTGACATGGATTAGATGTGGCCGAAGGGACGATCAGTGCTGCAGAAGAACTCGAACGCCAAGCTAGTCCTGCGCTAGAAATAGGCAATGCTGAAGCTCAACCCTTCGAATCTGCTGTTTTGGTGGGTCGGAAAGAGGAGAAGAAGGGTCCCATGCAGACGGAATCTCTCCATCCATTTGCGAGACAGAAGCACGGAGGAAAAGCACAGAAGGGAGGAAAGAAGAAGAAGAAATGAAGTTGTGGCAATGCTTCATGATATTGCCATCTGAAGCTGGAAACGCACACGCTCGAGCCGTTGATAGACTTTTAAGTCGGATGCAGAAGTTACAACTGTGATACCTCGCCTTTCACTTCCTACGGTTCCATCTTTTCCTAGTCCTCGCTGAGATCGATAGCCTACGCCTCTATGGTACTGTCGCTAGCGTCGTGAACGTGATAAAGAATTCGGCGTCGATGTCGTCTACCGCCGAATACGGATGGATGCATGTGTTTTTCGGAGTGAGGCGGATTCTGATAGCCAAGTAGCACATACGCCATCGTTTGGCTGGTCGGTCCCGAAATCACGCGTCAGGATCACATACGTTGCATGACCCCTTGACTGCTGGCTGGCGAAGTTTTCTGTGACATGCATGATCAGCGTTTTGTATCGAATGGCAGCACGATGTGGGCTTATCGTCTTGATATCCGATCCAGCTCCAGTCAGTGTCATAGTCGTCGTGAAATTTGGGTCAGAACTCCGTCCAGTCCCTGAGCACGCTGTAGATGTGGACCTGAGAGTGGCAGAATCGATGTTTTCGTACAGCCCCGAAGCCGCCGCCTTCTGTATGATTGATACTGGAATGCTCATTGATGTTTCTGTAAAGGCTCCCCATCACTTGGAAGCAGAAGCTCTCAGGGGACGCAGACGCCCGAGGATACTTCATCCTTGAGACAGCATTGAGTGATGATGCAGCGTTCTGGGTGAGTCTTGGATTTCTCGGCGTACGCGTTTTCCATCATGGCGGAGATAAGGCGCTTCGTCCAGGAAGTACTCCAGAGTCAACTGTAGTAGAATTGCGGAAAGCTGTCTAACCTCTGCCGTGCCGCAACTCGGAGGTGAGTTCTCAAGCTTTCACATGTGAGCTGACCATGATGAAACGACGCTAGTGAAGCCGGTGGCCAATGCGTACCGAGTGAGGTTTGTAGAACAACAAAATCCGAGATTTTTGCCGCACGCAGCTCTTCAGCCAGAAACCACCTCCTAAGCCTACCGCGTACGCCTAGCGACAACAACAACACCAATTCCAACAGCACCGCTCTCTTCCATCATAGCAACAATGGCATACTCCTCCCAAGTCTCCGGCCCCGTCCCAGGCGATGACATCTCCGTTTACGTGAACGGCACCACCCTCTCCTTCTCCGACGGCCATAGCTACACATTCATCAAGAAGCCGCACCTGCTCGCCGAGGCACTGCGCCTCAAGGAAGAAATTCCTCGGGGTGCAGACCCCACGCAATTCCCCATCTTCAACAACTGGCTCGCAAAGGTGGGCGACAAGGAGATGGAAGCCATCTGCCGGAAGCAGATGTACGAAAATGAACAATTCCAAGAGCGTAAGTTCACCGCCCACCTCTAGAGTCTCGTTGGAACAGCAGCTAACATTCTATGCCTGCAGGATTGTGGCAGCGCAACTACGCCTATGGCATGGGCATGAACTCCTACCTCGCCTGGCAAGCAGACTCCAACGGAGTCTCCAAGCTCATCACCAAGGAAGGCCTCCCAGGCACCGAATGGGAGGAGAAGAACGAGAAGAAGCTCACGGAGCATGAGCGGGCCACCACCGTGGAGGCGCTCATTGGTGCCGTGGAAATGGACAGCCGAAACGAGGTTGAGACCATGGAGGTGATGCGGCGTCTGGGCGTGTGGTGGCCTTGCACGGAGAAGGAGGAGGAGTTGATCTGGGCCCATCTGCAGCAGATGAGGGACCTCGGTGTAATTCCACGTAGATAGGGGATATGCCACGAAGTGGCAACACAAGCACAATGCATGTCGTGATGTGAGAATTCAGATGCTTAGGTTCCAGCTCTCCGTGGCCTGGGTGAGAGACCATGCGACTGAAGGGGGTTTCAGTCGATTCTACTCGAAACACTACTTGGGGATGTCCTTGGAGATCGTTCAAATCCACGTCTACGACTCTTACTTAGGCGAGCCCTCGTAATGGAGCATTTTCTGTTCACTTGAATCGGCCGATATCCTCCACTCTTTCGGAATGCAGCTCAGAAGTTGCAAACCGCTGGCATCACATCCGCATCCATTACAGAGGTTCCGACAGGCGGTCCGCAGCTGGATCAGGCCAACTGTCTTGCACAGAGCGTTGTCGGAACACTTCAGGCTCGTGATGCGTTCTTCAATGTCAGCGTCTTCACTTCGCGACTAGCCACGCTGCTGAAAGTGCTTGCTCGAACGCGTGCTGGCCTCATTGGAGATTTATTCGTCGCAGACGGTCCTGTCAATCAACTGGTCGAACAGATCTTCATAGTCTCTCACAATGCAAGTGTGAGCAATCTGCAGAAACATTTCAGGTGTTGCCTGGGCTATTTCGAAACGCGGTCGCCAGGGCGGCTGCAGGGTACCAAATCAAGTAAGAAAACTCTGTGTATTTGGTGTTGGAGGTGATGATCGATACAACGTTGTTCATGATGAGCCTCGCACAGAGCGCCTTGCGAGTTTGAGTGGACCCGTCATCCTCCTGGTAGGGCGTTTTGACCAGCAGATGGCGATCATCGTGTTACGGTAGATTCCGCGGACATAACACTCGTGTTTTCCAGAACCATTCGAGGGCGTGATCCCACTGTCGCCTGCCTGCTTCTCCCAGATCGATAGCGATATCCACGTTCTGATCCTGACTTATACTGAAGCCGCTTTCACAAAACCTTTGCTCTCGAATCAAGCGAAACGATCGGGATATGTCGAGGCTGTGAAGACTAATATGATCTCGAAGAGAGAACGTACTGCTGTGTTGCCATTACGGTGAGCAATTCTGGTTTTTCAATGTCGATTGTTCTTCTGTAGTCGTCCGTGATGGCATATCTGTGTGGCTTCGTCGACATGTTATGCTCGAAGATGGCCATGCTGCTGCGCTCTCGTGCTGCTTCTGCGATATGGATCTCCGAAAATAGTTCTAGTTCCTTTAGGGCGAGAACATACCATACTCGGAGTCTCTTCCATCAGCTGCCTGTCCGTATCCTCAGATGCGTCCCGTGGATGCCAAATACAGTACCTCGCGTCCTCTTCAGAGCCTATATCTGGAATGCGATTGCTTATAATAATACGCGCATCAAGTGCCAGGATAACGTCGAGAACCCGACTCTCAGCTGCAGCGCGAAGCCGTCATGAAATCGAATCCCTCGAGTCGTACAAAGACGGAGTAGTGAGAAGCCAAGTGATTGCGGAACGCGCTGTCCTTCGAGGGCGGCGCATAGGATGGTTCTCAGATTGGCTTGCAAAGTCAACCTGCGCTCCTGACGCGGACGCAACCTCAGTGATTGATATAGCGACAGTCGCGTCCATCGTTCCCATTTGGGAATATGAAGGCAAACGATCAGAACAAAAGACCTCCTTTGCCATCCAAAGTCCTGTTGTACCATCGAATCTACTTTCGAACCTGCATGCATTTATCGGTGGAGATGGAATGCAGTGTTCCCAGAGTGCTTGTTGTCTCGCTTGGCCTCGACGCTGTAGAGCTTCAGTTGGCATTCGAACACGAGCTTGCGCATGGTATATGTCCATCTCGGCTTCCTAGTTGTGGTGTGTTGACTCACTCTCAATGTTGCGTATAGCGTAGCGACAATTGCAAGTCTGTTCGAGGAGTCACGGAAGGCATTGCAGCCAGCGGATCGAAACACGCTACGAAGTGGTGATTTCTTCTCATGTCCGAAAGGCGTTCAAAGCAAGGCATGCCAGTGGGTGTTCCTAATACTAGTAGTTCCCAATAAAAGTGGTTCCAGTGTTTCTTTTACATCTTGTTGAATGAGACTGCTATGCCGATGATGCAGCATTTGCAGTAGATAGGGCCTTCGATTGGCCGCAGGACGGGTTGTTGTGGGATGTTGGCGCGCGAGACGCAGATAATGTCACTTATTCCGCGCAAGTCTTGCGGATAGCCGGCGGGTTTTGATATATTCCGGCATCGATTATATCAGCTTGCCGGGCTGGTGAATGGGGTCACGACTCGTGAAGAGTCGCGTCGCCACGGTCTAAACAATTGCGCTGACGGGCAGCGCGCCGTAACGTGCGTCGAGATGCTCTGTCCAAGTCGGCGCCTTGCTGATAGTCGTCCAATAGGTCGTCACGGTGCCTCGGTGAGGCCTCCTTTAACGCCTTCCTCCTACCTTTCTTCTCCCTACTGCCAGCCTGCGCTTGCTCCTCCACCGGGTGCGCCTTATCATAAGCCTCCAACAACTTCTTCGCATCCGCCAAGTCCTCCATATCGTACTAGACATTATGGCCTGCGCTATATCCCATCCACTTCACCAAATATTGCAGGATGGGCTGCCCTCGACGCGTGCGGGTACGGCGCTCGAGTAGGCGCTCGATTTCGTAGGAAGGTGCATCGGCCGGCTCATCCGTTGCCGCTGTAACGACTGGGCCAGGCTCGTGATAGGCCTCACGGCCGAACGGGTCGGGCTCCTGCGGGGGCTTCTCTAGCTAAGTAATAGAAAAGATAAGGTGGAGTCCAGACATTGCAGGTGGCAGCTCGAGTTCGAAGGCCAAGGGGCCGATACGGCGGAGCACTCGAAACGAAAGGAGGTTCTCACGAGCGAAGGAATAGTCCACTTTCATCGGAGCCGGCGCAGACTTGCCGAAGATTCTCAGAACACCTTGATCCTAATCTCTTGGACATAGGCATTCGGACGTATGTCGTCTTTGGAGGGAGGCGTAGTTCGTCAGTCCTAGCGGGCCTAAGCTGGATCAGAGCGCACAAGCAACACTTCCTTAAAGGCTTGCAACTAAGCTGGGCGGCTCACGCTTCCGTTTGATGAACCATGTACGCCATCGGGAGATAATTTCGGTCCTCTAGAGTGTCCCAAACAGCTCTAAAGCGCCCGCAGACAACGAGCAAGGTTTTCGGAAACTTGATACCTTGTATGACTCACGTCCGTGACCAATACTCGTTCTGACGAAGCTCAAACACTGCAAAGACATCGTCCTCAGTCAGTGTTTGACCAGCATTTGACCAGGGTGCCGGTACTTCGTCAAGAGTAAAGGCTGTAGAACCGCAAATGCTGTGGCCGTCTTTCCAGTCCCATCTCCCACCCATGTGATCGCTTCGCTCGCACGCCAGTATATCTCGCCCATGAGGTGGACCTGATGATTGAGCTCGGTAACATTGGCTTGATCGATGCACACAGAGTCAATCCAGACGTAAGATCACACAGGAAGCTCCAGAGGTTGTGAAGCCCGCCAGGCATTCGGCACGGCGAGAGACTGCTGGTTGCCAATAGTCCCCGCAATACGTGCCCCAATCGATATGAGATGCCGACGTCATGAGGGACTGATTCCAGATGATGATTCTCGATGTCAAAGCGGGACTCGTTGTGATCCAGCTTTGCTAGGTATGGTCTTGAGCAGTCGGATCTGATTACCCTGCAGCGGTGCATGGCAGAAAGTCATATTCGCCCGCTGCCCTTCTGACTTGTACTCCTCTCCCGTTTTCATTCAACCTCGATAAGATTTGACAAAGTATCGAGTCTGCGATGATACTTTATTTTGGTCCTTCTTGTCGTCGGTTAAGATCAGCGTGTGCCCACTCGAGGAAGTTGACGGCGGCCTACAGAAGGAGCTGATCAACAAGCAGAAGACCACTCAGCCTCAGCGAGACTTGGCGGTACGCAGCCTGGTCTGTGTCTGCAGTCGACTCAACAACCTGGCTGAAATATGGCGCACCGAAGCTGCTGAAAAGAATAATATGTTGCTCCGGCGTTTACTCCCTCGATACTTCTCAGAGACTTAAGAATGAGCCATAGGTCCTCCGCGGTCGAATACACGCCGGCAGAAATGGATTCTCGGTTCGTCGATCCCGAAGTAGTGAACGTCTTGCTTCCATCGAAGAATACGAGCAGGCTGCGACGTCTCTGCGGAGCTACCGCCATGCGTCCAGCGAACCTCGAATCCTCACGATCAGGAGGTTTCCATATGATTTCTCGCGATAGCGGCAATACCCCTTGACTAAGCGGTAAAGTGTACTTCTGGGCACGTCAGATTACTGTCGAGAGATTGTGTGGTGAAGGAAGAGGCTGCCTCCTACTCAAGAGTGTTTGAAAAAGGGAAAAGATAGGGCGCACGACAGAAGATAGGTCATGCATTGACGCCGGAACATCGAGCGTTGGCGTCAAACTTTTGCTCCGGTAGTACGACCGTTTCGGCGAGGACATGTTCTTGAACACATAGCCTTCTTGGATAGCTCTCGTTCAACCGCATTGCCTGCACTGGACATGGTAGAGCAATACAGCTTCGGGTGGCGTCATGCCTCATCAATTCGTTGCAACGGCAGTGTCAAAGCCAGAATCAAGTAGTACGATTTCATGCAGTTTCCAACCACGGGTTCGGTATCTCCATTTTGAACGCCCAAAAAATCACCGCCTGAATACCAAACTCCAAGATTCCGCCAGGTTATGAATCAAACCATTGTTTTGATACTTTTCGGACCAGACCTTAGCTGTACAGCTTCTTCTCCACACCAATCATGCCGTGCACGTTGCCCTCTGCCTGCGCGCTGGCAGTGCGGAACTCAAATCGCACATCACCGCTGATGACACCCTCATGCAGCTTATGAAGAGACTCCACGCCGATGTCTTGTAGTGAATGCTGTACTCCAGCGAGGAGATACGGAATGAACTTCGTGACAGACCCACGGTCCAGAACGCTGCCAGACACGCCCTGAGCGACGAGAAGCTTGTCACCCTCGGAGAAGTAGCGTGCAGTACCGGCATTCTTAGCAGTGTTGTTTGTCTTGTCGCCTGCGCCGCCGGCCTTCTTGTCTTCCATGGCATCAATGGATCCCATACCTCGATAGGTCTTCCGAAGTTGACCGTCAGGGCCGACGACGTAAGCGCCGGGGGACTCGGTGGTAGCGGCGAGAAGACCGCCCATCATGACAGTGCTAGCACCGAGTGAGAGAGCCTTGACGATGTGACCGACGTTTTGAATACCTCCATCAGCGATGCAGGGGACGCCAAACTTGCTGGCAAATTCTGTCACTCGGAAGACGGAAGTTGCCTGGGGCCGTCCAACAGCCATGACTTCCTGTGTGATACATGCAGATCCTGCGCCCATACCGATACGTAGGCCGTCAACACCAGCCTTGATCAAAGAAGCGGCTTGGTCTCGGGTGACGACATTACCACCAATGACTTGAAGGTTAGGAAACTTCTCCTTGATCCAGCGCACCATCTGGAGTTGGTAAATGGAGTTGCCTTGAGAAGAGTCCAGTATAACAACGTCCAGACCTGCGTCGACAAGGGCTGCCAATCGTTCCTTGTCGTTCTCTCGTGTTCCGATGGCGGCTGCAGAGAGAAGCTGCTTCGTACCAGGTACCTTCGTGGCCAAAGGGAAGTTCAGATTCTTCAGCAGATCCTTTCGAGAAAGAAGAGAGACCAAGTTCCCTTGTCCGTCTACGATTGGAAGCTTGCCTTTCTTACTTCTGCTCAAGATATTGTTCGCCTCTTGCAAATCGATACCTTCCCGAGCAGTAACCAGGTCTTTCGACATGATCTCGGTTACTGGGGAGCTGTGGTTGGAGTGGAATTGGGTGTCTCTCGGGGTTACAATGCCGAGGAGCTTTGATCGCAGGTTTCCGTTCTCTGCAAATCGCATGTCAGTACTGCGCTTGACCATCTAATCGTTGACGGATGGAGACTCGTGTTTTTGAGGATCAGAGGGTTGATATGTCCACAGTACTCGAGGCACGATGGCGCAAGAGCGTAGCGGTTGAACGAAAGTTAAATAAAGATTGACATCATGCAAATAGGGTAGAAGTAGTTTGGGGAAGTGATATTGCGTACCGGTAACTGGAAATCCGCCGAAACCCCATTTGTCCTTGAGCGCGATGGCCTCGGCGACAGTGGTCTCTGGCGAAATGACAATTGGGTCCGTGATGAACCCGTTCTCGAATCTCTTAACCTTTCTAACCATCTCTGCCTGTTGCTCAATCGAGCAGTTGTGATGAATGACACCGACACCTCCCAGTAATGCCATGTGGATAGCCATGTTGTGCTCGGTGACGGTGTCCATGGGCGAAGAGGTCAATGGCGTCTTGAGGGAGATCTTGCGAGTAAGTCGTGAGGTGAGGTCAACGCTGGACGCTGGGAATCCAATGTAGCCAGGCAACAGGAGGAAGTCGTTGTAGGTCAGACCTCCCGTTGCGTTCTTGGTTGGGTCGAGGAGTTCCTGGACTGACATGCCGTCCTTAGAGGCGTAGGCTTGGAGAGCCTTCTCGACATCCTGAGAATTCATCTCCATGCGAGTTAGCTTTTGTGCCTTCGTCAGAGTCCTTCAACGGCGTTGTCGAGAGGCAAGACTCTTCAGGTGTCCTTCAACATCTTCAATCGTCATTCGCTTCCTCCTCTTCCGTCACGCCTGTGTTCCCGCCATGTGATACAATTTTGAGACTCGAGGTAGGACACGGGCACTCACCTCGGACTGCGGCTTCTTCTTCAGGATGACGCCGTCAAAGTCTCCGTTCACTCCGTTCATGTTGACTGTGGTTCTGATGTGACGTTAGCGATATGAAAGCAGTCGCGCAATCGAGAATGGAACTTACCCCAAGAGAGAAAAGAAGAAGGAGGAAAGACGAATTTTGCAAGACCTAGAAGAGGTCTTCGCAGCAAGGATCGAGCGGGAGCTCCCGCCACTGCCAAGCGCCGACCGCCGACAGGGTGGGTGCGGGACAGAACCTTGTTGGGCGCTTGGGCCGTGTGCATTGTTTACACTCCGCTGTTGATGCTCCACTGCAGCGCAAGGAAACGGCAGCTGGTTGTTTCCAACTTCCTCCTTCGACTGCATGCGCAACGAGGCCGCCGCGTCCCAACCTCCCCGCCGACAATCCGCACACATTCCATTCACCCAGTGTCTTGACGATCGCGACTTCCTTCGCCCACCCTTGTCATATGTCTTGGATGCACGCGCTGCAATGACGACCGCGCCTTGGCTAGGATAATCTGGAGGAAGGTCTCGCATAGCAACGTGCTTTCCAAGTGCTTCACCTGAACAGAGATTTGTACCAACACGCGCAATCCCACTGGGACGACCACGCCCATCATGCCTTCCTATCCGCAGTTCACTTCGCCCACCTCGCCGCCGCACAATCGATTTCGGGATCACAGCCCGACCAAATCATCCCCGCTTCGGCATACCGTCTCAACGCGCTCCAATACAAGTGATACCGACAAATCGTCCATTCCAAGCCGGCAGCCGACCCTCAGCAGCAATGCTAGCTCTGGATACAGCGTACCTGGATTCAATGGATATGAATCATCCACCTCGAACGACCCGTTTCTGACGCGAACTAGTACCAAGAGGGAGCGTTCCGAGTCGCCAGTGAAGAAGAACGCGGCATTCGCCAAGTGGGAGCAGCGCGAGCAGGCCGAGCAAGAGCAGCAACAGTTGCAGCGCTCGCCGACAAAGATGGATGTGACGCCGCGAAAGATCAAAGACGATGACTGGCGCGCGGGGATCGGGAGGAGCGAAAGCAGGAGTGTGCTGCGGCCGGTGACACAAAATACGACTCCAGAGAAAATACCTTCGGCGCCCGCCTTACACAAACGGGCAGAGTCGAAGGAGAACATCAACTACCGCCCGCCCAGTCAAGATGGCAGAATATCGCCGTCTCCAACAAAATCACCATCCCACTCCAAGTCGTTCAGCGAGGACACGACTTTGACGACTCTGCGAGTCACATCACCAGAGCTGCCGATTTCGCCTCCCTCTCCAGGCCATGCAAGAGGCAACAGCCTTGCGACTATCTCCCGATCGGATTCGATGCGCGCAAGTACGCGACCACGAGCGAAAGGACATGTGCGATTCACATCCACAGACGCCACGACACCGCAACTGGATGGCGCTGACTTCGATCAGCTGCAGAAGTCTGCTGCCCCTCAGCTACGCCACCTTAGCAAGATGGCGGCGGAAAGTGGGTCCATCGAGGAGCTGAATGTGCATTCCGCAGAAGAGCAAGTGACCGGTCTGTTCGGTAGAAGGAGATTGCAAAGATCTGGGTCAGTCAAGGCAAGCACCAAGTCACAGTCTCAATTTGCGTCGCAATACGCCAGCACAAGATGGATGGACACACAGCGCAAGCACTTGCAAGCTTACGAGTACCTTTGTCACATTGGAGAGGCGCGAGCGTGGCTGGAAGATGTATTAGAGCCGCAAGAGTTGCCTCCAATTGTCCAACTTGAGGAGGCTCTTCGAGATGGTGTCACTCTGGCGGAAGCTGTAGTTCGACTGGCACCCAAGCTACCGCCAGATCAACAAAGGGCGCTCGGTTCCAAGCGCATCTGGCGAGCAGCAACGCTCTCCTTTAGGCATTCCGACAACATCGCGCTCTTTTTCCGGTTCTTGTCCGAGATAGAACTTCCTGAGTTGTTTCGGTTCGAGCTGGTCGATCTGTACGAGAAGAAGAACATACCTAAGGTCATATATTGCATACACGCACTATCATGGCTGCTCTTTCGGAAGGGCGTAGTGGATTTCCGGATTGGCAATCTTGTTGGTCAGCTTGAGTTCGAAGAGCACGAGCTGGAGGAGACACAGAAGGGCATCGACCGGAGTGGCGTGCAAATGCCAAACTTCGGTGCCATGAGAGAGGCCATGCAAGTTGAAGAGGAGCCGCCACCACCCGAGCCGACTCCAGAAGAACTGCTGGCAGCACAGGAGAATGTGGTACTCGATCTTCAAACCCAAGTCCGAGGCGCGCTTGTGCGGCTACGATTAGGTGGAATGATGCAGGATATGTGGGATGCCGAAGAACAAATTGCATACCTGCAGGCCATAGCACGAGGAGGCTTCGCCCGCGAGATATTCGATTTTCGATTCGCGATGGACCTCTCAACGCGAAGATTTCAATCGGCAGCGAAGTCTTTCTTGATCAGAGCTGGACAGCGTAAGAGGGAATCCGTTTGGCGGGAGAACAAGACCGGCGTTGTCAAGATTCAGAGTCTCTGGCGTGGAAAACAACAACGAGCTCAGACCAAAGTTATTCGGTCGCAATTGCGTGTACATCGCCATGGTCTCAAGGATATTCAAGCGGCCATCCGAGGTGCCCTTGGACGTTGGCACGCGGGTGACCTCTGGCATGAGACTCGGGACGAGAAGACGGAGGCTGTGGTAGAAGAATTCCAGGCCCTTACTCGGGGCGCATTGGAGAGAATGAGAATCGGGGCCATCATGAATCGTCTCTGGGATATCGAAGCTTCCATCGCCGACCTTCAAGCACTGATTAGAGCTGCCAACGTGCGACGAAGAGCGGCAAAGCAACATGTAGCCACTCGCCAGGCCGCTGTCGAGATTGCAAGCTTACAAGCAGTAGCACGTGGCCTCATTCAGCGAAAGATGCAGAACCGAGAACATGGGGAGCGGAAGGTGCATGAGACAGGCGTGGTCGAGACTCAAGCGGCTGCAAGAGGTCTCCTTGAACGGCTTCGACAAGCACGAACGATTGGCGCTTTACAAGGTCGTGAGTCGGCAATTGTGAAGTTACAGACGCTGCTGCGTGCGCAAGCAGCAAGATCACTGGCTGCGGATACCAAAGAAGCGCTCGGCTCCCAGACCTCAACAGTGTCCACTCTGCAGGCTCTCGCAAGAGGACAAGCAGCGCGCGTGCGTACAGCGAACACCATTTCGGCGTTGCGATCCCATAACGAGCAAGTTCTCTCGCTCCAGTCCTTCGCGAGGGCAATGCTCCAGCGTAAGAGCATCGGCGTTAAGCTCGCAGCGCTGGAAGAGCATGAAGGCATTCTCACGACACTGCAATCCATGGCCAGAGCATATGTGGCGCGACAGCGCATCTTCGAGCAGCTCGTCGCAATGGAGAAGGAAGAGGACTGTATCATTCAGCTCCAATCTCTATCTCGTGCCATGCTTCTCCGGAGTCAGGTTGGCGAGACCTTGACTGGCCTCGAAGAGCACGAAGAAGCCATCGTCGAGCTCGAATCCGCACTGCGAGGGTTCATTGTCCGAAGACACTTCTGTGAGAAGCGCAAGCACTATCGCGAAAACATGCAGAAGGTCATCAAGCTACAATCCTTTGTCCGTGCCAAGCAACAAGGCGAGAGCTACAAGTCACTAGTCAACGGAAAGAATCCACCTCTACCGGTCGTGCGAAAACATCTGCATCTGTTGACAGATTCGAACTTGGAGTTCGAGAGCGAGATCGAGTCCGAGAGGATGCGTCGACAAGTAATCGAAAGCGTCCGTCGGAACGAGCTGGTTGAAAGCTACGTTGAGGGTCTTGATGTCAAGATTGCTCTGCTGGTCAAGAACAAGATCACGCTAGACGAGGTCGTCAAGCACCAGAAGCACTTTGGAGGATCTGCATCTCAACTGCTACGCTCCGGGACAACACTGGGACAACACACCTCTGGGCTTGATCTCAAGGCGCTTAACAAGAATTCGCGGAAGAAACTGACGGGTTACGAGGAGCTGTTCTTCCTCATCCAGACTCAGCCTCAGTACCTGGCCAGAGTGTTCAACGTTCTTACACACCGTGGCTTGGCCGAGAAGGAGAGCAAGAATGTGGAGCGGCTGATGATGATTCTTTTCGGATACGCACAGAAGAGTCGTGAAGAGTACCTCCTGCTCAAGGTGCTCGCTACAAGTTGCCAAGAGACTATCTCTCGTTGCCAGACCCTCGAAGACTACACCCGCCAGCAGAACGGCACGTTCCAGCAGCGCCTCATACTTACCTACGTGCGAAGCCCAAAGGAGCGAGCATTCCTGAAGACTCTTTTTGGAGGCATGGTGAAAAACGGAATTTGCGCGCAGGATCATTTAGACCTTGAGAGCGATCCACTTCAAATCTATCGAGCCATCTTGAACAACGAAGAGCTCTCCACCGGAAGAGCTTCTCAGCGTCCTAGAGACCTTCCCCGCGAGGTTGTCATCCGACAAGAAGACGTCCGTCCGAGATACGTGGAGCATCTGGAGGACCTCCGTGATCTTGGCGACGGCTTCTTCCTCACTTTGGAGGAGTGCCTACATCGTGTGCCGTACGGGCTTCGCTTTCTGGCATCCGAGCAACATCGCGCCCTATGCGGTCAATTCCCCCGTGAAAATCCAGGACACTTAGCGATGTTTGTCGGTGCGTGGCTTTGGAGAACGTATCTTCTGCCAGCTCTGCGGGAGCCGGAAATGTGGGGAGTCGTCGACCGTGGTCTGAGTCCAGTGCACAAGCGTAATTTGGCGCAGGTGGTTACGGTGCTAAGCCAAGTAACCGTTTTAGGGCGGTTGTTTGGCTCTGAGAACATCTACCTGCAGCCACTGAACAATTGGATCACCGAGGCACTCGATCGATGGCAAGAGTATCTGCAGCACCTTCTTGACATTCCGCCTCCCGAACAACACTACGATGCGGATCAGTTCAGCGACTTATATTCCAGGACGAAGCCGACTCTGTACATCAAGCTTGCCGATATCTTCACAATCCACAGTCTTATCGCTGACAACATCTCGACTGTGGCGCCTAATCGGGATGACCAGATCAAAGACTTGTTGACAGACCTGGGCACGGCGAAGAGCAACGAGAGCGACCTTGGAGGTGCGAGCAACGGAGGTGAGATCACGTTAACGCTCAAGTCCAGGTTCACAGTGCAAGAGGATCCCAACGCCGAAGCTCGCCAGCTGTTTACTGCAACAAAAAGGCTTGTCCTCTACATCATCAAAGTGCAGTCGGGATCCAATTTGATGGAGATCCTCCTCCGACCTATCACGCACGAGGACGCAGACCGATGGATATCGCTCGTGCAGGAGGAGCTAGCCGAAAGGGATCGCGACCACCACCGCTCTGGACATCGCAGGACACCATCCGCTTTCGATCCTCGTGCATCGATACGCTCTGCCCGGGCACAGTCAGTCTACTCAGAGGCGCCTTCGACCTTCTCAGAAGATCGACGTGACCTGCTTGATCTCCAAGGCATGACCTACGCCGAGCTCAAGTCAACTGCATTGGAGAACATCTTGCAGCTTGAGCAACCACACATACCACCACAGTTCCGCGTAAGCAGGCACAACAACTATCAAGAGATTCTGAATGCTCTGGCTGCCGACATCCGCCAGAAGCACCGGCGACGATTGGAAAGGCAGCGGGAGACGGAACAGACTCGCGCCACGCTTCAGCAATTGGACGCCAAGGCTGCTTTCTTGGAGGATCAGCTGAAGAGCTACAACGATTACATTGAGCAATGTCTCCACACACTGGCCAACAAGAAAGGCAACAAGCACAAATTTATCATGCCTTTTACGAAGCAATGGTCTCACGAGCGAGAACTGGAACGAGCTGGGCGACAACCAAAGTTTGGCTCATACAAATATTCTGCGCGACAACTCGCAGACAAGGGTGTCTTGCTCAGCTGGCAGGGCCACTCGCCTGAGCAGTGGGGTAATCTGAATGTCGTCATCTCATCAGATGAAGTTGGCGTCTTCCATCTGGAGGCTTCGTCTGGAAGTTTGATGCTGACCGGCGCTTCGGCGAATCTGCTCCTGGATGATCTCTTACAGGCGCAGTACGACAACAGAGCGAGCATCAGTGTCTTCCAGGAGAGTAATGGAGCTGCCAAGCTTGCTGTGAATTTGCTCCTGCATCTTGTGTTCAAGAAGTTCTATCGTGACGAATGACGATAACAAGAGAAGGTCGCGAGGGGAAATTGCATGAAACATAGCATTGATGAGTTTTGTATGGAATGAACTCCATGGGTATGAAAGAAGCAGGGTGTTTTATGGCGCAAGGAAAATAATGGCTTTTGGGTTTGGGAGTATACATATTATACATACTCAATTTTGTAGTTCCTCTCATGACCTAGGTCCCTTTGTACGGAGATGAAGACGTATGAAACAACGTTGGAAGTTTGGCCGCCTTGTCTGGCATATTTTCTTCTTTGGTCTGCTCTGGTTTGAATGAAAGATAGAGGACGAGCATGCTCCGCTTCGAATAGACTGAAAGGCGATTCCGGCATCCTTCTACATCGTCGTCCTGCTACAAACATTTAGAAACGGCGCTGGCAGGCAATACTCCGCGAAGGCTATTGACGCTACCAGAAAATCCACTGAAGAGGAACTATTCAATTTGTTACACGATGAGATGGAATGGACCTAAATTGAGCTAGATGACAAGCCATATTTTCCAGGCCGGGGCGCAGACGTCGAATTGCCCCTTCGTCGCATTATGAAGATGCAAGGGTTTTTCGTGATTCACGCCAGCGCGAACTGTCAACACATCATGGGAGGAAGAGTCCTACTTATCAACCTAGCCAGCGACACAAACTCGCGTTCATGGAATCGACTGTTTCTGGGGAAAGCCTTCCGTTGACACGACTCGGTGGATATGGCCCGTGAGCTTGGCGACCATCGCCACGATGCAGTCCAGCGGGGGTACACGTGTGATGTCGAACGCAGGAGGCGGAGAATTGACCGAACGTGGGCACCACGTGGAAGAGACGGGAGCCGTGTCGATCATGCTGCAAGAGCGCAATATTAAGACTCTTCTCGGTTTCCGTGACTCGAGTGCTCCGAGGAGGTCCAAATCGGCCGCGGGAATTGTGAATGTATCTTTCAGCTAGGAAGTCGGAGGCTCGAGCAGAAACAGCAAAACCGAGCGTCGATCTAGCCTGCGGAATTCCCTGGATGCTAATCATTTGGGTTTAATCTTGGTTTGTTGACTACGATCAGCGGTCTAAGTGGAGAAGAGAAGAAGGGAATGCAGACGTTAATAGCATCGAAGGTCAAGATCAGCACGGAAAAGATGGTAGCCCGTCCTCGTCACGAACACCCAGCCACATGGAGTCTCGTGCATGGCACATGGGAAATAGGATTCAAGCCACGTTCTGAGGTACTTCTGCAAGTGATCCTTCGCGAATCCTTTCAGCGCCGGCGACGTACGAGAACGAGGCCTTCACTTTGAGGAAGTGAAGTCGAAAAGGAGGCTAATTAGCTGGAATTCTTTGACTTCTTGGAGCCAGAGTGGGGCTGCGAACTTAGCAGGTTGCTGCCTGCGGGTGCCCGATGTCTTCTCGCCTTCAGGTCTTCTCGCCTTCAACAACAGCATCTCTGCTTGCGGCCTCCGGCACTGAGACCCGAGAGATCCCATAAAATACTACGTCGAGCAAACGTCAGTGAGCTGCTTCTTCATCCGAATGCCCCCTTTATCTTCATGGACTACGCGACATGGCATCACCCATCACAGGAACGCCATATCTGCCGGAAGAGATTCTCCAGCTCATTTTCGAGCAGCTCAAGATTTCTCTGGACAGGAAGGGCTACAATGACAAACGTCAGACTCGTGCAACGTTAGCGACCGCCTGTCTGGCCAGCAAGCAATGTCGACGTCTCGCTCAGCCCGTCTTATACCATACCATCGATTTGGAAAGCGCATATGGCGAGGATGAAAAGTTTTACAGATTGTCCGATACCTTGGCCCGTTCTTCATTTCTATCGGGTCTTGTACACGAACTTAAGGTCGAATATTGGGATTTCCGGCCGGGCACAGACCTTGATCCGTTCGACGATGGGGGAACATATGAGACAAAGCATATGCTAGAATCGTCACGACCAGAATTCGAGAGGGCGATGGGAAGTATGAGAGATTTCGTGCATCCCATCCGGAGCACCCGGAGCGGCACGTTGTTGCAAGCTGCGTACGCGGGATCATTGGATGCGCATCTCGCTTTTATCCTCACTCAGTGTCGTAATCTGGAGAGGCTTGGTCTTACCATTCCAGTTGACTTCGACGAAAGTTGGGTCTCGGCTGTATTAGAGCATGCTGCGGCCATGTGTCACTTGACCAACGCATCTGCGCCGAGCGGGTCGTCTACACTGGCATCTGGCTCTCTTCTCCCGTGCCTCAAGCAGTTCGACACCGAGCATTGGGACACGGAAAATGCTACCGATATCACGGACATCAGCGACATTCTTGGCATCACTACTTTGACGAAATATCACGGTTTCGCCGTCGATGTCACTCCGGGAGAGAATCCGCTGAAAATTAAACCTTATACTCTCGAAAAGATCGAGTTGCTCTACTCCATCATAGACGGCGAAGGGCTTGCGAGACTGCTCTCTTGCTGTCCTAAACTCTCCAGCCTCTCGATCGAGTGGGGCGGCGCTACTGTCGGAGACTGCGAAATTTCATGGGATGCCATCGGCACGGCCCTTCGCGAACACGGCAGAGGCATGAAACGGTTACAGTTCGACTACACACATTCGATGCTCTTTGAACAGGGTGATGATGAGCCTGTACATCCTCCTCTCGGCGACCTCAAGCCCCTCACTTCTCTCACGTACCTCGAAGTCCCCGCGGTGGCGCTCTTCGGACAAGACGATGATCTCGTCGAGGGGTATCCCCATTTTGAGCTACCGATCCTAGCAGACAATCTGCCTGCATCTCTGAAGACGTTGAAGATCATGCAATGGGGGGAGCTGGACGAGGAGATGCATGATGAAGACGTGTTGAAGAAGAGTTTGATAGGTGCTTTGGTGGCTGAGAGTAGGCTGCAGAATCTCTCGACTGTGAGGATCCAGGGCAGTCAGTTCACCGCCGAGGACTTTGAGGAGGTAGAAGGATGGCGGGTGAGTTTGGACAACCAGTTCTGGGTCGTTTTGAAGAAGAAGCAGCAGCAGCAGCGAGATACGGAGGCAGAAGGATGAAAGACCGAAAATGATACATGTTGCAATACAGGACTCATCAGCTCGCAAGACAAAAGCTCCAGGCGAAAAGGCTGCAGCAGCTTTCACATGTGCTGCCTCAGGCTTGAAATACGTTTCATCATTCAAGCGAAGGGTTCGCTCTTTTCTTGACTTCACATCGATAATGCCGACCACATGCATCCGGAATGGAGCGCTTCCTGTTGAACTTCGACGACACATCTTCTGAGATATGTCCAAGCACTACTTGTCAACCAAGTCCCTTGCGGTCGACTGCGGGCCGTTGTGGTAGAGAGCGGAGTGGCAACGCACTGAGGATAGTGGGTCGGCTCCTGGAGCCCTCATCTCAGCGTGTCCTCATCTCAGCGCGTCCTCATCTCAGCGCGGTACTGATATAAGTCCTTCCTGATGCGTGCTTCGTCTGCTCATCGACGATTCTTGCTCAAAGCACACATCATCCATCCTAAAACATCTCCAACCCACGGCAAACGAGATGGACTCAGCCAACTACGACGACGTTCCACAGCTGCGGTCGCAGTCCGCGCTGCAAACGAAGACACTCGTCAACCCTCCACACTTCAGACAGATTGGCAAAGGCTCCTGCGGTAGCGTGTGGGCCGTCGACCGCCCTGGCCTTGCCTCTGCTATGAAGCGCGAAGACGGCGGACCGGGACGCTCTTTATCAAAAAGACTCTCACATGCACGCAGAGATCGAAAGAAGTCTTCTCTCACAGCACAGGCAAGCTTGAGCCTTGGCGAGCTGGTCAACATCCCGCGACATCGTCTATTTCATTCCTGCAGAGGAAGGGGGAAAGAGTGGTGGCAGCATCGCTCCACGAGTGTCGTGTTTGACGGTGGGATTTATCCGTTGCGCCTACCCGTGACGACAAAGGGTAGTCGCTGCTTATGTGGCTCGAATGCTCCTTACTGCTCTTTTCCCGTAAAGTAGAAACCTGCGTATAAGACAAACCAATAACCCGACGTTGTGCTATTTATCCTATTTATCCTGCATGCACAGCTGAGGACAAGCCACATTTCCGCAGTAACATTGAATTAGACGTTGAGGACGCATCGTCGCGAGAGCAAGATCGATCATGCGTGCTTCCCCCAAGAAGATGGTGATTAGCAGCAGTGCCCAGTAAGTCCCAGACCTAAAGCAGTCCTCGACAGCGTCGAATTGCCCTGCGAGAGAAAAACGAACATACATGGATTATATTTCTACCCAAAGCCCGGGAGGATCCGGACAGGATGTGTCCGAGCATTCACAGGCGTGATCACATTATCACCCAGAACCTCGTTGAAAACTTCAAGAGTACATCATGTATCTCTCCGCCGGTGAAGAAAGCTGCCCAGGGACCGTCTCCATGCTTCCGCGCCGCCCCACGGTCGTCCATTCGTCACCCCCTACGCCTACGCCTACGCCTACGCCTACGCCAAGAGAAACCCTCGAGGCGGAATTGGGCCATCAAGTCTCGCGAAATCTGTTCCGAGCTGATATGATACATACCCTGGTCATCTTAGACTGTACCACTCCCATCTTCTCCTGAAAAAGAATCTTCTCCCCGGTCCGCACGAGGGAGGAAGTCGTCATTTTGCAGTTCAGCAGGGTTGCGTTGAATATATTTGCCGGGCGTGAGAGACTGCCGCGGCAAGGCGCGGAGAGAGAGGTATACTTTTGTAAGCGCCGCGTACGGGTGTCATGGTTCTTGTTGGCTCTTTCGCCATGCGGTTGTTGTGTCGGTTGAAAATTTTTCAGGAATGCGTCAGCTCGAGAGAATTGCCCAAAAACAGCCGGATGGGTTTCATGAGCTGGAGTTGGAGGTGTATGTTGCTAACAGGGGGGGGAAGGATTGTTATTTATCTGCCGTTGAAGTGCCCACGATTCTTTTGGGCAGGCATGAGGAATCTGAAGCAAGAAGACGACACCGTTCCCCGTCTGCACAATTTTCGAAGGAAGGGGTAAAAGTTCCCTGCGCCATGTGCTTTCAGGCTCCAAGAACGCATTCGCAGCGAGTCAGCACCTGAATGACTGATCGGCTGCTGGCGCTTGTGAGCTAGCCGATTCCAGTTCGAGGTAGGAGAGCGAATCATGGCGGTGGTCTCACGCAACCGCAGCCTATTTCACGGAATCGCGAATACGTAGATTTTACGGGCGCCACTTGGACTCGCGAGAACAGTTTTCAATGCTCGCTCATTTGGTCTGGTTGGAATCGGTGATGCTTGACACCACGGCCGCGTTTCACCAGCTGAACGGAGAAGATGGGACTTTGTAAAGTAGGATTCCCGATCCATGGTGAATGCAATTGCAAAGCGATCCGCTACCGGATGTCAGTATCCGAATTCAGCCAGAGGGCGGCGATGCCATTTCGAGCGCCTGGAGGTACGCAGACAGTCTACGAATCTTCGTCTTGGCGTGGCGAATGGGACCTGGCACTGTTGACTGGCTGACGTTAGAGACTCGCGTCTGCCGATGGTATGCATCTGCCATTGCCATAGTTGTCGAGATGCCACTTGTTCCGTCCTATGAGTGGCGTTCGTGGTGGAAATGGAAACCGTTGAGATGTCGGTGACCGACGACCAAACCACTTCGGTCCCGTGTGAAGTGTTTCAGCCAGATCAGGATAATGATATCGAACGAACGTACGTGCGAGCTGATGGGGTTTCCAGCAGCAAGACCACCGAGAGGTCTCGGCTCACCTACAAGTCCTGCCGTCGAGAGAATCGTTGGCTGTGCAAATCGCAGCGGGAAACCGACTGAGTACACGAAAGATGAAGGCGTCGTTCCGCGAGGACGGAACTGGCCCGGGACGCCGAACGTCTGGCTGGGCACTGTGAGCAAGCAAGCTTCCAGGGTGCGGATAGCGGACCGGTTGGGCCTCAATCAGGTGATGGACATGTCCCTTAGACCAGAGCTCCTGTGCTAGATTGATAGATCAGATCTCGCACGGCCTCAGATGGCAGCGAAGCGGATGGATGATGTGTGGTGTGAGCGTGGCGTGCCTGGAATTGGAAGCTCTGCGTCGGAGATGCATGATGCCTGCCTGCCTGCCTGCCTGCCCTTGTTGCTAGTGCCGGTGCAGTGATCGCCATACGTTGAGGAGGAGGAGGAGGAGGAGTGGATGGAGAGAGTCGCGGGCGACGGTGTTGTCGCGAGGGCGAGACTTGACTGTTCGGGGATGGGATTGTCGAGATGGGCCGGCGCGGTTGGCAGACGGACGGAATCCTTTCGTAGCAACGTGTAGTAGCAACGTGGGTTGATCAGTACTGCAAGAAGCAAAGAAGGTCCTCGTGGGAGACACGTTTTGCCCGTGCCCGTGCACGCGGGTCAGCAGCCGATGAATTTGCTATCATTTCCGCTCGAGTGAGCTATATTTGGCCGCATTCCCATCTGGGGGCCAAATGCAATGCCCGAAAATGAAAATAGCACAGGGCAAGCGTGTGAGCGCATGCAATCCTCCGATCACCTCAATGCCATCTGCGATCCACCATCCTTCCATCCTTCCACCCTCCCGTCCCTCCCGTCCCTCCCGTCCCTCCCTCCCTCCCGCCGTCCGCTGCGGCGTCGACCGCTCGACCCTGCCGCTTCGCCCTCCACCCTCCACCCTCCACCCTCCATCAGAGCCCGGCGAAGCCCGCTGCGCCCACACAGTGCCAGGACGTCATTGCTGGGTAAGGATGCGTCCCCGCTCCCGTCACCTCTTCGGGCTTCCTGCCTGCGGATCTCAATGGCAGTGCAATCGCGATTCCACCGTCGAGCGCTGTCGCCCAATAGCTGGCACGGCGAGGGACTGCGCCGTAGAGTGGACACGGCATGCAGAGCCTCAATCCCGCCTGCGGGACGCAATGCCGACCGCTGGTGATGCTCGGCGAAGCATTGTGCCCAGATAAGCACCGCACCGTACGCTGACTGTCGCCCAGGCGCAGCTGTAATCAGCCCTCTGCGACGAGATCTCGCATGTCGCGTGGCCGTGGGAGGGAGGTGCGGGCCTCCGCAGGTCGGCAGAGCCTCGCGGAGCTCTCTTCGCGTGCGTGTACGGGACGCGACAGGCCTCGCCTCGCCCCGCCCTGACAGGTCAGCACCTGTCAGTGTCAGGCGGGAATAATGATGGACGCACAGCGTTCATGCACAGTGGGGGAAAGACAAAGACAGCTAATTACAGGCAGCAAGTGCCGAGGGCTATGCCCGCAAAATGACCCATTTCAGGCTCGGCGGCTACAGCAAGAATGGCATCTCGCTGCGAAGTTGACGGCACAGGAAGGATGAGGTGCTGCCCTGTGCTTGCTTCGGAGCGCACCACACGGCCCATTCCAGTGCATCGAAACGCCTGGTCGACGCTCAAAATAAGCCCGCCGCCCACGGGCACGGGCACGGGCGTGCGCCTGAGCCAGGTCAGCTCCAGCATGAGCTAAATTCAGTGTGGTCTGGTCACTGGTCAGGTACAGTATCGCACCTGATGCTGAACGATGCTGAGCCGGTACCACTACCTGACTGCTCTCGGTGTCGGTGTATGGGCCTGTGCCTGTGCCTGTGCCTGTGCCTGGCCATGTGCCTGTGCTGGTGCCGGTGCCTGACGCTCCGCCTGGGCCAGAGTGGAAGGAAGGAAAGGTGTGAAGGAACATGAAGCATCGCATCCATCGCCATGAGCCCTGCGCGTCCGTGCCCGCCCTCTCGACCTCGACTGCCTGCCCGTCTATCAGTTCCCCTTCAGTCTGCGCTGCTCTGCTCTGCTTTGCCGTGCCGCATTCCCCATCCTACTTATCCACCAACATGTCCGTCTCACGGAGCAGGGTGCTCTCCCACCTGCTGCAAGGCTTCGCCCAAGCCGACTTTTCTTTCTGTCCGATCTACAACAACCGCCACCATCCTCCTCGGCACTCCCGCTCCATGTGTTGTTGCTGTTGCCACCCAACGCTCCAACAGTAACCTCATCGCCCGCCATGACCTCTAGTCAGGTATACCCAGCACTGACCGGCACCATCGACCCAGGCCAGATGGCCACTCATCACTCAACGTCGGCGGACATCGCAGCTACCGAATGGTACGCCCAGACTTCAGTATGTCCTCCTACACACCCAACGACGCCACCGATGCGATTTCATCCACGGCCGTTGGATCCAAGGAGAACAACACTGATTGGTGTCGTAGTACGCATCCCATGACCCGTTCATGAACCCGTATCCCGCTTCAACGATCGAAGCGCAACCATGGACCACATACGCCCGGGCATCCGTTCCTGGACTCCACATGTGCGACTACCCAATCCATCAATCGCCGCCTCCACAGCATCTTCAACACCATCAGCAACAACAGCCGACTCCCGGAGACTCCAAGATCCCGGAGAGGCCGCGGAGCAGCCCCAGCACCTTCGGGCCTTCCGCCGAGACTATCCCATGGACTTCATCTGGTCTGGGCATCCAGTTCACAACCGCTGGCCAACCAACTCCGCCCGTGACGTCCACTTTCCCTCCCAATGTCTTCCAGGCGTATCCAGCAGAAGAAGGCTACACCACTTCGAGTCCGCCAGAAATCAGACACCCTCAGCCTCGGAGATCGTACACCACCATCGCTCCCAACCCAACAGGTGCAGCCGCCAAGCGAAAGCGGGACGACGACGACCAGCAGGCTGATAAGGCCGGATCCTCGTCAGCACGCAAGCAGCAGCGCAAACGGACTTCTTCCGTCGCATCAGCGGATCTGAGCGAGGACGATCGTTTTCTCGTCCAACTCAAGGAGGACGAGAACCTACCGTGGAAGGACATCGCGACCCGTTTCCAAACGGACAAGGGCAAGAACTTCCAGGTCGCAGCTCTGCAGATGCGCTACAAGCGTCTCCGGGAGAAGTTCCGGGTGTGGGAGGAGCAGGATGTCCAAGCCCTGAAGCTCGCACATGAATACTGGGAGAAGTACAAGTGGGAAATCATCAGTGCCAAGGTAAGTCATCCGCAGCAACGGTCACCTCGGCTGCACGTACTAAGACGGACATTTACAGATGCTCGATTTCGGCATCCAAGAGCGCTGGCCGGCCCGCCACTGCGCGCGCAAATGGCAAGAACTCGACGCTTCCACCACCCTCGCAACGGCAGCCACCCCGTTCGCCACTCCCGGTCCTCCTCCCCCGGCCGCCACCACCACCGCGGGAGGAATCCTGAACACTCCCGCCTCCATCTCACAATTCTCCTCTCCAGAGGAAGGAGCGGTGCATTTCGCCTTCATGCCGATCCAATGACTACATGATAGTACATGTACGCCACCGTATGAATACGACCATTCAGCAGGCGGAGGAGGAGCAGACTACTTTTCTTCAGGCGGCGGAGGAGCAGACTACTTTTCCTTCCCCCAGCAGCAACCCTTGCCCGCCGGAGGAGCGATGATGGCATCGCCGGAGGAAATGTATTCGATGATTTCCGTCTAAATACCTTTTGGAGGAGGCGGAAGGAATTGGACGAATGAAGGAATGAGTTGAAATGGAAATGGAACGATTTCCTCGCATCATTCGAATGGAACGAAGGAGCGAAAACAACGAGCCAACGAACGAATGAACGAACGGACGAACGAAGTTACAGCATTTTCCCACACAAACGAGCGTCGGCGTCTTTGGATGGAGTCCTCCTGCTATTTATCATTCCACTTTTTACGGTCTTCACGGATTTCGACACGACAGATGGACGAAAGGGCGAAAAGGACAGATGGGACGGATGGATGCGTGGGTTGTGGTGGTTTTGGAGAAGAAAAGAAAACGAAGAAAAGAGAGAAGAAGGGAAGGGAAGGGAAGGGAAGGGAAGGAGATGGAAATGGAAATGGAAAGATGTTTCCTGGCTTTGGCTCCGGTTTCGTTTGATCTCTCTTGATGCATGCGTGCGTGCGTGCATGCATGCATGCATGGGCAGAGAGGAGAAGAGAAGAGAGGAGAAGAGCAGAGAAGAGAAGAGAGGAGAAGAGAAGAGAAAAGAGAGGAGAAGAGAAGAGAAGAGAGGAGAAGGAGTTGGATGGGGTCCATTCGCTGCAGACTCTGGCTCTGGCTCCGGCTCTGCTCTAGGTGGCCATCTTTCGGTTTTTTGTTTTTTTTTTCTTCTTCGCACTTGCATGATATGATACCCCCAAAATCTACCATTCGCTTTTTATCTGGGCGGGCGGGCAGACTGGCAGGCGGGCGATTGATTTGAGCGGGTGTTTGTTTTTTTCCGTTTTGCTGCTGCGATTGCATTGGACCTCGACAGATGGGTCTATGGCGTCGGATTGGGGGGGGGAAAACAGGGTCGTGTTTGATGTGCTTTACTTTCTGCATAACAGTTCGGAGCTCTTGCAGGTTTTTGGGGGGCGCAGAGAGACAGACAGACAGACATGGATGGGGCTTTTTATGTTCTGTTCTGCTCGACTTGAGCAGTGTAACACCATATATACCATGCCGATATAGAGACTGACTGACACGAGTACACCTCCCATCTGACCTACTCTCTCTCTCTCTCTCTAACCATCCATCTATCCACTTCCGCTCAGGGCAATGCATTCCAGCTCGACCGGGACGCCCTTGGGCAGTTCCTTGACCGCCACGCAGGAGCGGGCCGGCTTGTGCTGGCCAAAGTACTTCTCGTACACGCCGTTCCTGTTTCGGTCAGTCTACTACTAGCCGACGACCCGCAATGCTTTGCAGAGAGATAAGAGAAGAGAAGAGAAGGAATGGAGGGGATAACTCACATCTCGGCAAAGTTGTCCATGCTGGTCAGGAAGACGGTGACCTGCGCAGCGCGAAACACGTGGGCTGTTAGCGATTGTCGGTACCGATATTCGGTGATGATGTGCAAGGCAGGAGGAGGAGGTTGGGGAGGTGAAGGATTTTGTTTCATGAGATATTTGGGGGAAGCGGCTTGACGGACGGCACGGTATCCGCATCCAGAAGCTGAGGTGGTGCGTGGGTGTTGAATTGTGAAGTGATGTGAGGTGTGCAAGGCAATGTCGATCATCTCGCACATCCCATCCCGCATGCTCCACGTGCCGAGGGGGAGGAGTCGGGTACCGAAGAAAGGGCATGCACATGTGTCTGCCACGTGGAGGACAAGGGGGAGGGGAACGGTGGCGGAGGAGGGAGGGATGGATGGATGATGGTGCAATGGTGTGAGAGGGATCGACAGGTTTAACCGGATGCGAGGGAGCGAGAGCGAGAGCAAGAGCAAAAGAGGAAGGCATAATCCAATACGTACGTACCTTTACGACGCGCGAGATGGAGCTCCCGGCCGCTTCGAGGATGTTCTTGAGGCCCTCGCAGCAGACGGTCGTCTTGTCGGCGATGGATCCCTCGACCAGGTTGCCCGCGGCATCGGCGGGGATTTGGCCCGAGACGAAGATGTGAGGTCCCGCTTGCACGGCTTGGGACTGCGGCGGAGAGAGGAGCATTGTCAGCCTTTGCTTTCTTCTGCTTTCGTTCGGGGCACCGTGTCGCGTTCCGGGCTCTCGAGAGAGCGTGCGTCGGAGCGGCTTCCCGATCTCTGCCACCGCTCCGGAGAGGAGTAGGATGAGCTCTGAAACCGGGCTTCCCGCCTGCCTTTACGCGGGCAGTCTCCAATCGGACATTCATTCGTCGAGTGCATGCAGGATGAGGATGCGGTGACTTACATACGGAGCCACAGCTGTGAGGATGGAAGAGAATCCCGTCAGCCACCCGCTCTCGCCGTCCTAGATCATCCATCCCAATTGGAGACGATTGGGGGGGGGGGGGCACTCACGCTGCGCAGCCTTGGGAGTGCTGATAGTCTTGATCTCCGTCATCTTGCTGCTTCGTGTGGTACTGAAAGTCGCCGTCTGCAAATCGAAACCTCTTGCAATCGCTGATGGGAAGATTTTCCTGCCCGGGACCGATCGGATTGAAGTCTTGATGGTGTTTGGGAGCATGTTTTTCTGTAGGGTAAGCTCGGTGACTGACTGCAAGGAAGCGCAAAGCAGAGCTAAGCTAAGCTCAGCTCAGCTCCGGGGCAAAGCTCTCCGATCCTTTCGGGGGCTAATTAGCCTTCTTTTTCACCCCCCACACGACCCCGCTTTCGGAGGGAACCACGCCTGAGGCAGGCACGTGTCCCGTCCATATTGAGTTGGGAGGGACATTGTAGATCAGGATGCAATTCCACGCGGCACAGAAAGTCGAGAGGCCCCCGTGGATGATGGGTCTGGACAAGTCTTGGGGTATATAAATAAGTGATGGGCATACATTCATCGACTCAGCTCCCGTCGTGCCTTCGGCCCGCGGGCCAAAGAAGCATTCATGCAATCCATGTCGATGCCCCGAACATCACCTCTCGCGAGTTTCCATCCCTCTTCCATGTCCACCGAAGCAGTCGAATTTGCAATCTCCAGCGTCTCTCCCATCCAGTTATCCAAACACCCAACTTTACATCCCCTGGCTAGGGTATCCTCCGCCAACCTTTCCTGCAATCCCATCTCCCACACCACGCCTTTCAGCGATCCATGATGATAAAAGAAAAAGCCTCCCCCTAACAAGATACCCAGACACCATGAGATCTGGTAATGTATTCTTCCTCGCTGGTAGTGCTTGATGGATCTTGAGCGTTCCAAAATTCCCAAGCTGGAGGTTTTTCTTTTGAATCATCTGTTTGTGTCTGTAAGCCGGTCAATGGAGTCGTAGCCTCCCTCACGCTACGATTGCTGCGTCGACAGAATCTGTCGTGCAAGCGCCGACACAGCAGCTCCAGTGGCTGTGCAGGCGTACCGAGACCCAGACTTGTAATACAAACTTCAGCCGCGAATCCAGGACCGTTGCTGCACCAGGGGGTTGAATGGCTTGCACCAAAATCATTTCCTCATCCATGGTATGGTCGTGGTCATATTTCCGAGTCTAGTCCGCAAGGGGGTCGTGCTCATGACTATATCTCTATCTCTTCAGCATGTCCCCGTCCTTCAATTCCATTGTCAAATCCATTCGTATCGTCATCAGTCAAATCGTATCCTCCGTTCAAGTCGTAATCGAGTCCTTCGTCAAGCTCCTCGAGGGGATACGTCAGAATCGCAGCGATTCCTCCCAAGCCCTCCAACCTCGTGCCGCTCTCATGCATACTGCTCAACACCCTGACTTCGCCTCCCTGCTCTTTCACATCGTCCACAACCTTTACCCATCGCTTTCGAATGTCCACGCTCTGGGCTCGAAAGAGCGAGTTGGAAATCAACAGCACGCCGCCACCTTTACCAACGGCTCCCAGCTCGACCGCACGCTCGCACTCTTTCGGTCCGTACCAAGCGCGCTGATCGTCCAGCCGGATGAGCTCCATGAAGCGGTCCATGAGCTCCGTCTCCCGCGCGAACTTGGTATCGCTGAGTTTCGTGGTGACTGCTGGACTGGCCAATACTTCGCCGAGGCTGTGAAGATGTCCCGAGGCGGAGTGCGCGACAATGATCTTCTGAGCTTGCTGCTGTAACAGCTTGTCGGCTTTGGTGGTAGCCTGGTTCTTGATGAACCGCTGCAGACTGCTCGCCGTGAAGCCGGGACTTGCAAGCAACAGCGGCTTCGGATCTGAAAGATCTATTTGCCGCAAGAACGTGTCGAGGGTGGTCTGATAGAAGCGCTGCACTGCCTTGTCGTAGTCGCTCGATCCTGCCCGCTTCTTGGGCAGCGAGACTTCAACGCGCTGCCGCAGTATCGTCTGGTGCTCCGTGATCAGGCATATGTTGGCCAGTCCCTCCTGTAGGACTATCGCCCATAGTTGCGCCTTCTTGTCCTGGTTGATCGCCTCCTTCAGCGTGTCCAGCGCCACACTGTCCCACCCATCCGCCTTTTCCAACGTAAAGTTGCGGTGCAGCTCCAGGTCGAGGGTGTGATAGCTCCCCAGCACGACATGCTGATTCTCTTCTATTGTGCGGCCAGAGACGTGTAGTTGTCCCACTTGTGGGTCGAAGTCGAGCTTTGTGACTCGGATCGTGAGGTTCGTGTAGACTCGTTCGGATGCTCGGCTCGTACCAGTGTCGGTGATTACTTTTCGACGGGCGGACGCTCGGACGACGTCTGTGGGTCGTATCAAGTTGTATGCATGCCACTGTAAGACTAATCAGCCCACGCGACTCAAGATATGTGTGAGAATCGCTTACCATATCCTCAGGCTCCTCAGGCAGGAGCGTCGCGCTACCTGAGCCATCCTTCTTCTCGATGCTCTGTCGTATCAGCTTCATCGCGGGCTGTTCCTCGAAGCTGTGCGGGGTTTTGATAATCCATGCGCAATATGAATCGCCTAGAGTATGTACATAGGCCGGTTGATTCTGAATGCCGAGAAAGAGCGCTTGTGCTGTCTTCTGATTCTGTTCTCAGATGCTGTTCCCCGACAACGCCTGTGACGCCGTTGGAGAGAGCTTTGGGGTGCCAAAAACCCGAGAGATCGGAGGTTCGGGGTGCCAAGAACTCACTACCACGTGCGCAAGCGAGAACCCCGCGCACAGACCACTGATGATGCAGCAATCTGTTGTAAGCATGAGGTGCGCCTTGTAGCAATCCATCTCACAGTATATAACGTAGCTCCTCCATTCTGACCTAGACAAGTAATTGGATCATCGTACTCTCATGAATTGCCTGCGCATCTAAGACGATAGGCGCTGCAGCTGAACTCGAAATCAACTACAACATCTCCCAACATATCCAGGTCGAAGTACCAACGCCTCCATCTACTGGTATGAACGCACTGCGAAGATCACTGGCATCAAGAACTCAATTTTCCTCTGCGCAGACCGGACGTCGAACTTTCACATCCACGGCAGCAGCAATGGCCAAGTTGGACATCAACACAAAGATCCGCCTACTCTCAGGGCATGAAATACCGCGACTGGGCTATGGTAGGTCAATCAATCTCCGTGAGCTTCGAAGACGAGCGGAGAGCCCGGAAGGCGTCTCCAAGGTGTTCTCATACGAGCTTGCCTCTGCTCCAAATCTACTCCAATAGGCTTCCAGCTAAGCTTGCGCATTCGCTCTACTGTCGTGACAACAGAGCTAATACCGTCACCAGGTGTCTATAAAACGTAAGACTTGCGCAAGAAATACTCTGTAACACCATCTCACGACTCTTCAGACCAGCCGATGTCTCTGAAGACGTGACAGACCACGCAATCAAATCCGGCTACCGCCATGTGGACTCGGCAACCGCGTACAGGAACGAAGAGCCCACCGTAAAAGGAATGCTAAAATCGGGCATTCCACGTGATCAACTATACTTCACCTCCAAAGTCCCACCCAAGGAGATCAACTACGAAGGCGCGAAGAAGTGCGTGGATGAGTCGCTGAAGAAGACAGGTCTGGATTATATCGATCTCTACCTCCTACATGCTCCCTACGGTGGTAAAGAAGGCAGAATCGGTGCGTGGAAGGCGCTTGTAGAGGCTGTGGATGCTGGCAAGGTGAAGAGTATCGGTGTCTCGAACTATGGCGTGCACCATCTCGACGAGCTGGAGCAGTGGCAGAAGGTTTGTCTTGTTCGAATAGTCGTGCCGGAAGCCTTACTTATCTTTCCTACCCAACAGTCGCAACCCGCCGAGAAAGCCGGCGTTCTCAGCGTCAACCAAGTCGAACTCCACCCCTGGCTCGCCCGACCAGACATCGTGTCCTGGTGCGAGAGACGCGGCGTGGTCCTCGAAGCCTACTCGCCTCTCGTGCGAGCTACTCGCAACGACGAGCCCGTCCTCCAACATCTGTCAAAGAAGTACCACAAGACTCCAGCCCAGATCCTGCTCCGCTGGGGTCTGCAAAAGGGCTTCGTCATCCTGCCTAAGAGCGTCACGCACAGCCGGATCGAGGAGAACCGGGGTTTGTACGACTTTGAGCTCGACCAGGAAGACATGAAAAGCCTGAATACGGGCAGGTATGAGCCGTGTGCTTGGGATCCGACAAAGGCGACTCTGGACGAGTAGGAAGTAGATGCATGGGGAAGGTAGTGGTCTTGAGAGCGAGAAAGACAAAGACTCCCGCGAGTAAATCTGACTCAATTCGATCTACATATCCAATCCCTCCAGCATGACACTCAATAACCTAGAATCACGGACGTCTTTAGCCCGACTCATCAAATCCCGGACATCCCAAGTTTGCCCGCACATAACTCCCCTCGAGGAACGTGGCTGCTTCGGAAACCAGCCACGCACGAAAACAGCTGGGCAAGTCGACTGTCTCTCCTTGTCAACGCTGGAATTTGATATAGGAGATGCATCATCCTTGCCCGTGATCTTCATCTTCATCTTCTGCTTCGTCGCTTCCATCTCTACGCTTCCCGGTTTGCAAACCCACACGACATGCAAGAATCTGGATTCTCTGCTTGGATGTATTTCACTACTAAATTTTGTTTGCCGCTGCTTCTCCCAAGTCTACAGCATGAAAAGCCGCCAGAGAGATTTGTTCGTGGGTACTGAGAGGGGCTAATGTCAATTTGAGCGATGCATCCTCCTTCTTCTCCTTCTTCCTTGTCCCGCGAATACCCACCCGACGCCGACGCGGCGATTGGTCGGCGGGAGGGGCGAAGCTCGGTCGGTTCCGCATGGAGATGATCCCCGGACGCACCCCACAAAATCCAAACCTCCACGTCGCACCACACACACTTCTGCTGCTACCGGGCAGACGGAGTCGCACAACACCATCATCATCATCACTGCCACCACATACAGAGGCATGCTCGCCACGGACACCCAGACTTTCGGAGTGAGTGAGGTATGTACGTTGTGGACTCGCAAAAGCGCTGTGTTGGAAGAAAGAGACGAAGAAGCCTCACCACGCTTCCCCTTTGGAGAGCAGGGCAAGGCCGAGGCTGTGTCTTCTTGGAGCAACTCTGGCGAAAATCATCCCGTCGGGTGCCTAGGTTGTCTGCGGTGACAACAGCGCTCGTTTTAACCGATTGGAGAAGGAATCGAATGAGCATCATGTGTGCACGTTTCCCCTTCTCCAGCCGAGCGACCGGACTTGACGCATCGCCGCAGTGCTCTTCACAGCTCGGCAGTGCAGCGCCGCCTCTTCTTTCTTGTCTACACCACCTTTCCGCCACGCTGTTGAGTCCTTGCCACTCCTGCCATACCAACAATCTCTCGAAGAACCGCGATGGCGCAAGCACTGAAAGAAAGCCGGTCCGCAAGGCTGGAGGGCTTTGGGTAACGGTCGGTCGGCGCAAGCCACACCCACCGGCACGACGTCGCTGGCGTCGTGTAGCTTTCGGGACCATCGCGCCCCAGAGCCAGCCGTCAGCCCGCGTGCTCCTGTGATGCCTTCTCACCAATGGACATCAGTGCCTGGCAGAAGCCACAGCCGTCATCTTTCGACCATCATCCCGACCCTGCAGCAGGAGCTTCTCACAGAGCTCTGAGAAGCCGAACTGAGGAGATCTCGCTCCTAAGCAGAAAAAAAGTTGATTATACCTCGTCCCGGTGGTGCAAAAAGCCAAACAGAGGCATGTAATGCGCTCATCAATAGCGAAGATCTGTTTCTCATGCTCCGTTCTTGGGACATGTCAACGGTATTGCACGGCACACCAACCTCTTGCGTCCCTTCTTCATGCCTTCGCGGAGCGGGGCCGGTCACGCCCTCAGAAAACTGAACAGGGATCTTCTGTCGTGGCGCCTTCTGGTATGGCGAAGCGACAGGCGGGACAACACTACCATCCATTTGAGGAGAAGGAAGAGCGCTCGCGCCGGGCTGCTGTCCTGTCGTGACGATGAGCGCTCCATCAGCGGTAGTCATCCTCCTGTCAAGTCACTAAACCGAGGGCGTGCGTGATCTTCGCTGTTCCCGCTGACCGTTGTTGCTGCCACCGTCGACCCGAAGACGCCCATGTACGCGCAAGGGCTTACCGTACAAAAGGTGGTGTCTCTGCACCACTTCGCCGCCCTCCCCATCCATCTCCCAAAAGGAAAAGGTCTGTGACCTTTGTCGTCTCGTTCGAAGTTCCAGAATTCTAGTGCTTGGCTGGTGCCAGCGCCCACCCACACCTCAACCTCTCATCGCTGTACGATTTAAATACTGCGCCTTTACTGCCTGCAGCATTGGTACGAATTCGCATTGCAACAGCCGCCATGGGTTTCCTTTCTACCTCCGCCGCCGCAGTCGCGCTGCTGGCTTCTTTCGGCAACGCAGCGCCAACGAGCCTGGTCTCTGGCGTTGATGCGAGGGCCATCAAGGGCTTCGACTTTGGCAGCACGAAAATTCGGGGCGTGAACTTGGGAGGATGGTTCGTCCTGGAGCCGTGGATTACTCCATCCATCTTCGAGGCGACTCCAGACAATGTCGTGGACGGTGAGAAGTGCCTGCAGTCGAGAAGTAATGGCATAGCTGACAGTGAGCAGAGTATACTTTCGGCCAGACTCTTGGACAGACGGAAGGCCGAAGGCGTCTCGAACAGCACTGGAGTACCTTTTATACCGCCAACGACTTCGCCCTGATGAAGAAGTATGGTATCAACTTTGTGCGCATTCCAATCGGCTACTGGTCCATCACTCCTTTGTCGGGTGATCCATACGTTACTGGTGCGTACGAGCACCTGCCCAATGCGCTGCAGTGGGCCAACGAGAATGGTATCAAGGTCTTGCTTGATCTTCACGGTGCTCCCGGGAGTCAGAACGGCTTCGACAACTCTGGCCGGCGAGGTGCGATTGGTTGGGAAAAGGGCGATACCGTCAAGCAGACCATTGCTGCGCTGAACAAGCTCCGAGACGATCATGCTGCAAACGAAGCTGTTGCCGCGATTGAGCTTCTCAACGAGCCAATGGGTCCACAGCTTGACCAGAACGTCCTTCGGCAATTCTACAATGACGGCTGGGGCAATTTGCGCGACAGCCCCGTTGCACCCGTCTTCCACGATGCATTCTTGGGGGTGAATTCCTGGAACAACTTTGGTGCGGGCGAAGCCAACTGGATTCTCGACACTCACCATTACGAGGTCTTCGATGCCGGTTCTCTGCAGATGGGAATCCAGCAGCACATCAGCACCGCCTGCCAGTTTGGTGCTTCCATGGCCACGAACAACAAGTGGACCATTGCGGGCGAGTGGACTGGCGCCATGACGGATTGCGCCAAGTGGTTGAACGGACGCGGTGTGGGTGCCCGCTACGACGGCTCGTACAACTACAACGGCCAGGGCTCCTCATATATCGGCTCGTGCGATGCGAAGACGACGGGTACGGTCGCGGGTCTCGGCGAGGCAGACCACAACAACATCAAGTCCTTCATCCAGGCACAGATGGCAGCGTACGAGAAGGCGAACGGGTGGATCTTCTGGGCGTGGAAGAACGAGGCTGCTCCGGAGTGGCATTTCAAGAACTTGACTGAGGCCGGGATGGTTCCTCAGCCACTTGGTCAATACGGTGAGTGTCCTTGATCATGACGACGGCCATTGTACTGGTTGCTGACATTGCTCCTTCCCTCCAGGCAACATCTGTGGCTAAGCGTGGTACCTCCTTTTTCATCATCTGCCTTCGGTCCTCGCACTGAACGCTACGACTTTATGACCCGCTCGATTGCAGAAGGGAGATGATGAGTTCGTCTGTTTGGAAAGTGATTCAGTGATACCCTTCGCTGCCGGCAAGAGGAAGGAAAGGCAGGCGCCGTCTCTTTGTATATACCGTCGCTCCAGGAGAAGAAGCACTACTGTACAAATAGTAACATGATCTCGTCGTTGGTTTAGTGGTTGAGGGGAAGGATGTGATGTTGGGATTGACTTTGTGAGAGATAAAGACCCATGAATGGTTTGCATGCAAGTCTTATCGTTTCCTCGCTCGTTTCAGGCATGACCTAGTAGAGCAACGCCCGCGACACTCCGCCCGTCACGTGTCGCCTCCGCGTTTCGACACGTGCTCGGAGGGCACAGGCCCAGGGGCAAACGGGATCGGGGGCCGCTTCGCCCGATCAGGAATCTCCTTTCCACTTTGGCAAGATCCCGCGCCTCCACTACTCTAACACACTAAGGTACTGCTGTGGACTTCACTTCAGCTCTTCCTCCAGCGCCGTCTTCTTCCTCTCCTTCACCTCACCGCGAATCCCCCCGGGCCTCGCATCGTTAGCATCCTCAACGCGACAAAGGGCGTTGGAGATGAAAGGACTGGCTGTCTGATCTGGTTCGCGCCCCGCGGTTCGTCGCAGAACAGCCGAAATTGCACGAACTCCCGCCAAGGATCAGCTAGTCGGGGGATGTGCAGCACGTGCTCACTCGCCAATTTCCCACGAGCGCCACGGCGACGGTAAGGATGCCACGGTCGTATCCTGCCCTCTCTCGATTCAGTCGTCGTTCAGTGCTCCCGCCGCGGCCGCCTGCCTTGGAGAGGGCAATCCTGCCATGTGGGAGTCGATTCCCCCATTAATGGCAGGACGGGAAGGCCTCGAATGGGGGGAATGGTGGGTATTTTTGGGGCTTGTTGATTTCCCTCCCCAACGGTAAGCCCTAACAGTGTGCTAGGGGACCTCGGGTTGGACATCCGCCCCTTGCGAATGGGTTAGGTATCATGTCTACATTTCGATGCCGCAAACCGCCTGCGTGCTTCTATATACATGTCCTTGCACCGCCCTGGACAAGCCTGCTCTCTCTTTTCCCTCCGTCCTTTGCCGCACGCAGCCAGCCTTTCCAGAAGACGTTTCGTCTTCAGCCATTCGTTACCGAACAAACAACCCACGTCACTCCTTACTTCAGAGCACTCGCTCGCTGCGCAGAACACCCGTTCATCAACCACCACCACAGCGAGAAACCCAATCTCCCTCGAACTCACACTCACACTCGACGACATGTCCGACTTCTCGCTTTTCGGCCTCTTCACCGCGGGCCTGGCCTGCATGATCCCTTTCACTGCTGCTTACACCAAGCCAGTCGGTGACTCGCCAGTGGTACGTCAATAATACTCATCTGACGAGGTGTTCACGAGAGTGCCATCCAAACTTCATTTGCTGACATCTCGCAAAGGGCAACCCAATCTCCGAGCCCGGCCTCAACAGCGTCGTCCCTGCCGGCCAGAAGTTCACCATCACCTGGGAGCCCACCACCAAGGGCACCGTCACTCTCCTCCTCCTCAAGGGCCCAAGCAGCAACGCCGTTCCTCAGTACCCCATCGTTGAGAAGACCGAGAACGACGGCAGCTACGTCTGGGACGTCTCCACGGCGCTCGCTCCCACCGACAACGCTCAGGGCTACGGTATCCAGCTGATCGACGACGCCACCGGCCAGTACCAATACACCACCCAGTTCGGCATCTCCAACCCCGACTACAAGGCCGGCTCCTCCTCCTCCTCCTCCTCCTCCTCCTCCTCGTCTTCCTCATCCTCCTCCTCCTCCGCCACGGAAACCGCCACCAAGTCCGAGTCCGCTCCAGTCTACGCCCAGTCCAGCAAGGCCGCCGAGACCACCGCGGCAGCAGTCTACACCACCCAGTTCGTGACCGACTACACCACCTACTGCCCCGAGGCCACCTCGTTCACCGTCAAGAACCAGACCTACACCGTCACCGAGGCCACCACCCTCACGATCAAGGACTGCTCCTGCACCGTCACCAAGCCCGCCACTTCCACCTCTTCCGTTCCCGCCGTCCAGTCCGCCCCCGGCCCCGTCGTGTCCCCCAAGCCAACCGGATACGCCCCGGTGAGCAGCCCCGTTGCCAACGCCACCTTGGTCGCCCCCACCGGCTACAGCCCCTCCACCCTGAGCACCCAGGGCGCCTCCACCTACAACGCCCCCTCCGGCCCCAGCGCCTCCAGCACCGTCGCCGTTTCCACCGGCGGTGCCGCTTCCAATATGGTCGGCTTCGGCGGTCTGATCATCGCCGCCGCCGGTGCGGTCGTGCTCGCCTTCTAAACGTGATGTTGGAAAGCGAGAAAAAAGGGGGAAGGGGGAGATTGCGGTAGTGTAGTGATGTAAAAAAGACAAAAAAGGAACAAAAGAAACGTTACACGAGCGATTTCCTTGGATTGACGCCCCAGCGCGGAGTTTTTCAGCTCCCCCCCCCCCTTCTTCTTCTTCTTCTTCTTTCTTCTTCTTCTTCTTCTTTCTTCTTCTTCTTCTTCTTCTCTTTCCTCTCTCCCTTGGGCTGCTTTGCTTTGCTTTGCTTTGCTTTGCTTTGCTTTTCGAACGATATACCTCCCTGCCTCGGCTCGGCGCGGCGCGGCTCGGCGTGGGCATGCTGCTGTTCTGTCTGGGTTTTCCCGTGTAAAAAAGTACAGATTCAAGACTTCTCTTTTTTTTTTTTAATTTCCCCCATTACATTACATGACGTATGATATCTTACGACGCTGTAACGACGGGAGGAAGAATGTCTAGATTTCAGGACGGGAGGACGGTTTGAACTCGGGATAAGGATTTCATTCATTCTTTCTCTTTCTATCTTTCGCTGTTGGAGCAGAAGAAGAAGAGGAACTCGCCTCGAAAAGGAAGGCAAGGTCTTTCCTATACATTCGTCATGTCCATCCACCAATTCTCCCGGGCCGAGCATCGAGCACTCTTGGCATCTTCTTCTTCTTCTTCTTTCTTCTTCTTCTTCTTCTTCTTCTTCCGTCATCAATATCCATCCCCCCATCCCATGATCCTCTCCTCTTTCACAAAACGCACTCCGCAACGCCCACCGCAATCCGCAATCCGCAGCACCTTTTCCCCCGGTCTTCCAACGCCAACGACGACGACGACGACGAAACCTCTTCCTTCTCCTCGCCTCCCGACTCTGCAAATTTTCCTGCGCTCCGGGTTAGTAACAAAACGCCAATTTCAAATTGAGGGTTGGTCGAGTTGGAGGGGTAGGTGAGTGAGCTACCATAACATACCATCATCGGGTGGTCAAATTCGATGTTGTCGTGAGTAGTAGCAGCGGCGGCGCCAATCAACAAGCCGATGATGGAAATTCCGCCGTGTTGCTTGCGGGTGGTGACTAGCTGGCTGGTTGGGGGGATTTTGATGGAAGAAAGAAAGAAAGAAGGAAAGAAAGCTATTTGGTGTTTCTTTTTTTTTTTTCTTTTCGAGAAGAGGTGATGGCCTGTTTTGGGAGGGGAAAGGGGAGGGGGACATATATAATGGAGGAGGAGTGGGATGGGATGGCCGATTGATTGATTGATTGATTGATTGCTCTTTCCGACGAGGATAAGGCGTCGAATTCCAAACTTCCGAGCGTGACTACGAACGACCTGATGAAGTGGGAGAGGACAAGGAGAAAATCTTCTTACCTGGAGACGGAAAAGTAGCCAGCCAGCCAGCCAGCCAGCTCTCTCGTCGACTTTGGGATTCCGGCTTTCTTCTCTTCTCTTCACCAGCCAGCCAACCAGCCAGCCAGCCAGCCACCCGACGCGCTTCGCTTCTTCCGGATCCGTACGAGGAGGCTTTCTGCACAAGACTTGTAGCTCTCTCTCTCTCTCTCTCTCTCCACACCCTCCAAGCTCTAGGTCTGAATGGCACGGCGTGTACATCGGTCCTTGTGCTGAATTAGAAAACTTTACAGGCCGGAATGTCGATCCTATCCCACTCGTCATTTCTCAATTCTTCTTTCTCTCTTTTCCGTCGTCGTCGTCGCCAAGGTGCTTCCTCAATTGCCTACTATTACGGAATAATCATCATCGTCGTCGTCGTCGTCGTCGTCGTTATCATCACACCCGATAATATCCTCAGTCGCCATCAGCATCAGCATCAGCATCAGCATCAGCATCAGCATCAACATCAACATCAGTAACCCCCGAACTTCGCTTTCCAACTCCAACTCCAAAATGTACACTAAAAGCGACAACGAGGTTTATATGCACTTTGCAACATCGCGAGGATAATGCGCAATCCATCCATCCATCGCGCTGGCGGTGCTAGGTGCCCGCTTCACCCGCACGACGATAGAATGAATGGCTTCTGCACTGGACATCCCAAACAACATGAGTATACCTTAGGGTTTGTAAATCAGTCAAGTCAGTCAAAGTCAAAGTTAGGGGGGGGCGGCGCTGCTGTGTGGAAAACATGTCCAATGATACCTCCCTAGATATTCTTTATTATTAGCAAGAGTTGTCCGAAGAAGAATCCGAAGAAGAATCCGAAGAAACGTCCTTTTTGATGTGATTGAGATTACCTGCTGCTACTGCTCTGGGAAGCACCAAGAAATTCAGTCGAGACCCATCCAACCACAAACAATCCATCTGAGATATCTACTGGTCGGTCCGCTTCAATTCCTCAGAAACACCGCGGCGCCTTGACCATGCCATATCATATCGTCCGGATAGAGTTTGTTTCCTGGACCTCTACATCGCATCACATCCATCAGATAGCGCGAGCCGCCTCGCCCCCGATGGCTTCTTCTTCGACCCGCTTCTTGCCCCTCCCAATGCCACCCTCTCCCACGCCCATACGCTTGGCGACGTATTGCTGGGCCACGACGCCGACGGCCAGCGACAGGATCTCCTCCATCCACTCCGCGACCCATTCGCGGGGATCCACGCCACCGGATTGGATGATCTCCACGATGGATTCCGGCAGGCCTCCTGCGCTGGCTTCGGCGTCTAGCCAGTCCGCCCAGCGTTGGGGGAAGGGTTGGGAGAGACCTCGGAAGGATAGAGAATGGAGTGGGTCGTAGAGGTAGACGGCAAAGACCACCAGCTCCTGGCTTCCCTCTTCGGGGTCCACGACTCCGATCGTCTCGGGCTCCGCGGCATGTGCGTCTCCCGCGAAGAAGTCCTTGTCCGCAGCGTAGCTGATCGCCTGGATCGCCAGAAAGATGTCGCTGCTCCGCGTGGGATTGGATTCGCTCAGAGTCTCCGTCGCTCTCTTGGCGGCTTCTTCCACTCCGCCTCGTGCATCGAAGAACTCCTTGGCGTATGATTCCGCACTGACTCTTGTCAATCTTGTACCTTCCTTGAGTCCAGGCACGGCGCCGAGAGATCGTTTGCTGCCCTCTTCCCTCCACCAAGGTCCGTCTGTCCAACTGCTGCCGCTGCCCAATACGCCGCCCTTGTAGCCTTGCGCGTCGCTAGAACTGCGGTTGCGGGACTCGCTGCCGCGTTGGATGACAAGAAGATCACCGCCTTCGACCTGCGACATAATACGGCTGAACGTGGAGTAGATTAGAGGATCGAGAGATGGGTAGTTCTGAATGTCATGGGTTGTGTGGATTTGGAGGCGTTCGTGCGCGGATATGGGAGGCGCGATGTGTGAGATGAGCGAGGTAAAGGTTGGGAGAGCGCGTGAACGAAGATCGGTGCCTAGAAGCATGCACGTCAGTCAACATAAGTATCTCGGGTACTCCGATCTCCAGAATGCCACCACACAGAAGATACTAATCCAGCACCGTCATTTTCCAAGATCATCAGGCAACCCTCCACGAAACATACCAATAGATTGTAAATTCTGATACTGCCCCCGCAACTGATCCGCCCACTTCAGCGCCTCCTCATTGCCCCGGAGATCCTTCGCCAGCGTCTCCGCCTGTTTGACAGCAGCAGAAGCCGCGCTGAACATGCTCCCCCACCACCCACCTCCCCCACCACTGGCCTTGTCAGGGGTAGTAGTAGCATTCTCCGGCTGAGGAGGGGTTTGCTGCGCCGCCGGATGGGAACTCCGACTCGCCTCGCCGCTGCTCCTGGTCTGCGGCGGCGCGTGGGCTCGGGCGCGGTCTTCACTGCTGTTCCTCTCGCTGCTGCTGCCGACGGATGTGCTGGCCGGTGTGTACTCTGCCGTCCGCTTGGTGCCGCTGGTCGTGCTCGAGCTCACGCGCGGCGTTCCCGGGCGCGACCCGGCGGCGGGTTTCGCTTTCAGTTGCTTTTCGATCTCGGCAAACGCGTCGTCCTCGTCGTTGGGGGTGCCAGCTGCTGCTGCTGCTGCTGCTGCTGCTGCGGGGTTGGCGCTTTTGGCGGACGAGGGCGGCGCTTCTGGTTGCTCCTCGCTGCCGAGTTGGTCCAGGTCCGCAAGCAGCTCGTCGGCCTTGCGGGCCATGCTGCCTGATGGCTTCTCGGCGTGTTATGGGGAAGAGAGACTGATGAGTATGGAGAATGTAGAGCCGTCCTAAGGCAGGTCGTATCTGCGGAGGTTTGTTGTCGGGCGAGCACTCGATGAGGTGTTGGGTAAGGAGCTGCAGTTGCATCGCAGTCGAAGCTCCAGCTAGACAAACCCGAATCCGAAAACCTTCCCCTTGTCCACCCATCCTGGAACTCCCCTCAAAGTGGGTTCCCATGTCTTGCTTGGCGCGTATCACATGCACATTGCGCAGTGCGTCTTGATTGATGATCCATCAACATACACAGAAACGCTGAAGCAGGGACTGAGCATCGCTACGGAAAAAGAGGACAACTAAGGGGTAAGAAGAAACATTTCATCACGCTCTTCAGTACGTTATATACCTTTTCGGAGGCATAAACCTCGCCGTGAATGGGGACTTGCTAAAACGCCGTTTCTGTCGAATTCCGTTCGTCCCTCATGTAAAACGCCCATGACATGCATCCCGAACCAACCTGAGGGTAAGACCTGGAGACTTCATTATTGAACAACCTGTTCTTGTCTCAACCCACTGGGCTCATTAGGCTTCTTCCCGCGACGACCGAGCAACGTTGCATTGTCCAGGCTGAGCTCGAATGCGCCAGCCTTGTTACGGACTTGACGTTTCGCTGCGGCAGCGACTTCCGGTGAATGCTGGCCGTAACCCTTGGCTTGAGATGATCGCGGTGCAGCGGCCTGGCGAGCCTGGGCTGCGGCAGAAAGACTGGTGTTGCGCATCTGCTTCTCCATGCCGCCAACATCCGGTGCAGCACCCGACTTGGGCACCTTCGCGGGCGGGTTTGCCGAATGCGCATCATACGCTTGCGATACACCCTCGAACTCGTCGTCATCCACGTCCTCGTCTAGTGCGTTCAGCGAGTTCATCGGGTTGCCGCCGCGGTAGCCTTGCTTGAAGTTCTTTCGTCGCTTGCCCTCTTCTTCCTGTCGGTGTACAGAGTAGCCAACGTCAAACACTTCACGCAGGTTGACGGCACCAGGCGAACGGAAATCCATGCGACGTCCAGCTCCGGGTGTTTCATCCAGATAGGTAAAGTCGGGCTTCATCGGCGACGCGCTCTTCTCGCCAGCAGACATCTGCCCTTGACGGACGTGCAGCGGTGTTGCGAGTGGAGGTGCGTCGGCAGCGGCGTGGGTTGGCTCGTCGGCCTTGCGGATCCATGGGTGGTTGAGGAATTGCTTGATGTCGTAGCGCTTCTCGGGGTCGACGGTCAACAGGTGCGAGACAAGATCTTGGGCGGACTTGGAGATGTCATCCCACCAGGGCGACAAGAAGGTATATTGACCGCGAGCGACCTTCTCCGTCAGCACCTGGATGCTTTCGTCATAGAATGGAGGGAAGCCGGAGAGTAATGTGTACAGCACGCATCCGAGTGCCCACATGTCGACGCTCTTGGAGTAGCGCTCATCCTTGACGATTTCAGGGGCAGTGTATCCGACCGTGCCGCACGGTGTCATCGTCTGGCTGTCCCAGATGACCTTGGACAGACCGAAGTCGGCAATCTTGATCTGTCCGATGCCACCGGCACCTTGACCCGGGATGAATTCACCTTCGTCGGCTTTGTCTTCATCCTCGGGACCCTTGGGTTTCGGGTTCTTGGTGGGAATGAACGGAATGGGGTAGAAGAGTAAGTTCTCGGGCTTGATGTCACTGTGCGTGGGTCAGCGCGCGTCCAGGAAGAGGATGCATCCGAACGTACCGATGCACGACACCGGCCTCTTCGTGCAAATACTCCAGCGCGTGGGCGACTTGGAGTATGACGTGTCTTGAGAGATCCTCGCTGAAGTACGTCAAACGAACGATCTGGTGGAAGAGCTCGCCCCCGGGACAGAGCTCGAGGACGATGTAGTAGTACTGTCGCGATTCGGAAAAATCGACGAGCTTGACGATGTTGGGATGGTCTAGTTGGCGCATGATCTGGACTTCCTTGAGAATGTTTGCTCTCTGAGAGATATGACGTCAGCGGTTTGGGTTGGGCATGCGACATGTCGACAGCAAACAACAACAAGGAGAGTGGTGGGGATGGTGATGATGGAGTACTGCGCACCTCCACGCCTTTCGGCGCCTTCTTCTCGTAGTCCGGATGCAGGACGCCCTGTAGGCAGGCATGAATGTTGGCTAGAGATCGTAGAATGCATGGATGATTGTAACAAAGGATAGAGGGAGAGGGAAGGGGAGAAAACCACAACGCGCGCGGCCTGGCATCAGCATACCTGTGTCGAGTTCATCTCAAACTTGCGCACGACTTTGATGGCGACCTGGTCGTAGACGTGGGTGGTGTCCTTTGCTCGGTAGACGTTGCTGAAGGCGCCGTCGCCCATCTTCTCGACGAGGGTCCATCGCTCCAGACCGGGATATCGAGGAAGCTTTCCCTTGCTCTCACGCTCCTCCGCCACGATGCGCTCCAGTACGGATGCGTCGTAGTCCTTTTGCTTCTGGTCACGCCTCTGCTTTTCATCTGCTGCCTGACCGGCGGCATGTCCGGCTTTGGCGGCGACGTTGCGGTTGTCGACGGCAGCCGCCGAGAAGTCGCCTTGCGGAGCACTTGCTTGGAGAGGCTTGTGTTCGTAGACGTTTGGATCGCTGATGCCGTACTTCTGATGCTGCTGCTGCGCGGCGCCGGGCTGGCCCTGGTGGTGTCGATGATGCTGAGCGTGGACATTGGAGACGTGTGTGGTAGCCTGATCTTGGGGGGAGCGGGCGTCGCGGGCCTGCTTGCCGTGGCGGATGAAGTTCTTCAAGTTCTGTATGGTGGACATTGTTGTCAGATCGCGTGTGCTTGGGGCGCAAGGTCAATGTCGACGCAGCGGCGAGGGCCCCTGGGAGGGAGTACAGTCGCCGAGGGCAGCGTGGGCAGAGGCAGGAGAGGAAAGCGGAGATTGATGGACAAACAGCGGGAGTTGGAGGAGGAGGAGGAGGAGGAGGTGGTAAGGTGTAGTGTAGTGTGGTGTAGTGTAGTGAGGTGGGGTGGTGATGGTGATGGAGGTGATGGAGGTGATGGAGGTGATGGAGGTGATGGAGGTGATGGAGGTGATGGAGGTGATGGAGGTGGTGGTGGTGGTGGTGAGGGAGGGAGGCGTCGAATGCTGGTCGTCGTGTAGGGTAAGGTAATAGGAGGGAAATGGGAGGAAGTTGCGAAAGGCGTCATGCAGCAGCGACGTCATCGCACGACGTCAAACCTGTGAACAAAGAAAGAGCAACGGCAGCAGCACACGAGGCACGCTTTCTGCTCTCACATAAGAACACTTCGGGTTGCTGTGAGGAGAGGAGCGGCGCGCGCGGACGGTGAAGTCAATAGCGGCGATGATGATGACGATGATGGGTGTGGGAATCGTGGAGCCCGCCGCCACCTCCACTGCACCTGGGCCAGCATGGCAGCTGTGGCAGCGTCTGGGGAGGGGAGCCACGAAGAAGAGATAGATAGCACGATAGGATGAACTCGGGGCATTCACTCACCTCGAAAGCCGACTTGCGCATCTTCGCTCCCCGTCCCACCTGCGCGTGGTGCGAGATGTCGATCGCTGGAGTGTGTGTGCAAATGTGGCCCTTCACCCTTCCCCCCTTCAGCCGTCGGTAATCCGCCTTGTGTATCCCGGTGTCGTTGCGCCTCAGATGCTGACTGGCCCTGCTTGCGCGCGCGATACGCCTGCAATCCTGGTCTGTCGCCGGGATAGAGATGAGGCGTTCCTCCAAACTCTTGGAACGGCCCTGGACGCTGGAGCCCGATGATGTCGCCCGTCCGCGCTTGGCAAACGAGAGTCGTGATGATGAAGGACTCACCCACTCACTCACTCACTCAATCACTCATTCATAACTCATCCATAGCAGAAATCAATAGGTGGGGAGGGGGGCAGGATAAGAATTCGGCAACACGCGGAAACACTCGGACACGGCGGAAGTGGGCACGTTCCCGCCCAGACTGGACAGTTTGATCTCTCAGTAATATTACCGTCTGCCTCGGTGTTTCTGCCACGTCTTGTCGTCCTCCTACCCGCAGGCACAGCCCCGTCATCTCATCACTGCGTACGGAGCCCGTATGACAAACGACTCGAGCAGCCAAAACAGGTCTCTGAAACTTGCCATCTAATCAATCTGCTGTCCTCCCCTCGGCTTTGAAACGCGCCAGAATTCTCGCATCCCGCCCAGCATGACGTCCTCTGAGTATTATTATTCCTGTGCCATCACACACACACACGAGGAATTCAACCACCGGAATGGCGTGTGGGTGAGGGTCGTACAAATCGCCCATCACGCTGCCATCTGCGACCATGCACAATGAAGCGACCAATGGAGCGGACCTCGCGAGCATTCACTGACGACGTTCGTGACGAGCCATGACGCCCGCCTGCATGCGACGCAGCGATCTGCACCCGCTCGGACCATATCTGCCGAGACGCCCAATGCACAGATGTGCAGATGTCGGCGGGACGCATATGATGTCGACTGCACGTCTTCTTCGGGAAGAGGACTTCTTTGGTCTGCCATGCTGACGGTGCTCGACTCGCTATTCCCCACATCACCTTCTATTGGAGTTGCCGAATGATTTGATCTCTGGAGGAAAGTAAAGGAATACCACGAAAGGATTCAAAGCAGCCGGGACGTTCCCTTCTCCTTTACCCACCTTGCTTCCCACAGTGAAAATCGACAAACCTTCCACAGATTGACTGCATAAGCAGAGCATCTGAAAGGATGGCATCGTGGAGCATTGGTACCGCTTTACATCCCAGACGAAAACAGTTCTTTTGGGTTTTCCATCTTCTTCTCGCTTTCTTGCCAAGTTGGCGGTTGGCGGTCCATTTCCTCTGGATAGAAGCGCGCGAATGCAGCTCTTCTCAAGCCTAATAGTACGACGACTCGATCTTGAAAGGCCACATGTGAGGCCAGAATTGCCGTCAGCTGTTCGTCTGCGACGTGGTACTCTAAGAGAGCTCACCCGTTCGTGACAGGCAATGGATCGAGTGTCAGGCTTGAATTTCGTTACTTTGGAGTCCGTGGAGATGACTTCGCGTGAAGGATTTCCGGACTCGCAAGGAAGCGTAATGTTCTGAGGCTCGATGTTACGGTGTTGGAATTCTGCAATGACGGCAAAGACTCTTTCGTTCTCGACCGGCGTTGAGATGGGCCTTGGAGAAAGCGACGGCGTCCAGCTGGCGAGCACGGCATCACGGCCATAGATAGACGTCCCTCAGCCAGCATGCTTGAGCATATCCATTCCCAAAGCGGGCTGCTTGCTCAAGATGTTTGTGGTTGTGCGGGCACGAATTCGTATTACTAATCCGGAATCAGCTTTGCGGCGTAAAGCCTCACACGCAAGCTGAGGACCATGGACACGAGGGCAGTGCCACTGCAACGGGTCACAAGTTTGATCAGTCGCGGATGATTCGCATCAGTCGGTGGAATACCCCGGAGTGAGTCTGCCGTGGAAGCAGATGAGAAGGTCGCATCGTCCTCAAGCAGATTGGCAAACGGTGAATGTGAAGCGAGTCGTGCAGCTCCCAAGCAGCGACTGATGAATCTTCTTGAGATGCGCGAAGACGCTGTATGCTCTGACCCCACAGATGACCGAAGCTACTCCAGACTCTGCAGGCCAGTTCCAAAGCCCCGTGTCGTACGTCAACGCCTTCGGAGTGACAGGCCACGAGGATACGGTGGCGAGTGCCGAGACCAGGGGCCGTCCAGCGACGTCGTATCAAGTCAGGTCTACAGTACAAGGTCAAGTTCGGTGCCGAGGAGAATGGGGTCGATGACACGTGGGTGGTGGCAGGCGACGCCGAAGGAGAGGAGAAGTCGAGGTGAGGCCACGGACAGGAGATGCTTGGGGACTTAGCTCGTCGTCAGCAGCTGAGCGTCAGTACAACTTCCTGAGCTCTTTGGCACGGTAGAGCTTTCCGCGGCAAGTTTTGGTCCCGTTTGTGTACTTAGCGTGTCTACCCGATGGAGCGGGATGTCAAACAGCGCAGTCGAGAAAGCTTCTGAGACAGGATAAGGAAATTGTGTGATGCCTCACCGCGATACGACAAACGCGGAGCGAAGGAGGAACAACACCAGTAGCAATATGTAGCATTTGTACATTCATGGAGGATGCTACAGGGGCCCCATCGCGAGCAAGGTCTTGAGCACATTCTCTCCAACACGTGGTGAGGTAAAGTTCTTGAAGACGCGAGAGCAGAGCAGAGCAGCGCGTCGGGTGCGGCGTGTGATTGTATAGCTGGCGGAGAAGGGTCCGTGAGCGATGAGTGTACGTGTTCGGACAGGGATTGATGAGAAATGCTGGGCCGAATTTGGTTCGCGAAGGCGATCAAACGGCCGGACAGGGTGAAGACATGGAAGGATCCAATGAGAGTGACCATCGCTGACGTGCCGGGCCGGGGCGGCGTTCTCCTGTCTGTGATCAGTGTGTGGTGTGTATGGTGTGCACTCACAGGTCAGGACTCAGGAGGCGGGAGATTTTCAGGGCGAATGTCGAGTGATGACGACGCCTCCCGATCCACTGGCGGAGTGTCGTTGGAGCTGCTGCACTGTGCTGGGGCGGGGGTGTCACCGAGTTGGGGGATGCTCGCGACGGCTGTAACAGCAGCGAAACAGATCTTTTGTGATGCTCTCTGTTATTACCTTCGTAGGTACCGAAGAGGCGAAGAGCATGCTGGAAGGTGGTGGCAGTGGTGATGTGAAGAAGATCGGGAAGCTTCATCGGAGGACAGATAGCGACGGGAGCGGCCGACAGTGCTAAAAGTAGCTTCGCTTCGGTGGAGCAGTGTGCATGCAAGTGTGCAGGGTGTGCAGAGAAGGTGCAGCTGAGTGGTTGAGAGGGTGCAGTGTGTGGGATGGGCCTGCAGTCTGCACTGCAACAATTGGAACCCGCCGATGCTGCTAGCTGCTGCGGAATCGAGTGCAGTTTGCGTGCGTGTCTGCTGCACTGTGCTGTGCCGTGCCGTGCCGTGCCGTATTGTATTGTATTGCGCAATACTATGCTGTGCTGTGCTGTGCTGTGTGCAAGGCGGGAAGGTAAGAGGTAGTGTATCAGATGGGTTGCGGCCGCCATCACTCATCACCCGGATCAACGCAGCCGTCAATGCGAGACGTGACGGGAGGATTGAAGGCGCGCAATGGTGGACCGGGAGAGCACTGGAAGGGCAATTGCTTTTGGCGCGTAGGTCGAGATGGAGATGGCGGGCGGGCATTATTGAAGCTGTGGAAGTAGTGTGAAGCTTTCCGCCGCCGCTGCGCCGTGGGAGAGGGCCGCGCCTGCCTATCCTGTCCTGCTCCTTCCATCCACTACCCTACCTTACCTTGCATTCTGCCACACTCACTCTTCTTCTCCTCTCCCCTCCCCCTCCCCCTCCCCTTCCCCTTCTCTCTCCTCTTCACACCTCACACCTCACATCTCACGCCTCACGCCTCACGCCTCACGCCTCACGCCTCACGCCTCACGCCTCACGCCTCACGCCTCTCCGCCGCACCTCGTCCAACACGTCCCGCCCGAGATGGTTCTGTGAAACCGGCGTGTCTTCTGTCTGCAACAATCTGATATCCGCCCCGGCACGACCCCCTGCTCCAATTCACAACCCCCGTCAACCCACCCGACCAAGTCCACCAACACTACTTGCTGGCCCGTCGTCGCTCCATCTACCCGCTCCGCCGCATCTCACCCTCTTTTCGCTCCCGTCGCCATCGATTCCCACGCCCGTAGCGAGCGACCCCTTCGACCCAATTACACATTCATACACCTCCTGTGCCTGCTCCCACCCCACCGCCATCTCTCTCCTGACCGACTGCGCACGCTCCCTCATCACGACCACCCGCTCCCGCGCCCGCAGCGCCCAAGCTGGAGGAAAGCAAGGACTGGGTGTCAGAGAGCAGCCGCTCTTCTGATACCGAAGACTTCCCCTACGGCAAGGCCGGCCCACGCGCAATGAGGGCGAGTTTTCGAATGCGCGATCTGCTGAACCCGCAGCGCCTCTTCCAGCGTGCCAGATACAGCTACCAACAAATACCCACCTCTCTCTCGGTAGAGAATCTCAATGGCGCCCTGCAGTCACTCACATCACAGAATGGCGCCGCATGGCCCGCTGGGAGACGGAGATGTGGCATCGGCAAGATCTCGACCACCAAATCCATCATACTCGCCCTCGTCACACTGCTCCTGATTGCCGCGTTCGGTCGCCAGGGGCATCAGAAGATCCAAGAGTGGAGGGACTCGAGATCGGATCTGCCTTACCACTGGCAACACTATCACAGACTCAATGGCTATTACTATGGCATCAAGGCACTGGTGCCCTACTCACAGTGGCAGCCGGAGAACGGGTACAACCAGTCGATACCCATATCGCAGCAGGAGAATGTGAAGCTCCCCATCAACGAAGAAGGCCCACCCGTCGACCCGGTCAAATTCGACCCGTACCCTGTCGACAGCACCCGCCAAAAGTGCTACCTGCACGCCACCGAGGAGGGCGAGGTGCCAGACGTCTACGCCTACCCTGGCATCCCGCAATACATGACCGAGCCCTTCTACGGAGACTACAAGGCGCTCGGCATGGATGACGGCATGTGCTTTGAAAGATTCGGAAGATACGCTGCATACGGATATGGCTACAACGAGACCATGGGAGGCATGGGTCCCGGTATCTTGACCGAGCAAGCAGGAGCCGAGAAGATCTACGAGAAGACCGGATTCGTGGACTACAGCAACGTGGATTGGGGCACCGCACAGCAGCGGTGTTATGAGAAGAACCAGGCCCGCCTCTCCGGCGCCCATCCTCTCACGGGCAACCGGAAGATCTCGCGCCAAGCTTACATTCTGCGCACGTGGACCGGCTTCGACTACCAGCCTCACCACATCTACGCCATCCGCGCGATGATCACGGAGCTGAATCTGAAGTCGGGAGGCGAGTACGATGTACACTTCCTGGTACACGTGAAGGATGACAGCGTTCCGATCTGGGCAGATGCCGACGTCTACCGGCGAGTGCTGGAGGAGAACGTGCCAAGAGAATTCTGGAATATGGCTACTTTGTGGTCCGAGTCGCAGATGGTGATGTACTATCCAGACCCCTTCCCTGGCAACTTTGCGAACATGGCTGGAAGCAAACTGCATGGCGTGTATCGTAGTGCGCACCTGCCATTACAGTGGTTTGCCCAAGAGCATCCAGAGTATGACCACTACTGGAATTGGGAGATGGATATTCGTTTCACCGGTCACTACTACGACTACTACACGAAGATTGACGAATGGGCGAGGCAGCAGCCGCGGAAGGGCCTGTGGGAGAGGAGCAAGCGGTTCTACATCCCAGCATATCACGGTGACTGGGCGAACTTCACCAAGTTCGTCGAGCAAGAGATTGAGACCAGGGACCGGCCGGAGAACAATCCAGAGCTGAGTGGTCCATCGCCGGTGTGGGGACCGGTCAAGGACTTCCCGAATGCTGGCATGCTTGATTCGCCCGAAGGAACGTCACCTCCGACCTCGTACGAAGAGGACAACTATGAGTGGGGTGTTGGGGAAGATGCCGATTTCTTGAGCTTCAATCCAATCTTCGATCCTGCCCTGACCAACTGGGTCTTCAGCTGGGACATCTCTGGCTACAACACCGATATGCCCCCACCGCCTCGCCGCGCCGCCATTATTACCGTCGCGCGACTCTCGAAGCGTCTGCTCGACATGATGCACAAGGAAGTGTTTGCGGCGAAGCACACCATGTTCCCTGAAATGTGGCCCCCGACCGTCGCATACCACCATGGCCTGAAGGCTGCCTATGTGCCACACCCCGTGTACTTCGACCGCGACTGGGACCTGTCCCACATGAATCAGGTGTACAACTACCCCGAAAACCAATGGGACTCACCGTTCGGCTGGGGAGAGCACAACATGCTGGGCAGCAGTTTCTACTACAACAGTGGCTTCTCCGGCGCCCTCTGGCGAAGGTGGCTCGGCATGGGCGAGAACAGCGAGGGTGGCCGAGTATGGGAAGAAGTGGGATCTGGTCGAATGTGCCTCCGGCCGATTGTTCATCACCCCATCAAGCACGAGAACGGACCCGTGGATTGAGCATCTTCCCTTTTGCTGCGTTGACTGATTGTTTGTATATATTTATGTATCTGCATAGACGGGGCCATTGGCGCACAGCAGCGACACCAAGAGGGCACTTGCCGGCGTTGCTTTCTCTTTGGAAAATGGGACGTTTTTGAATCTTGGATCCGGAGGCGGAGCGAGTCTTCTCAGTGACCATGGGAGTGGTGGGGCGTCTTTGCTGATCTCCTTGCTTTTGTTTGTTCTGCTTGGTGTGTCTCGTCGCGATCCGATTGTTGGTCGACAGAAGCAATGGATGGACTGATGTACATGCGATGACTTTGTTCCGACGGACATGCAGAGGTGGAGGGAGAGGAGAGTGGACCGGGCGGCGGAAGGAGCTGGGGCTCGCACGCAGGCCGTGGGTTTATAGAAGAGGGCAGACGATACAGATACCATACTAGTAATATCATTCCATTGAGTGTGAAACGATGATCCCTTGCGTGCCTCGTGTAACCTCCATGCCCCGTACCGTACGTACATGTACCCAGCTGTGCATACGTATTCGTTCTGCACCGTTTTGGGCGATGCCGAGATCCGAGATATGTCATGTGAGAACGCGAGCCCGTTGCCAGGGCGGATCTGTCCGGATCAACAGAAGGAACTAGCGCCGCACGCTACTTCGATGGAACATCGGCATTGCACCTCACTTCCTCGGCACATTTTCCACCTACTGCTGTTGCTACTGCCGCTTAATAATAAATACGACCGCACGTCTTCTTACCCCCTTCTGGCCATCTCGATTGTACTGCCCGCGCGCTTACCCTGTTGTCTTGACCAGCATCACGCGACCATGTAAGGCGTTTTTCCTAATCGAGTAGCAAACAACAAACGGAATCACCCACCACGTTGAACCCGAACCCTTCTTCTGGTCGGACCAAAACATGTCCTCACACCGGGCCCCCTCCGAGTCGGAGAATATCTCTCCTTCCTCCGGTCGACGTGCTGCCCTGACCAACATCAGCAATTCCTCTGCCAGTCGTCGCAAATATGTGGATCATCTCGAACAGCAATTAGCCGACGCGCAGGAGCAGTTGTCTGCCGCTGTGAGTCCGAGTCATCAGCGCACGCAATCCTCCACGAGGATGCGATATCTCAACGCCGAAGCGAGGCGGTTGCAGGAGGAAGTTGCGGCTTGGGAGCGCAAGTATGAAGATCGAATCCGGGAGGAAATGGATCGGCACTTTCGATTCGAGGAGGAACTGAGGGCGAAAATCAGGAGTTTGGAATCGGAAGCGGAGGGTGCCAAATTCAAAGTCACGGAATTGGAGATGCTCTTGGAAGAGCGGGAGGAGAATCTGGGCGTTGCGGAGACGGCGAATCGGAGTCTGGAAAAGCGGCTGGAGCTTCTGGGGGAGCTGTTGGCGAGTTCGACGAGTAGGATTGATCTGCATGCCGACACTCCGGGACGTCGTTCATCACGCGCTTCGAGGCCGGGGTCTACGATGATGATGGTGCAGCCGAGATTTCCTACGGCGGGGTCTCTGGCTACTTCGCCTGTTCGTACGCAGCCTGGTTCGCCGAGATCGCCTCGCCGTGCGAGTGTGAGGTTCAGTCCGGGATTGGCTCCTATATCGCCCGTCCATCTCAGCTTCTCGCCCGAGGTGGCTTCTTCGCCGGGTGAAGCAGACGAGGAGGGGGAGGATTCGGAAGGCTCGATCAGTCTGAGCAGCGTCATTCACGCTCCGAACTGTGCTACAAGGAGGCCCATGAGGAGGATGCGACGGTTTGGAGCTGGCAGTGTTAGGCCTAAGCCGCTGATTCTGCCGTCGACCTCGCACTGTGAGCAGATTGCGATTCCTGCCGGGAGGAATCTTATGGAGGAGCTGGAGGCGGTGAGGACGGTTTCTGATGGGAGTCTTCTGATGGATGGCGATTCTGTGCCATCGAGTGATCCGGTGGTCGCGAGGGAAGCAGCTCCATCCAGCGATCCAGTCCAGCCCGGCAGTCCAATGCATCACGGCGACCCAATACCGCCGATCGACCCAATACCTCCTGTGGACGCTATATCATCACCCGATCAACCACCACGCAGCGAAGCATCACGCCATCCCGGACAGTCCGGGCAACTCCAACCCGATCAGCAGCTTATCCTTCACACAACCCCACCACCACCACCACCACCACCACCCATCGCGAGCCGCACCACCACCACAACCCACTCCGCCGCGGAGCTTTCCTTTGTTAACAGCATCTTCTCTCCGCCGCGAACGGTGCTTCCTTCCATCTCCATCACGCGACCTCCGGCGCGGCCCCGTCTGTGGTTTACCGAAAATTGCGTCGAACTGGCACGGCGTCTCATCCGCATCGCGCAGTCGCGTCTCCGCATCCCGAGATCTCTCCTCACGGTGCGCTGGTGGCTTGTGGGGATTCTCTTCGGTCCCATGGCGCGGAAGCAGAGGAAGTCTGGATTGCTACGACGGGGATCCCGTGGTGAAGATGATGACGATGACGGCGATGATGATGATGATGATCTGGCGTATGGATCACATTCGCCATCTTCTTTTCCTTCTTCTTCCCTTGTGTCCCGGACGCCGGACTCTCCGTCTTCTTCCGCTGGTGGCGTTGGCAGTGGGACGCGCAGAATGGTCGTCTCCGGCACGGGCAAGAAGCGTAAGACGCTCCTCGAGGAATCTCGCTCTTCTTCCCCTTCCCCTTCTCCCCCTCATCACCACCCTCACCACTCCCCCGGACACCCGACGAAGAGTCGGTGTAAACACAGCCCCATCCTGTGGTTGAAATTCAGCATGACGCTCGCCATTGCCGTCGGGGTGGCTTTCAAGGATGGGCCTAGTAGTCTCTTGAAAGAGGCTGTTTGTTCTTGCAGGAAGAGGCAGAAGCAGTTGAAGCAGAAGAAAAAGCAGACGCGGATGTATCTTGGACAGGGACAGGGACAGGGTGGGGGTGGGGCCAATTGGAGGGATGCGAGGAGGGATGATTATGATGACCATGATGATGGGGGGGATGGGGATGGGGATGGGGTTGGGCGGGGGTTGGGGGGTTGAGAGAGAGAAAGAGAGAGAGAGAGAGAGAGGGTGAGAGGGTGATTAAATTGATTGATTAATTGTGGGCGCATGGCATGGCATGCCGTATTGAAGGCGGCTTTTTCTTTGTTCAAATCACGATGTATATATATGATTAGATGAAATTACCCAGACAGACGGACGGACGGACGGACGGACGGACGGACAGAGCACAGCCTTAAATAGCTGTAATTTCTAGTGTAGCGCTCATAACGAAAACGTTAGAAAAAAAAAAAAAAAATTCATAATCCTCTGTGACGAGATTTCGATACCACCCATTGTCCAAAAGGGGGCTTCGCTTGGCTATCGAGATGGAATGAAAAATTGAAAGATCCGGAACGTCCTCATTGAAAACAATATTCTTTTGTGAAAGGATTCCAAAGATTTTCTGGTCTTGGCCATGGGTGGGTGGTAGATGGGTATAGCTCTGATCTCACTACACTACATAGTAGTATGGTGCAGAAATATGTGTCTGTGTCATCATCGATCGTCCCTTTTTCCCCCCATTCATTCATTACAGTACTCTTTCTTCTTCTTCTTCTTCTTCTTCTTCTTTCCTCATACAGAATGCTTTGACCAAGATATACATACACACATACACGCGGCGATAGACACCTTTCAAGTCAGTCATACTATATCTCAACGAGGGATTGATGGGTGGTTCATGCTCTCGCAGCAGCGAGCGAGAAAGCCTTGGTGACAGCCTCTCCCATGCCCATGGGATGGTCCGGCGCCGCAGCAGCAGCAGCGGGCATGTCGTCGGAGGGATTCTCCACGATAGCAGGCACGACCCCGTCCATCGGCTCTCCTGCTTCAGGCTCCACGCTGTTCACCTTGGGTTTCCGCGGTCCCTTTTTGATCCCGGCGTCTTTGCGCTTATGCTGATTCTTGCTGCCGGGTGGTCGTCCCTTGCGGATTCCGGCGGGCTTGGTCAGCGAGGAGGAGGCATTGCTGTTGTCGCTGCGGGTGGAGCCGACGCTCTCGCCGCGGAGTTCGCGGATGCGTTTGGGGAAGATGTCTTTGCGGCCGCGCGTTTGGGAGTCGACGGTGGCTGGGGCGGAGGCGTTTGGGACGGGGGTGTTGATCCGTTCGGGTGTCATGTTTGGTGATGGGTCGGCGGTGGGAGAAGCGCCGTCGTCGGTGTTTGCGGCAAGGCGGGATCGCTTGCGTGGTGGGGGAACTACGACTCCGTCGAAGCGTGAGACGGGTTTGATGCGGCGACGAGATGTCATTTCGCCATCTCCATAATCGACTGCGGTGGCGTGGAGATCATTCCGGCGACGACGGCGTAGCTCGCGGCCTTCCTCATCACGCTGGATTCTCTGAGCGTCGGGATCTTGGTAGCCGATCTTGCGGGGGTCGAAGTTGTAATCATACAGCATGGCCTCCTTCTTGTCTTCCCAGACATCATGCTCGACTGTCTGCCTTCCTCCCTTGACTGGCCTTCGCTCCTTCTTGCCATGCATTGGCTGCTGAGATACAACAACGTCAAGCTGCAGGTATTCGTCCTGGAGTGCTCTGAGTGCTTGCTGGGCGTTTCCTGCAATCAACTTGAGTGAGTCGAGAGAGCGCACTGCGGGGTCGTGCTTGGTCAAGGCTTTGACGAAAGGCTCCGCGCCCACAATTTGGTCAAAGGTCTTCCGGATGATCTTGTCAGGCTCGTCGAGCTCGTCTTCTTCGGGCTCAGACCACTCGTCCTTGTAGAGGCTCGGCAGGTCTTCCTCAGTAACCTGATCCGCCTCTGGAGGCAAGAGCGGTGGACGTGGAGTGGGTGCCTTTGACCGACAGTTGGACGAGGCCTTGGATCGGATGCCGTTGTCTTCATTTGCGGCGCTCATTGCGCTGCGCTTCCGAACAATCTTTGCGGGTCGTTGCAGGTAGAGTGGCACTCGTCCTACTCCATCTGCATTCTCGGCAGCCAGCGCTTCTCGCTGAAGTTGGGCTTCTGGGCCATCGGTCCTTGCTCTCGCAGTCGTAATTTTCGGCTGTCCTGTTCCTTGTCCAGGATTCGCCGTCCTCTGCGCCTCCTCTTTGGTTTGGCGACACCATTTGCCGCCGCCACGATAGATCCAGTGAAGATGCGGCCAACGCATCGGTCCTTCGTCCTTTCTAAGGAGCGCGTTGAGCGGTGGCGGCTTCTCTCCAGCCTCGTTCTCCTCACCTGTCTTGGGTGTAGCGGTCTTGACCTGAGCTCCGGGTCCGCGAATAGCCGTCTTATTAGAAGCGTCCGGTGGCGGCAGGCCTCTAGCCCACTTCCCTTGCCCACGGTGGTGGAATGTCTCGTCGGGATGTCTCTCGACGTATGAAGTGCTGACGAGACCATCTGCGCCCGGCTCGTCATCCATGGTCGTGCTTGGTGCACTTGGTTTGTTTCCTCGCGCGTAGCGACCCTGCCCACGGAGCTGGGATTTTCCTTCCGGAAGCGCATCGACGTAGTCTTTATCAACAATCTCTTCCAGCTCCGTGCCGAGGGCGTCGGTAACTGTCTTGGAGCTGCGTCTCCGGTCGCTCGCGCGGCGCAAGTCTGCACTGGTGAATGATTCCGCGTAATCTTTGCTGGAGCTGTTCTCCGCCTTGCTTGAGTGGCGCTCGGAGGATGCAACAGGCGTGCTGTTACCAAACACTGCACTCTTCCGCTTGTAACGGCCCTGGCCACGGTGTATCCATTCGATGTGTGGATACCTCAGTGTGAAGTCTCTGTTGACTGTTGCGTTCTCATCCAGCAAGAGCATGTTATGCTTGGTCATCTGCGCACTGTTCTCGGGAAGCTGGTCACGTTTGATGGGCTTGCCTTCTGCTGATATCACAATGCTTCCTCGTCTGCCGTCTGGAGCCATTCCGACTTTGTACCAGCCGTTGCCTTTGTGGTGGAATGTCAGACCGGGGTAGAGATGCAGCTGTTCGCTCTTAACGGTGGTGTTGTCTGTGATGTCGCCCACGCTGTGTCTCACTGGTCGAGACGCAGTGGAGTCGCGGCGTTCAGATGATGCTGTCGATTCGTTTGATCGCGGGCCTCGCTTATACCAACCATTGCCGGTGTGATGAAACTTTTCGTTGGGATGCGCATCGACGTATTCCTTTGTGTATGTTTGGTCAGGATCGGGAGAGTCTTCGGATTCCTCGGTGGATTCTTCCTCGTCGTCCTCATCTGAATCAAGGTATGGGTTTCTGGGAATGTCGCTGATGCGCTGACTGCGGCGGCCCTCGATGGGAGGGAGAGTGTTCTTGGCGCGGCGTGAAAGGCGGGCCCGAGCTCCTTCGGTCTCGTCGGCTGCTTCACTTGGAGGATCAACGGGAAAGTGCTGGTCCATCTCCCGGTTCCATTCGTAGACGCAGTTTCGACTGCCGATATCCCGGATGCCTTGGATTGCTTCGGGCCATGATTGGCGAGGAGTCTTCTTGAGGTGGTTGAGGATTAGTTGGTATTGGTGCCTGAAGGAAGGACTCCATTTCTCTTTTGCAGAGGGGTTGTTCTTGCGGCGGAAAGCGTCGAAGTGATCTTCGAGGCTTTGGATCATGCGGTCAAAGGTGTCTGTATCGATTGCTTCGGATGCGGGAGTGTGATCCCTCACTTGTCTGCTTCGAGTTAGCGATTGTGCAACTTGGAATCTGAAGTGCGTGGCAGTCTACCTTCGCGGGCGAGAAAGAGGTACAGGTGTAGTTGCCGGTGAAGCTTGACTGAGGTCGGATGCCGGGACGTATCGGCCTTGACCGCGGTGGACGAATTTGATGTCCGGATGCTGGAGGGTGTACTCCTTGGAATAGGTGCCGCGGCGGTTGGGTCCCTGTTCGACTTCATCCCGAATGAGTTGGCCGGGTGCAGCCGAGAAGGCTGATTTGGACGCAACAGACACGGGTCTTGGTTTGGCACGGAGGATGACACGGAAGCGTTCTTTGCTGACGCGGGAACCGAAGCGGACCTTGAGTATGCTGCCGTCCATTCCGACGGTGGTTCCGAAAGGTCTCGTCTGCTGATTCCGAGCCAAGTTCCTCGATACGGGAATGGTGAAGTGATTGCTGGTTCGTGGAGACTGTTGGGATGCGTCTTGGCTGCGGCCGGCCACGGCAACGAGCATGTCGGAGGAAGTCGAGGAGATGTTGGAGGTGGTGCGTCGCATGCGAGGGAACGACTCGCCGGAGCCTCGCACTTCCCGCCGTCGTCGTGGGGAGACCATTGCGCCGGCGCGGGCGTCGTCCATCGGAGGGAGGAAAGGGGGAAAAAGGTTGGAAGAAAAGAAGAAGAAGAAGTAGTTGCTGAAGTTGGGGCCAAGGTTGTGTTGTGTTGTGTGGAAGTGCAGTCGATGTCGATGTTTGATCCCAAGATCGGCTGCCCACCGCCAAGACCTCAGTCCAGCATCCGCTCCCGATTCGGAGTAGCGCCAGTCCCGGCCAATCGGAGAATCCCCCGTAAAGGGCTACCCCAGCCGCATCCACGAGGGCAATGTCGACTTAGCAGACATTATCAACAAGCAAATCGACATCTGCATCAAGAGCGTCAACTATCCCGACGTATGCATAGCAGAGATCAATTACCTCGGAATCAAGGAATGTTTCCTACCCTCGACACCCGGGCGTCGACGTTCGACGAGAATATGCCGCGCATTGCCGACATCCTCGACAAGTTCTTTTCACCCTATGCAGAGCGCTCCTCAGACTCGACATACTTATAGACTCTGGACAGATGGATTATCCCTTCTCACTACCATCAACGCCCACTATGCCCGCTACCGACAAGGTGCCCAGCTCATACCCAGCAAATTCCTCGTCTTCCGCCAACATGCAACTCGACCGCCCTGCTAGAGCAGTCATGGAGACAACTGCAGTCTGCATGCTCGAACCACACCGCACCGCCACTACCCGATACCCAGCATACGATCTGGCGAATGCTGATGAAACGGCCATGGCTGTTCTCCCGCAGGAGACTTCCGAAAGATACGAACCACGTCCAGCAGTACCAGACTAGGACGCGGCGAGTGAGTCCCTCCTTTTCGACCACACATTCAGCCCCCTAACTCGCGTCACAGCGCTTGAAGAAGAAGAAGAATTCCAACCCCCAATCGCGTGAATATCTTCCAAGACACTGATCTCTGTAACCGTTCGCTTGGGGAAACTTCTCTCAGTCCCGTTGCGGTCACTCACCCTTTCACGAATGATGAACCTAGCCCTCTCGTTCGATTCATCGACCCATTTACTCTCCGAACTAGAAAATGGGCCATCCGGCCACTCAAATCTCTACTGCGACGTATGCCATTCATGCTTTGGCACCTTTCCAATCTCTTTCAGGAGTACAGAGAATGAAGCTCCTATATGAATTCTCGATCTAAAAGATCTGATCTTCCTACCTCCGATCGTGCCTGTCGGCATGTCCAAGGCACATGGTTTGGCTTCCGGGGGAGGGTAGAAAATTGCTGGTCTTCACAAGCACTGGAAACCCAGCTCATGAGACAGGTTTTGGATCGTCGATGCTCTTTTCATGTATGCTACTCGCTTTTCCATGGACTGAAACCCACAACAAATAAGCTGCTTCCTGATCTTAACTAATCTCTCGCGAAGCAGAAACTCCACACTCGCTATCCTTGACGCCGACGAGGAAATCATTCGATAGGCTTGCCCTGTCATCACCGAGGCTCCGCGCAATGCGTGGAAAGCTATCGTCTCTACATCCAACGCAAGTCCCCCGGACTTGCCCTCCTCGAGCATTTTGCGGTTCAGCAGCAGGGTAGGACGATCATGCTCTCGGAACTATAAAAACTCCTTCGGAAGGAAATCGATTCTGTGCGCTTATGAGGGAATTTTTTTGGGGGCAATTGGATGGATCGATCTCATATCTCTGTTCAGAACTGTGAGATTTTGAGTGATGATTCTTTGGTTCCCCTGCGGATTGGGATTCAGGGATGTCGTTGAGGATCTCGACGCTCCGTTCAAGAAAGTAAGCCATCCGCGGTACTCGAGATGTGGCAACGGGGAACGTGCCTACGCTGATCTCGATGAACAAGAAGAAAGCTTACCGAATCGCCCGCAAAGATTGTCGTTGATTAGAAAGCGGCTTATTATACATACTCAAAAGCTAATCGTCTCTACGGCAAAGATGCTAAAATCCCGAAACCGCTCCATCGAGATCTCTCTCGCACTCCGGAATTAAGAAGTCATAGAGACGGGTCTTTGTATAGCTCACAAGCTTCTAATATATGGCAAGACTCCCCAGATTCGTTCGCTTATTAGCCTGCTTGAATCCTTCTTTGATCGAGATAGAAGCAATCGCGAGATGAGTTCGTCCAGAATAGGGCTTGGCAGGATGTTTTGCCGGGATGCGCTCGAGAAGGTCGTGGGAAGATTTTAACACGATGCGGTTGAAGGTTGGGTTTGATGAAGTTTTCACGTGTATGCTCAGGCGAACGGTCAACTTCCGAGTGCTTAGGGAGTGCAGGATCGTTAGCCATGAGGGTTGGGGTGCTGAAGGAGGCGTTAGCTATCGCTATGGTTGTTGTCACTACTACGAGACGGAGGGATCTGAATGAGGGAGTAGATTAGATACCAATTGAGAAGACGGGATTTTTTGGCAATAGCTCGCGGTACAAGTGAGTTGATCACCCGGCTGGATAGGGACGTAGGCAGTCTGCTTGACTAGGCGTCTGGAGTTCGACGGGTATTGTTCGATCTTACGGCAATTGTTTCCAGATGTTGACTTTCTCCTTGATATTTCGTAAAGGCCTAATTCTCTCTGTCCTTTGAACTGGATCGGCCATGGATTGATTAGTAAGTCGTAGAGCTAGTTGGAGTGATCAATACGTACGTGTCAAAGTAACGTCCGCCATAGCAACATGCACATCTCCATTTCGTCTCTGAAGCACTGCCGTATTTCTTTGTCCTGCGCGCGTCCTTCGCCTGAAACACACCAAAGTGCAGCCGCCTAGCACCTACAAACTCACCATAACAAATCGCTTTCGAACGACATCTTAAGTCAAGCTGACGCCGCGATGGACGCGCTCACTAGCAATTCGAAACCTCATTCCAGGCTCTCAATCGAATACCCACGTATCGAGCTCCTCCGACGATCCACCGAAGAGCCTCACTACATTGATCTCACACCACACGTAAAATAGTATCAACCGTTCCCAATGGTTTGCGATGTGCGAGTGCAAGGTCGATTCAATGAAGCAGGATTAAGCTACGAATCGCTGGATGCCTCAACCGACGAACGGTCTCTACCCCGAGCCAGGTGTGTTTGGCGAGCTTGGGCTAGGTTGGATGGTGAATTTGCCGTGTCATTCGTGGGAGAGACCTGTCTGTTGATTGTGGCTTTGCGTGAAGGGGGATTATGATTTAGATGCAGACGAGGACAACCCAGAGGCGAAGTATCAAGCGCAGAACGGCCTTGTTCTGTTCTGGTGGTTCGTTGGTATCTCGGAGTACAGACGACCGGGTGCTCAGATAGTTCCTGGCGGAGATGGTCGGGGAGGAGGAGACAAGATGGGCGCGGATGGTTATTGACTTGGTGAAGCAAGACACGCTATGCTAGAATCTGCCGAGCACGATGCATCTCCTCTGTCGATTCATGCGGCTCAGCTTGTTTGGATAGGACGGTTGCGGATCTCTCGGCGGCGTCTTCTTCAGAGAAGATAAGTTGAGTAGTATGATACCAATTAGAGTGTTCCTCTCATTTGTACTTCCAGTTTGCCCCCGCGGCGTAAGTTCGACAGTGGGACTAGTAAGGGCAGGTATCTGTGCCCATGTATCGCTCTCGAGATCTTCGCTACCCTTGTGCTCGAGGAGAGCTATGTTAATTTGCCCATTTGACGCGCGTTGCTCTCGCTGACGCTGAACTGTCCCATATGCAGAGCTCCATCCTACACAGGATCTGCAGGCTGGGCGATACCGCCGAACTTTATCGATTTCGGGGCCCATACGAGCACGACGATGTATTCGACGTGGTGGAGAGTCGGGAGCGCTCCTTTTGCAATATGAACATCCCTCAAGCGCAAAATCTCGACATTCGCATTGTCGTCATTTTCAAACGCCTATTGGCAACGTAGTTGTACTTCGCCAACTCGTCGATGGAGAAAGATACCACGTGCGCAGATCCTATGCAATACGATCTTTACCTGCAGGTGGCCTTGGTCCGGTCGATGCCTTGATTCAAACTGGTGTCCCTGGTCATTTTCTCACTTGGCTTGGAAGGAGGCGATGCAAATCGCTCGCCTCTGGATGACAGACCATCGGCAAGAGGATGGTATTCGTTGCCAATCGATCTCGAGCACCAAAGTTCTTCTTGTGCTGCTGAACGGTGCTTCAACTGCACAGGAGACGGTGATATGGCGGAGATGGAGTTGAGGGGTGAAGTGAGGAGAGTTTTGGACCCCAAACCCCTTCGGCAGGAACCCTGTCAGCCTTGCCGCAGCTCCCTGTGCTACTGTATCATGCCACGTGCACGCCGCGCAAACATCCACCTTTCACTACTACTACTACTACTACTACTACTACTACTACTACTACTACTACTACTGTCGAAACAACGACATCGACGACAACACCACCACCTCCACCACCACCGCCGGGATGTCGTCCTTTAACATGAACGTCTTCCGCATCCTCGGAGACGTCTCCCATACCGCTTCCAAATGCATCCTCATCTGGGCCATCCACAACAACAAATCCGCCGAGGGCGTCTCCCTCCTCACCCAGCTCCTCTACATCCTCGTCTTCGGCACGCGATACCTCGATCTCTTCTGGGTGCCGCCATGGTTCAGCTGGTGGAACTTTGTCCTCAAGATCTTCTACATCGCCTCGTCGGCCTACATTGTCTTCCTCATGATGCGCATGTTCGCGCGCACCCGCGAGAAGGAGTACGCCTGGAAGCTCGCAACCTGGTGCCTGGGCGGCAGCGTCCTCGCCGCGCCGCTCGTCTGCCTCCTCTTTGAGGGCTGGAAGCGCAGCACATTTGTCGAAGTGAGTCACAGCCTGTTCCTCATCCTCTACTACCAACTTGCTCGCCCGGGATGGCCGCTGATCACCGGCGACGCCCATAAGATCCTCTGGACCTTCAGCATCGTCCTCGAATCCGTATGCGTCCTGCCGCAGCTCCTGCTGCTCCGCCAGACCAGCGTCCCGACCGTCCTCGACTCCTTCTACCTCGTCACGCTCGGCAGCTATCGCTTCTTCTACATCCTCAATTGGATCGTCCGCGGCATCGGCGAGGGCCACTTCGACCCCACCAGCGTCATCTTCGGCGTCATTCAGACCGCCCTCTACATCGACTTTGCATGGGTCTACTACTCGCGCCAGCGCGTCAAGCTGCGAGGCGGCGGCATTGTCGACAGCGACGATCTCAGCAAGAGCTTCCTCGTCAAGCGTTTCATCGGCCGGCGCGGCAACCGAAACGACACGGAAGATGAGGATATCGCCGATGAAGACGAGGGATTGGCTGGGCAAGAGAATGGCACCATCAGACCTGCAGGTCGCAACTGGGGCCCACGCGGCGTCTCTGTCTCGGCCGACGACACACTTCAGGAGCACTTTGACGGCTCGGCACGCGACGCGACCATGGTCGATCCATCTCATTTCGAAGATCTCGACGACGATGTCGACGCACCACCACCGCCAGCCAAAGATCAGAAGCCGGCTCCACCACCAAAGGAGACGGAGGAAACGGTCGGCAGCAGCGCCGGCGAGTGGCAGGATGATCCCGGTACCATGAAATAGGAGGCGTCTGCAAATTTCCATGACTGAATGAGCGTTTATGATACCCAAGGACTGCCCGAGCGCATCGACACACGCAGGCTTGACGAGATAGGATAGCCTCCGAAAACAAGCTTGCTTGTATCAAACAACAATTCCTCCCCTTCTCCTCTTCACATCTTATTTTTGTCGAATGAACAGCCTGCCCCACAACTCCGAATCCTGGGCGAATCCGAGAGGCATTTCGTTCTGTCTCCTTTCGCTTACGTTCTTCGTTAACATGATAGCCTTCGCAGTGGTTTTACCGTTGAAAGATCTGGCAATACGTGATAAAGATTGGGAAGGAATCCTCGACGATGGCTGCTCTTGTCCTGTCTCCAACCCGATCTCCGTGGTCTCAGGAGTCACTACAACATTGTAGATGCTTCAATGCCCGGAGAAGTTATACCTCTCCTCGGCCTACTTGCCCACGAACCGGATCCATTGAGGCGGAGAGCGTGAAAATCACCAAGAATGGTTTGCGGGGTGTGGAGAGAGCTCCACTGCACGACTCCTCACTGTGAAAGCTGCAGTGCCCTGCGTCATCTTCTTTCTGTTGGCTCTCGTTCTTCCACTGCCATTGACCTCTCTCCCACCTTTCATCCTCTCAATTGACCTTCATACTACAGCCACCATGGATCCATCCACCCGCGACCGCCAACAACAACCCGATCCCGTGGAAGAAGCCCGCTACCTCAACTTCAAACACTCCCAACCGGGCCACGCGGGCCTAAACAAATACTCGTCCACCCTCACGCGCGAACATGATTTCCCGGCCGCCCAAGCCATGCTATACGCCGCCGGCGTCCCGAACGAATCCGTCCTGAAAACGTGGCCGCATGTCGGGATCGCGAGCGTCTGGTGGGAGGGGAACCCTTGTAACACACACCTCATGGATATCAATCGGGAGGTGAAACGACAGGTAGAAAAATTGGATTGTCTGGGTTGGGGGTATAACACTGTGGGTGTCAGCGATGGGATTGCGATGGGTGGGGAGGGGATGAGATTTAGTCTGCAGACGAGAGAGTTGATTGCGGATTCGGTGGAGACCGTTACTTGTGCGCAGTGGCATGGTGAGTTCGTGATTCTCTACCAGAAGATTGGGGAGATGGCTGATATGGGAGGATGATAGATGCCTGTATTGCCATTCCCGGATGTGACAAGAACATGCCCGGCGTCGTGATGGGTTTCGCTCGGCATAATCGTCCTTCGATCATGATTTACGGCGGTTCCATCAATCCGGGTTTCTCCCAACTCTTACAGAAACCCATCAATATCGCTTCGGTCTACGAAGCCCACGGCGGATTCTTGTACGACAATCTGAAAAACCCGAATGATCCGAGCCAGACGAAAGAGGACATCTTGTCGGATATTGAAAAACATGCCTGTCCTACGCAAGGTGCTTGTGGTGGTATGTTCACGGCTAATACCATGGCCACGGCGATCGAAACTCTCGGTCTGAGTGTCCCCGGCTCCAGCTCGACGCCCGCGAGTAGTCCGGTCAAGATGCGGGAATGCGCCAAGGCGGCGGAGTGTATCAAAATCTGTATGGAAAAAGATATCAGACCGAGGGATCTGTTGACGCGGAAGGCTTTTGAGAATGCGATTGTCATGATGATGGCTCTAGGTGGGAGTACGAACGGAGTCCTGCACCTTCTTGCAATGGCCGGGACCGCGGAGGTGGAATTAACTCTGGCGGATTTCCAGAGAATCTCGGATCGAGTTCCTTTTCTTGCGGATCTGGCTCCATCGGGGAAGTATCTGATGGTCGATCTCTTTGAGATTGGAGGGATCCCTTCGGTCCAGAAACTGCTCATTGCTTCTGGTCTTCTGGATGGGTCGACGATGACCATCACGGGCAAGACTCTGGCTGAGAATGTCGAGAGCTGGCCCTCTCTCAAGCAGGGACAGGAGATGATTCGACCTCTCGAGAATCCGATCAAAGCCACGGGACATTTGGAGATTTTGTACGGGAATCTGGCTCCGAACGGGGCTGTGGCGAAGATCACTGGCAAGGAAGGAATGGTCTTCACCGGGAAAGCTCGTGTCTTCAACAAAGAACACGAATTGGACGATGCTCTGAATCGAGGCGAGATCCCGCGAACGGAGAATCTGGTTGTGGTCGTTCGATATGAAGGACCGAAAGGAGGTCCCGGTATGCCGGAACAACTCAAGGCTTCCGCTGCGATTATGGGTGCGGGACTGAAGAATGTTTCCCTAATCACGGATGGGAGGTACTCCGGTGCGAGTCATGGGTTTATCGTCGGGCATATCTCTCCCGAGGCGGCTGTGGGAGGCCCTATCGCGGTGGTCAAGGATGGGGATGTCATCACCATCGATGCAGAGAGAAATCGTATCGAGATGGATGTCAGCGCGGAGGAGATCAGCAAGAGGTTGGAAGCTTGGAAGCCGCCGCGGATGCCCGTCACGAGGGGCGTTTTGGCTAAATATGCAAGGCTGGTGGGCGATGCTAGTACAGGGGCTATGACGGATCTCTTCTGAGAGCAGGTGTTTGTGTTTTGAGACCCTTAGGCTGGTGATTTGATCTGCTCTCTGCGAGAGTAGACTATCTCGTTACAATACTCAGCACACCCAACCCAGGCATTGTAATTCGCCGTTCTACTAGCCAGCCGGCTGAGCTGTGATGTCCGCGCCTGAACCGGAAATGCTTCTGCCCATTGAGACAGATACCACACCGTCTGTCCCGATGAACGCTTGCGTAACGAAGGTCTTTCCCGTCCGAGACGCTGACTGCATCGAAAGTCATCCCGCCAATAATGGAGACCGCAGCTGAGGAAACCAGCACGACAACAAAAAACCCGCGTTTTCTAGCATGTCGCCGATGGCATGGCAAGTCTTGATTCCCGTCGTAGTTGACACTGCTATTGCTGTAGCAATTGTTAAGGTACCTTTGACTTCGGTCGTTCCCGCGTCCACGCTGCTCGCAGGACGGGTGCGGTACCGGCCAGTATACCATCTTCTCTCCTCTCCTCTCCTCCCGAGGCGACCACCGACGGCGTTTGTCGAATCATAAAGCGTGCTTTTGTACGCCCACCGCCATCGCATACGGCAGGCAGAGTTCTCCAGCCGTCCGATCGATGTGAGGGTGGTATCCATCGACGCAGTCCTCCGCTCAGGAGGAGGAGGAGGAGGAGGAGGAGGAGGGGATTCCACTTTGCACGATGGGGGCCGACGTAGTGAGATTCGCCTTGGTTCATTGATTCATTGCAAAGTGATGATAATCTGAACGCATGTCCGGTCGCATCTCATATCGTTGTGTTTGATCAGGATTCCATCGCCGCGACCTGACGAAAGCTTTGCCGTTTGGTGGCAGGTCGGTGGAGAAGAATCAGGGGGAGAGACGCCCATCATGGAAATCTTCCCGGCGGGTTGGAGGAAGTCGTTGTCCCGGGCTACGTCGGATGTCGTCGTGTTGATGTCTGCTGCGGATCCGTTGGGGCAAATGGCCCAGGAGACTGTGGCGTTCCTGTCAGCGCGGAATTTTGTGAGAGTGAACAACGGAGAAAAACTTCCAAGCGCTATCCACGAGATCGAGATCGAACTGGCCGCTCGTGGGACCAAGTCTGGCGAGAATTAGATTACCCCCATCAATCAATAGAAGCTCGCTCGTATAGTAGTCCAATTATCGGCATTCGCGGTGCTTTCGAACGTGGAAATAAAGGGTCTTTCATCGTACTGGAAGGACGCCGCATTGGAACAATAATCTTACAGGATGGAGATCACAGCATCGATTGGCCAGGCTGGTGGCGTGGCTGATCCACTGTCGTAGTCGAAGGAGAAGAACAGTTTGAAATCGATCCCTTCGTCGTCTCGCAAAGCGTTGGCGGCGGGGAAAGCGTGAATCTGCAATTCTGTAAGTCTTGAGAGCTCGAAAGAAAGGATTAATGTGCGGCTCACTATCTGCGTTGCTGTTGTGTCTTGATACGGTGCCCCGTTGTTCAAGACAAAAGCCTCGATGCCTTTGCTGTGGGCCAGTCTGATGTCGGCCTTCCAGCTGTCCTCAGTGTACGCATCGTTATCGCCAACCTGACCTCAATGAGGGCGAGATGACAACTGGGCTCTTGATCTTACTTGATCCAGCTCACGATGATGTGCGCAAAAGCATATTGTGCGTTGGCCAGCGAAGGCAGAACGGCGGCAAACTGGCAGAGCCAGAAGATCCAATTTGATAGCATCGTAAAGAGGTCACGGACTTAGTGTGATTAGCGATGCGGATAGTTGCTTGCCATAAGAGGTGTCAAAAGCGCTCTTGATAGCTTGTCCTAGTTCGACCAGTTATTGTACATCGGCAGGGGTGAGGGAGGAGAAAGGCCAGACAATCTCGAAGTAAGGTATGTCCAGAGTAGCTCGAACGTCTTGCATGGGACTGGTGAGCAACGACCGCCTGGACATTTCCATCCCCTCCCATGTCGATGTTGCGATCCGCCTATTCCCACACGAAGTCTTCCTCATGCTCTTCGACATACGCACATTCAGCGTCGAGGCGATCCAGCGCGGCGTTGTGTCCTTCTTCGGCTCTTACAGAACCTCCAAGAGATGGTGGCGGAGATGGGTTGAGGACTCTAAACCCGTGCAGCGCAAAATGAGATCTATTGAACAGTCCCGCTAGCCGGTCTAAAATCCCTCGTCAGTGCTCTCCCGAAGCGCCCTGGCAGCTTCACAGCCCAAGGAGATGTAGTCTAGTCCTTCGGTGTACTTGTGCTTCAACAGCATGCCCAGCTCCTTGGGGCCCGAGGTGCACCACCAGTCAGTCTCGCCAGCCTATAGTACAGAGAAGTCGGTATGCTCGAGACCTGACTTCTCGGAAGCCAGGTATGTTCCGAGTGGTAGGGACAAGGTTGCACCGTCTGCGAAGCGGGACCGCGGCTTCTCGTACACGCCGGATCATGCTCTTCCTGATCCTCCCTCATCTGCCATCTGGAAAGAGCATGTAGGTAGCGCGCGTCGCGCTGGTGGCATCCGTGTCGAAAATGAAGTTAGCACCTGAGTATAGCAGAGGCAACGCTTCTTTGTAGGTCTGTTTGTCGAGGCGGAGGAGCGAGGCCTCGAAGGGTTTAAGAGCAGGTCGAGCTTGTAGCGGCCACGGGAGCCGAATCTTGGCTCCTCAATATCTGTGCCGTCGTCGGAAACGCCAGCGTCGAAGCCGTGTTGTTCATCGCCATCGTCCTCATCGCCTCGCCAGGTATTGACCAAGTGATGGTAGTAGAGTCCGCCGAAAGATTCCTCCCGCATCTTCCCTCGAAGACTCTCAAGAGCTCCCGGGGAAGGACAAACTTATTGTGATCGTGCCGTTATGATGCTGGCTGAAGCTCGAGACCTGGCGGAACGATGAGCTTCCTGCACGGGAGGAAGAGGGACTTCCTGCGTGAGAGGTTCTTCTAGAAGAGCTCCTAGACGTCGAGGAATGCGATTGACGACTAACGTGATCTTGAGACCGAAAGTTAGTGTGGGTTTGGCCAGACGGTACATTTCGTGCGTGCGTATCCGGTGCTCCGGGAAGAGGTCCTTTGGGTTGACGAGTGGGATTGACGAATGGCACGGGCGTGCAAGTAAGAGTGATTATGGTTTCGACCGGGCGACGCATTTGATGCGTGCGAAGATCCCTTGGATGAGCCCCTAGTAGTTGACGAGTGCGATGAGAGAGGTGCGTGAGGGCGAGAACGAGAGCGATTTTTGTTTTCCCGTGGGTTTGGGTTTGGGTTTGGAGTTGGAGTTGGACCTGTAGTCGGACCGGGATTGGAGGTCAGAAACACCACTCTGCGCCTCCTACCATCGCTCGTGCCGGCTCCCTGCGAAAGGCCTTCCGCGATATGCTCTGCAAGGACACTCCGTCGCAGTATTGCGGCATCCAATTGCGCTCGGATTTCTGGCTGCAAGGCTGAGCCATCATTTGACGCGGAGCTTGCGTGCTGTCCAAAACCAGTGATCTGCCAATAGATAGCGCGATCTCCTGTGAGAGGCGTGCTAATTGTCTGTGATCATTCAAAGGTTGGCCAAGTGACCATTCAACAGTCGTAACACTTTTTGTGTGCTGGTCTCTCATGTTCGACGTATACTTATTGGGCATCAGCGTTAGGTTGGGGCCCAGGCTGCTGGCTGTCTCCCTGCGGTCCGCCCATATTAAAGTGTTACGACCTCCGGGCAAGTGTTGATGAGAGAAGTTGTGATACTGATGGTGAACACGCTAATACTCTATAGAGTTGGTGAAGAAGGAAGTGCACTTATGTGAATGTACCGCTTCTGGAGGTTGTCGCCAGGGCTATTGAAGACTGCGGGACCATCTCATGTTGCATACATGAGAGCACCCCACCATACGGCAGCAAATTTCAAAGCCATCTTCTAAGGCTGTGAAATCATCAAGAAGAGAGGAATGGTCTCTCAAAGGTATGTCGGCATGCCTTGGAGTCACACTTCCCGCAGAGCCCTTGGAGGAGGGAAGTAAGTATGAACTATGAAGGTCCAATTCTTCTTGCAACGTACACATTCGCCTTTCGGCGATTGTCAACGCTCCAGCACACAGCTGACTCCTTCCCGCAAGACGCGGTTGGGAGGGCCGCTCTTCAGAGAAGACCTTGTGGATTCCTTTCCTGGCGGAGAGGGCAAGTAGCTGGATTGTCGCATTGCAGCATCGAACGTTTGTCGCAGATATGCAAGGCAGAGACCAGAAGTTAGTTCGTAGGGACGCTCTCAGGCTGGCTTTGGGCCTAGAATGCGTGCCTGTTCTGAAAGGTTCCTTCCCCACGAGTCTGACGCGCAGAGCCGAGAACATCATGGTACGAGTGAAATTGGAATCTCGATACAGCTTTTCAGTCGCTCCGAATGAGAGTCTCTGCCTGAGCGTCTCTGCCTGTTGGCTGCGGCGTTGGTGGAAGACTTTCGAGCCGAAGGGAGGAGGACAAGGACATGTGGGCAAGGTTCTGCCGATGAGCTTTTGCGCCGTTCGTTGCACACTGGCATTAGATTGTGTGGTATGTGTTGACAAGGTGCTCGGCATGTTCACGTTCAACGTTGTAGCGTCGGGAGGGTGTCGTGAACGTGAAAATGAGAGTGAAGGCTGATTTTTCTCAGCGATGAAGTCGAAATTAAGCGAACCCATTTCGGAGGCGCTAGCGAGTCATGCAAGCCCGAGCCTGCCCTGCGACCAACCTCCAATTCCGGCAACGCATCTTTGATAAACAAGATCAACCACTCAATCACGATCCATTCTCTGAGCAACTCTCTACAATGGCCGACACGGAGATGGAGGTCGACGCGCCCGCGTCCCCAGAGCGGAAAAATGATCTCAGCGAAACCAAGACCCAGCAGAGCGCCGTAGCTGTGCGTAGTATTGAAGGCTGGATCATTATCGTCACGAATGTGCACGAAGAAGCCACGGAAGAGGACATTCAGGACATGTTTGGCGAGTACGGCGAGATCAAGAATCTGCACCTCAATCTGGATCGCAGGACGGGCTACGTCAAGGTGTGTTATACTCTATACGCTTGCGATTTCCCGCGTTTCAAACCGCTGACTACCGGGGAATGTTAGGGCTACATATTGATCGAATACCCAACCCTGTCCGAAGCGAGAGCCGCCATCGAAGGCGCAAATGGCCAACAGCTCCTTGAGCAGACCGTCTCCGTCGACTTTGCATTTGTGCGCCCACCACCAAGCAAGAGCCAGTCGGGTCCAAAGGGAGGAAGAAAGGGTGGCAGACAGCGTAGCAGGAGTCCTGGTGAACGCCGTGGAGGCCAAGATGATGACGAGGACTGAGCACATGTCATGAACGGAATGCAACACCAGGCCTACGGGAGGTCTTTAGCAGCGCGCCGACCATCATGTCGGCCGAGATAGTACGAAATGCGAAGGTAAGCGATGAGTCCAAGTCGGACAGCACAACATCGATTATTTCACTAACAACAACACAGTCTAACCACATGCGATGCTACATCGTGATAGGTGCTAACGGCAATCCGCCGAAAGCAACCACGCCCCTCCTCCAGTCCAGATCAATGTGCAAAACGGGCGGAGTAGCAGCAGGAATAGTTGCAGGATCCAATTTCGGCGCGACCGCGACCAAGCTAAGCGTATCGTGGTCGGAAGAGATGAGATTCAATCCGTCGGCGGTCTCCTCCGAAAGACCGGCAGCGTCAATGAGAGCCTTCTTGGCGATAAGAGCGTTCACCGCGGTAGTGATATCTGGCTGTATCGGGTCTGCAACCACTGCGATAATGCGGTCGCTGTCGGGAATGGACTCTGCGAAGCATGTCAGATGTCTCGATGTCAAAGACTTATGCAAAAGGAAGCATCTGCTTACGAGGAGCGATTGTCATGGCGTCGTAGTAAGCAATGCGGTTCGTGCGGTTGACTTCAGCGAAAGATTCCCGAATAGGCTGATAGTCGGCCTGCCCTCCGGTATAGCCATTCGCAGCGGTGGTGATGGTATTGATAGCTCGATCGAGGCGCAACAAGTCCTGGATCAGAAGGTCTGTACCTGCATCTCGCTCATCTAGTGGCGAGGCAAACGCGAGCGCTGCGGCAGTGACGCATGTGAGAAGAGAAGTGAACGAGACCATCTTGATGAACCCGACCGAAAGAGATCGAAGCTGGGGATCGATCGCAGTTGTGGTTCTCTTGTCAGATCACTATCCCTGACGAGCCTGAGCAGGTCATTAAGTAGAAGCACTGGTCGCGTCCATGTTATATGGCGTTTTGGACTTCCTCGCGTCAAAGTCAAAATTGCACGGCATATACTAGTACATCAGGAAACCGAGGCTGCGCGGCCGCGGACCTCGCAAGTTATTCGCTGCATCATCCGCTTTGGCTCTTCGCTCATCACAAATGACAAGAATGTTAACAGTGTCTTGTATGCTGCAAGCACACCCTCCGTCGCGTCTTCACAATGAAATTCATGTTTTGGCCTCGCACCTGTGCCACGCCAACTCGTTCAATACTTGGGTTTAGGAAGCGGTGAGCAGTCTAGACACGGGAGACCTAAAGTGTCATTCACAAGCACTCCATGTTCCCAGCCCGCCGTGATCACCATGTCTTCGACCTCTGCTCCAACCCCGACCGATAGAAAAGTTCGCAGCCTTGCTCGTAGTCCTATGGAACGATGACAGCAAGGCCGGATACTAAAACCCTACCCGGTGCATGTGGTCAGTACTGCTCGATGCTTGCTTTGATGTGAAGGGGCTGCTTGGTCTGGGTACAATGCGAACAATGAGATTACATCATTGGGGGGGACAAATCGCAAGCGAGGATCGCAAGCTTGCGAGCGGTCTGTACGGAGATAGGGAAAGGAGCAGAAATGACCAGACAAAGGAAGTGCTCGATTCCTAAACACCCGCAAACGTTACTCCTACGAACTTTCGTCAGCAAGGAGAGTGGCATACGAATTCACGGACCTGATACTAGTCAGCTATCGGCACCAAGACCAAAGGGAATCGAAATGCATTACCATGTTCTTGTCATCCTTGTTACAGTCCGTGCTGTGAGTCTTAGGATCGCAGTCGTTCCCTATAAGCCTACAATTCGTCTCGCCGATACTCGTACTCGAGGTCCATTTAACATCGCCGTACTGAAACTGAACATAATCACCACGATGTTTACCAGGAAAGACCGCGTTCTTGAGCCTCCCAAGAAGACGGAAGATGATGGCTGCAAAGTGCTCATAGCAGACGACACAACGATAGGTAATCGCCTATGTGGGCACCTGACTGTGCAAGAGTCTGCCACAGTGGATGCTTGATGGGGTCAGAGGCCATGTATCAGAGCCCCGGGAGGGTTGATGAAGTTCCAAAGAAAGTGACTTCTATCGTGAGCGACTCTCGAAAACAGTCACTACAAATGCTACTCAAGCTCCATCTGGAGCACTTGCCTGTGCCATTCCAAGATGTTGCGCAGCAGGTCGGCATCGTGCAAGTGGGTTTTCGTTTGGTTATCTCGGCAGCCTCATACCTCCCTCAGCTCAACAAGATCGAACAACAACAGAGTTGTGCAGGTATCAGTTCGGCACATGTCATGCTCAATCTGGTATCCATGACAGATCAATTCGCCTGGAGCTTCTACCTACTTGCTGCCAACAGCGCCGTGGCTGACATAATCGTGCAATCACCGCCAACACCGAGAGACTGGCTCAACTTGATACAACATGCTGTCTTGTGGACCTATCAGCTTTTATTGTAAGTGAGCTATATCCTCACGCGTGTGGGAAATTTGCTAATTCGTGTGATCAAGTTTCGTCCTCTTCCTGTACTATGCAGGCTTGCATCCGTCAGTCAAAGCACTGCTGGTTCTCCTGTTTGTCATTCTTCTCCTAGTGGAGTTTGTGCCGATATTCGGAGTAGTCGCCCTGATTCAACGAGATATAATTGGCGTGAAAGAGTGGCTGCCCGCGTTCGTGACCGGCATACACTTTTTGGTCTACATCCCGCTTGCGACTGCGGTCGGGGCTGGCACTTTCTCCTCTCAATGGAGGCTACTAAACGAGCGCGATAATGTTGGGGCATTTAGCACCAATTCATCATCAATCCAGAGCATTGTATTCCTGGTCTTAGCTTTCTGCTGGCCATCTCGATTGCACTTACCGGCGGGAGCAAATTGGCCTGGTCGGGTGCGGCTCGTGTCGTGGTACCAGATGTTCGGATGGGCTTCGGTGGATGGCTTGGTATTCGCAGTGTCCCAAGGCATTTTGTGGTGGCAAGCGAGACGATTGGGAGAGAATTTGTTGCAGGAAGAAGGTCAACCACTCCTAGTGTCGTAGTCGACGTGCCTTCGGAGAGAAGAACCTCAGAGGTTTCTGTAGCCTGGGGATCTGCCGATATCAAAGAAGAGGCATTCGCGTGCCAGGACTGATGGATCGTTCATTCTTGTCTATTGAGGAAATGCTCGCGATGACGCATGATGTCGCATGCCCTCATGTATCGCAGACGTGGATTTATGTTCGAGGATATCGATATTGTCAATCGTGTATAATGAGGCATGATACTCAGTGAAGACATCCAGCTCCACCTCAGCAGAAGCTTCGTTCTGTATCATTGACTGGAGCCCACGGCTCTGCGATCTCGGCATCTTTCGAATTCGTGCGTGAAGTATGCATTCGCATATAACAGTCGTCGAGCCGTATGAACAGGGTCGAAGTAAAGATTCGGAGCTGCGGTTAACAATGTCTTGTCCTGAGGACTTCGCTATAAACAGCGCCAGGAGATATGGACTTCCCTCCTCAACGCCGCGATCACACACAATGAGCAGCCAGCGAAATCAAACTCCACCGCGGTCGACGCGGCCACGGCCCCTCGCACCTCCTCCACGAGATTCCCAAAGACGGCTTCAACGGCATCGTATCTCCATCGTCGAGGACAGTGACACCGAAAGCGATTCAAGCTCCGACTCAGACCAGAGTCAGTACGACGAAGATTTCTATTTTCGCAGAGACGATGTAGATCTGAGCTTCGAGGGGACGATCCAATTCTTTCGAGATTTGCATCCGGATCTTGTCATTGAGGACGAAGGCAGTGATGTTGAAGAGATCATTCGCCTGGAAATCGAACCTCTGCCCACACGACGAAGACAGCCAGGCCGGCGGAATGCGATCCCTGATAATGGGGTCTCGGATCAGCAGAGTCAAGGAAGAACTGCTGCGGAGCAGGTTTCGACTACTGAGAATCGGCCCTTTCTCTCTCCCGCAGAGGTACTCGAGATTGTCAGTCGCCTGTACGCTGCCTTCCAACCCCATAGGCAGCAAGGCCAAGTCAACCACGAAGACAATTTTGTCCCCGATTAGCATTCCATCGCCCCCGACCTCCGGCCCACCGTCCGCACTCGCCTCTTACACATTGTTGGGAGATTCTACAGTCGCACAAATCCCGTGGCGACTGCGGATCGGATTTCCGGCCTCTATTATGTAGGTATAGCAGCCGGAAATGTCTTTACGGCTTTGGAGTTCGGCACCAATGGACCCACCTAGAATCTGGCAGGAGGATCGCTATTTGGGGTAATGAGGAACGTACGAGGTCTTGACGTCCGGCAGAGACTGGTGGGTGATACGGTCCGGTATGCTCTTGTGAACGAGGGCGAGGAGTTTGATTGGGCGGAATTCAGCAGCGCCTAGCTGAAGAGAGATGGGGGGGAGCTTAGACAGCAGAATCATCCGTTTGTGGTGATTCGTACGAGTCCTGCTTCGAGTGGATAGGGAGTCGTGTCTCAGCTTATTACGCGCACCTTGAGCAGCATTCGATAAACAGAGGTGCTCTAATAGCGATATTTGGAGCCGTTGTCGTTTGTGACCCCATCGGCTAAATACCTTCGAACGTTTCCAGATAGTCGGCAGATGCCGGTTGTCAGGGGTGAATTGCACTGTAGTAGTGAATTGCACTGTCAGAGGTGAATTGCGGCAGTGGCCGCGCAATTCACGCTAGCCCGATAAGTACTTTGGGTCGCTAGCATTCACTCGTCGTCCCCGTCAACACCTATAAAGCTGTTGACATCTCTTCCCTAATCAGCTCCACCTGAAGTAATACCAACAACAACACAGCGCTCCAAGTTGCGCATACCTATACAGCCTAGCCTAAGGTATAATTTCCATCTGAGAGAACTGGAGTCTGGAGCTGACTCGAGGAAACGACTAGAGCATACGAACGACTCACAAGTATTTGACCGCAAAAGCTGCCACTTCAACTGCAGTCGCGGCCATGATACCTTTCGGCATGGGCGCCGGCCCACAGATGCATTCAGGCTTTGGTCGGCCAGGCAGACGCAATCGCCATATGAGTATGGGTGGCCAACCGGCCTTGATCGGCGGCCCTTCACCACTGATGGGCGGTGGCTTTGGCGGAGCACCCGTACCTCCAGCTCTCGGTGGTGGAATGGGTGGGCGTCGAATGAGCATGGGTGGTCCTTCTCCGCTGATGGGGGGTGGAATGCCGCAAGCTGGTGGTTTCGGTATGCCTCCAGGCCTCGGTGGTGGGATGCGCGGTCGTCGAATGAGCATGGGTGGTCCTTCTCCGCTGATGGGAGGTGGAATGCCGCAAGCTGGTGGTTTCGGTATGCCTCCAGGCCTCGGTGGTGGGATGCGCGGTCGTCGAATGAGCGTGGGCGGTCCGCCACATATGATGGGAGGCGGTGGCCCTCTGGGAAATCGGTTCAATGGAGGCGGAATGCCAGCCGACAGTCGAGGCCATGTGTTTGACCCTACTCGAGCAGCGCGAGGTGCATCCCCATCTCGTGGCGGTGGTATGCCGGGACCTTCTGGTCATCCTCGTCAACAGTCGCCCAGTCGTGGGCGAGTGTTCGATCCTACGAGAGCCATCAGAGATGCGTCGCCAGATCGGGGCATACAGCGTCGTCAGAGCCGCGGACGAATGGTTGATCTCCCGAGACGAGCACGATCGCCTTCTCGTGGTGCACCCCCAGCAATGCCACGCAGCATCCTCAAGACGCCGACTCCTCGCTTCGATTCATTCAGCTCATCTTCTGAATTGGCACATGGAGGTCAAAGGTATGACAAGGTCAAGAATCTCAAGACTGGAGGCATGTCGGTCGCTATCATCCTTCTCCGCGGCCGTCGAGACGGGAAGTACTATGTCGAGAAGCGAGTCAGCGTGAGCGACAACTTCAAAGCCAGACGTGCGGAGGCCGAGCTCGACACTCTCAAGAAAGTTCGTGGACAGAAGCATCTCAATCAACTTATCGAGTACTCGATGCTGCCTGGAGGTCAGATGTCCCTGATCTTGGAGTACTGTGACCGGCAATCAGTGGAGGCTAAGATCGCGGAGACCATCCGGACAGGCGGAGGGAACTTCGGAGAATCCGCGCTCTGGAATATCGCAATGTGCGTTGCGGATGGTCTGGCTTTCCTACACAACGGCATCCAGGACACGGCCAAAAGCAACCGCGGTCCGAAGGACTGGGACACGATGTGCCATCTCGACCTGAAGCCGTGCAACATCTTCATCTCCAGCACCGGTGGCGAGTTTGGTGAGAGTCGTATTGTGTTGGCTGACTTTGGATGCGTCGTGAAGTACTCCGACATCATGAGCGGCAAGGAAGACTATCGTCGTCAGGGCTGTGGCACGCTGCCGTGGTATCCGCCAGAAGGGATCGTGGCGATGCAGGGCGGAAAGGGAGGATACGGAACGAGGACGGATGTCTTCATGCTCGGCGCCACCATCCATGCAGTGGGCAGATTGTCTCCCGAGGTGCCGATCCGACCAAAGTTGCTCTCGGATTCGCCGTGTGGAAGCTACTACTCGGCGGATATCAACACTTTCGTCAAGAAGCTGGTGGCCCACGACTTCAACGAGCGGCCATCGGCGCGGCGTGTGGCGGTTGCCGCGAGATCGAAGCTGGAAGGAATGGTCAAGATCTCGAGGCGTAGGCTGCATTTCCACTGAGCTCATATCGCTTCTTGGCATAGACCACCTGTACCGGCGTTGGAGATTACGGGAATGATTCCATTGACACTAGACGTTCTCTGTCATCGTGGAGCATGACGCAGGAAGACGGCAGCATGTCGAGCTTTGATGCGTCATGAGAGAATTTGATAGCAGGTGGGACTTTCAATAGTCAATGTCGGAGGGAGGAAGGAGTAAGGTAGTGCAGAGGAAGAAGGTGAAGTCCGGCTCAGCGGCCATCTCCGAGCTCCGCCCGGCTCGACTTCATCCCAACTTTCACAGATAGACGCAACACCACATTCTCAATCCCTCATTCCTCTTAACCTCACTCATTCCTGAATATTACATGCTCAACACTTCAGAGACATCGAAATATCCTCAAGTAGCAAGCAGACTCTCCACCATCTCCGCTCAACTCCAACCCGCCAACATGTCCTCCCGTCCGTTCATCACCTGCCACGTCCTCGATACCGTCGCCGGCAAACCAGGCGCCAACATAGATGTCAAGCTCAAGCTCATCTCTCCTTCGCAAGCAACCACCGCTCACTGGGCTGCCACCACGAATACTGATGGCCGCGTTGCTGCTTGGTCGTCTTCGGTCGAGATCAACGAGATCGTAAAGAATGTGAAGGAGCGTCTGGGAGACGGAGAAGAGATGGTCTGGAGCTTGACATTCGATGCCGAGAAGTACTTTGGGAAGGGCAAGACTTTTTGGCCAGAGGTAGAGTTGCGCTTTGCGGCGAAGAAGGAGGAGGAGCATTATCATGTTCCCTTGCTTTTGGGTCCTTGGAGCTATACCACGTACCGAGGATCGTGAGCGATCTATGGAGGTGTATGCCGAAGCGGGTGGTGCAGTATGCGATGCGTGATATGATGGAATGGCTTGGAGTAAGGACTATGAGACTCGAAATTGAGAGAAGAGCGAGACTCGATTGAATTTCGCGGGACAACCCACAATGCCAGCCAAGAAAACCTCATCCTTCGCAAAACGACTCTGGAGCAATGGTTCAATTTTGGCGCAATGCAATTTTCGGGTCCTCCAAACAAACCTCTCAAGAGCAAAAAGCTAGCGAAACTCGCCTATCTCAACACTCGAGCCGCGTATCGAACGCATTAGCAGTCATGCTGAAGAGCAAAAATTCAGAGACGGCGTCCCGTCTCTGAGAAGAGACCGCGTCCGGTCTTTTTTTGTTCCTCTAGAAATCAGGCTTGCAAGCCTATTTCCAGTGCCCATCGGGGCTGATTGCTTGCTGCAACCAATCAGCCGGGTTGGGTGATTGCTTGACTATTGCAACCAATCAGCCCCGATGGGCGAAGGCTTGAGTTCTGGAACTTATTATAAGACTTCGATCCGACAACCGAACTTCAGCCGGCCAGCTTTCATCCCCACACAGTTGGGCTGGAGTCGAATACAGATCGTAATGACTTTGATTCCCGCCTTGATGAGTAGTGAGACCACACGGGAAAAATCCTGTTCTTATTGCGGATATACTCGAGCATGATTCCCCATTTCTGGAGGCATATACCTAACGAAACCTCGGGCAAGACTTACGCATGACTCGAACAGCATTCAAGACACATACCTTACACTGTATTGGCGAAGTTGGAACACTGCTACAATCTTGAGCCTTGGCACGAACCAAAATCTCTGCGAATTCGAGAAAGAACATCGGGCGGTCCTGCAAATAGCAGTGCTCCACGAAGTTTTCATGTGCTATGTTGGAATTGGATCTACCGCAAAGTGAACGAGATATCAACCGGCAAAGTGAAACTGCGGAAACTCAGAGACAGATGCTGGTTCTCGGAAAAGCCCGGACTTGCAAGTCCAGAAATTTCAGACGTATTTTCAGGATTCCGATTGTCAAAGTGCTCTTCGAGGCGAATTGCTTGAAACGGAGCTCGGAAGGACGAAGGCAGGAGTCGTGTCAAACATTACGAAGGTTCAATTCTGGTACCTGGACTTCAGCCGACGATCATGTCAAGTGGAATTGTGTTCGAGAAATGCCAAAATGATACTATCAGACACCACGCGACCTGTCACGAGTCGTCTAGCCAGCAGCACGGCCGATCGATAGGACCAAGAATCCCTTTACTTACCTTTGTCCCAGCTCGGAAACAGAGGTGACTGCGCTGAACAGTTGTAATGCGCGATCAGTCCAAGTATTCTGGCTTCAAAAATGGCAAAAACTCCGAGACAGCGTACTGTCTCGGAGAAAAGACCTGGGTCTTTTTTTGTCTGGGCTTGATTGCTAGGCTTGCAAGCCTAGCGAGAAGATTGGGCAAGGCGCGAGCTTGCAAGCTCGGCAGATTGAGAACTGGGCGAGCACGAGTTTGCAAACTCGGCAGATTGGGCAAGATTGTGGGAGTGTCGTCTTGCAAGACCGTTTACCACTCCAATGGGCCAGATTTACCCTCCGGTGCTGATTGGATGATCAGACCCGAAGGGCAAAGACGAGTGCTTTGGAAGCCTTTTTGTGCCCTCGGCACGGAAGGCCGATTTTGAGCCGAGGGGAGCATGTAAATGCAAGCCGAACGCAAGGAATCAGTGTCTGGGCTGGGCAGTTCAGAAGAAAACTACTGAGCCGATTTTTCGGGCTTCTGGGGAATTCCCATCTTGCACTCTTCATTGGTCGAGAGACTATGATAGGGGAAGTTGTTCCCGTCCAGGTCATCAGTATAACTTGACTTACCGCGGGTCGAGTCTTTCCAGCCGAGCCGAGCCATGCTGAATCCGTGCCGAGATTGCTAGTTGCAACTGCGATATTGGCATATCAGAGACGTACCCTTTTCTCGAATCTGGCCTATGGGTGATGTACGAGGTATCCTGGTATCTGGACCATCCATGTACACAATGGGAGCGACGAGGACCGTAGCAAAGCTTACTACAGCCCCTTTGCTTCTGCCGATGCCGCGAGAGGAGGTTGGTGACTCAAATCAAGCTGGAGCGGCAGAGGAGATATCATTTGCGCCCGCGAAATACTCACTTCGATTGCTACTGAGAGTCAAGCGTGAGGATCATTCGACGCCTGGCGTGATACAAGGGATGATGACCCTTGGAGATAATATCCTTGTGCGAACTCACAGCAAGGATCTTGCTGGGTCTGGACTTCTGTTTGAATACTATGTTACGCTCTTTTGCAATCTCCTTCATCGAAATTAGGCCTTGGCTCCTGACCAACAAAACCATCTTCCGGTCGCTATGGGCGGCGTTCGCGATCTGTTCCAGCTTTGCCAAGGATGCCTCGTTTTCGAGCTTCTGCCGCCTTTTCTAGTCTTCTCTTGATATCAACTCGCCATGTTGCGGCGCAAGAAACTCTCCTCAACAGATGTACGAAAGAAGTCTTCAGCCTGCCCGATGTTGCTGGAGTCGAGTTCGTGGTCTTCCGAGCGGAACCGGTCCTGGGCTACAGTACAATGACGATTCCTGTTGTTCACATCGATGGAGGAGTTTGGAGCAACCTCAACTTTTGCAATGTCACCGTTGCATACATCCACCCTGGCCGCAATGATAAGGTGACCGTCAATGTTCAGCTTCCTCTGCATGACTGGAACGGTCGCTTCCATGGCTCTGGGGGTGCGGGACTCGCTGCGTCCCTCCCTTCTACAGCCATGCCTTCGAATGCTTTGGCACCAGCTCTGTCACAAGGCTATGCGGCAGCTTCGACTGATGCTGGGCATGTTCAAGATCCTTTCAATATCAATTGGGCTTTGGATGAGAGTGGACAAGTCAACATCGGCCTGCTGGAGACGTTTGCTTCGACATCACTGTATGAGCTCGCTTTAATCGGGAAGCATGTGGTGAAAAAATTCTATGGCAGACCACCAAGATTCTCGTACTGGAATGGATGCAGTACCGGTGGCAGACAGGGTATGATACTGGCCCAGAGATATCCGGATGCTTTTGATGGGATCGTGGCTGGAACTCCTTCTTTCAATTGGGCCCAGCTTTTGGTGGCGGAATATTGGCCTCAGCATGTCATGAATCGACTGGGCGATTACCCACCGCCATGTGAGTTTGACGAGATCAACAGGCTGGTGATCGAGGTTGGCTTTGCTCTTCTCACAAATCGGTGCTATGCGCTGACATCGAGGTCTGACAGGAAGAAGACATGGTGGACGGCGTGCGAGACGGCGTCATTTCCGACCCGAGAAGAAACGGCTTCAATGCTAAGAAGTTGGTCGGGAGACCGTTCATGTGTCAAGGACAGCCGTGGCGCATCTCCGAGGCCGCGGCAAAGATCGCCAATGCAGTATGGGAGGGACCTCGAGAAGCCTCTGGAAGACAACTCTGGTATGGTCTCCTCCCAGGGACACCTTTCTTCAACGCTTCTGATCCCATCACTCCCGGCATTGGCGGCACAATTTGTAAAGGTGGAACTTGCACTGGGGCGCCATTTGCACTCGCTCTCGCCTGGCTGCAACTCTTGGTCTTTCAGGATCCCAAAGTTGATCTTACCCGTTTGAGCAATGAGCAGTATTTCGAGGCTCTGTTTACATCTTACCAGAAGTACGACGGGATCATGGGCTCGGCGAATCCGGATCTTACTGATTTCAGAGGCCGAGGCGGCAAGATGATCAGCTGGCATGGTCTTGCTGATCAGCTCATCATGCCAGATGGCACTGCGGACTACTATGAGCGTGTTACAGAACATCACCCGGACGTTGAGAACTTCTATCGTCATTTCGAGGCTCCTGGGGTGGCTCACTGTCGTAATGGACCTGGAGCGATCCCCAAAGATGTTCTGGGTGCGGTCGTTCAATGGGTTGAAGACGACATTGTGCCGAACATGCTTACTGCTATCAGTCAGACTGGCGATGGAACTGTGAGGCCTTTGTGTCCTTTTCCGGCACAGCAGCAGTATGTGGGTGGTGATCCGAAGGACTGGCATAGTTTCGCGTGTGTTCCTCCGCTGGAGCGATTCGGTAATATTATTGTGTAATAGTTGTTGCTTGTAACATCTGTTCATTCTGTGCTAATGGGTAGTAGTCATAGACATCTTCAGCTGCTCCTCGACTTGCTTTCGCCACGCAAAGTACGCCGTGAGCTTCCCCACAGGCGCCGGACTCATGGGGAACAAGGTCTCGTGTCGCTTCATGAACGCTTGCAGTTCATCGCTCATCTTTCTTGTCTCTTCTCCTTTCATTGCCTTGTCTTCCTCTCCCTGTCCGAGTAACTGCACGGTTCGTGTTAACTCGAGTTCGCCTACGACGTGATGAAACGGCGGCTCAGAATCAGGGAGCGAGTCGAGTATCTCTGTCGTCGATGTGTCCACCACTACCTTCACCTCTGTCTGAGAAGCGGCGCCAAAATCCACAGAGCCAATCCTCGGTTCGAGTGCTAGCCAAGTCTGCCGTGCTGAATCGAGGTCGACAATCTGCTGCAGTTGATCAAACTCGAGTGGCTGGAGGAATTCCTGGATCTCGGCCTTCCCGACTATCTCCTCGAATTCGGAGTTCACGTAGTCGCCTCCTACTCGGACCTTGGCTTCCCATTCCACCACGGGGGCTGACTTGTCGCTGGTCGACGTGCTGCGGCGACGAAGCCAGATCCCTCTGGATACGAGTTGAGAGTCGGCTGTGTCGAAGTACTGGTCATTGATGAACTCGTCGGGCTGAGGAATGAAATTCAGGATGCCGATCGAGATGCACGGGACTGTTTGGCTCGGAGGTCCGGTCTTGCTAGCAATTTCGAGCTGCGATGTGAGGCGAGGGGAGGCGGCGACGTTGAATTTGCGTTCGACCTCGAGGAGGGCGGTCTTTGGAGATGAGTGAGTGCGGCGGACGTGGCCGAGAGTGTGAGGCGACAATCTGCAGCGGCATATGCCCGTGAGCGTGTTCGTTCTGAGCATCTTGGGCGATGTACTTTGCCTGATGCAATATCGTCGTCAGAAGTTGTGTGGGGAATTACGAGGAATGAGCGACATGTTTTGACAAACCGTGGAAGTGTCAAGCCTGCCGAAAGTTGACTTGACAACAAACAAAGAATTTGTCATTCACTTCACGGGTCCTCTTCGGGGATCGAGTCTGCTTTTCGGGAGTTCCCGCGTCTACGACTCTGTGACTGGACTACATTTGGCGCTCACGTCAGCTACTCACCACTCGAGGTCCTTCGGTATGCCACCGCTACATCCCTCCTCCTCGCCGCCCCCGATCTCCTTGGACCAGTCATACATTCCCCCTCGCTCCATATACGCCTTCTGGTCCCAAGTCACTTCTGACAAAGCCTTCTTCACCCCGACGTCCAAAATACTGGAAGATGCTTTCTCGTCCCCACTCCCCTTATCCAGAAAGCGAAGGTACTCGTCCACGATCAAATAGCTTGACGCCATCAAGTCATTCGACTCTGGAACGAAGCAGTCAAGGTGCTTATGGCGCTCGCAGAAAGAAGCAAACTGCTCATCCGTGATCAGAACGTCTTTGACATTCCGCTTGCGCTTGTCCAACTCTGTCTCCGCTTTTGATGCGTCGTTCTCACCTCCTACAGGCAGGACTTGGAAGACTTTCCAGCGGAACGGTCTGAGCTGCTCGATTGTTCCGGCCATGTCTTCCTGCCAGTTCCAGCGGAGTACCACTGTGTTCAGCTTGAATTTGATGTTGTACTCTTCGCACCACTTGCGGATCTGGAACAGCATCTTGACATTTTCGCCCGTGCCGCGGCCGATTTGGATGTTGGTTTCCTCGTCGAAAGAGTCGCAGCTGACCCCGAGTACGTCGATGTACTTGGCATTCTTCTGCAGCCAATTCTGGGTGATCTTGGTGCCGTTGGAGATGATGGATACCGACTCGAGCTTGAGGTCTTCTTTACAATACTGGCACAGCATGGATAGCAGCTTGGGATAGAGAAATGGCTCGCCTCCTGCGAAGTTGATCTTTCGCATCCCCGCTTCTTTCAGGAGCTTAAGGCCTCTCTTCATGTCTTCCTCGCTGGCGACATGGCTTGTCTTCTCGGTGTGAAAGCAGAAGACACAGGTCTTGTTGCATTTGCGCGTGAAGTGGAAATTGACGGACGTTGGCTTGGTCTCAGTACTCTTCTGCTTTTGCTGGTACCAGAAGGCTGCTGCTGCGATACCAGAGAGGATGAGAGCAGAAGACACCTGGCTCGCTCGGTCGGAGAAGAGTGTTGCGAGAACCATTTTCAGTGTGGTTCGGTCACTTTACTCTGGTGAGCGACCTTTGGATGAGTGGTACAAGCTGCATATATACGGAGCGGGCTCTACTGTCTTGGGTGACTGTTTGGAGCAATCATGGTTGTCTTATTGTGTTTGTCAACAGCGAAACAATGAGGACAAGTTGGATGCTTTGAGCCAGGCTGACGCGAATGACCTCGGACTTTCCCTGGATCATTATCTAGGACATCTTGAGCTCGGAAACCTCTTCGATTGGATCAACGAGAATGTTATAGGAAGTTGGAGACGCATCTAAATGTCTCGGATACTCTCCTCTCACGTGTCGAAAGATCCGTGCGCAAATACCTTGGTTTCCATAAAGCTCTGCTCAACATCGTTCCGGAGCACTCTTCTGTACTGGGACACAGTGTAGAGAGATACCGGTAACATGTGCGGAGAGCATCAACTTCGTTCTAGCGACAATGGCAACATCACTTTCGTCCTCGGAGCCCCCGGTGCCGGCAAAGGAACACTCTGCAAGCAGTTTGCCAAGGACCACAACTATTATCACCTTTCCGTCGGAGATTTCCTGCGGGAACTGGTCAGCAGCACGAAGCCATGTCAGACGGAAGATGGGGCGGTCGACTTGCAGATGATCAGGAAAAGCCTACAAGCCCGTGAACTCATCCCAGCCGAAGTCCTGGCCAGGCTCTTACGAGAGAAGATTGCGAATGAAAAGCAAAAGGACTACACGGGCTTTCTGGTCGACGGATTCCCGAGAAATGAAGCCTCCGCTGTTTCTTTCGTCGAGAACGTAAGTCTTCCAGCCGAAATTCATGTGGATTGATTGAACTTACGTCAAATAGGTAGGCAGACCGGGAAAGATCTGGATTTTCAATTGCCCCAAGGCTGTCGCGAAGGAACGGTTTCTGGAGCGAGCAAGGGAGCAAGATGATACTGCGGAGCTTTTTGAGAAGCGGTATACGGAATTCGAGAAGAACAATCGAATGGTTCTGGAGGTTCTCGAGGGAAAGTATGGGATTGCACGCATCGAGATTGATACCAGTGGCACGGCCGAGGGGTCTACGGCAAAGCTACTACAAGCGCTTGGGACGGACTAGCCGGAGATCTACGAGGGGCCACGATTGATAAAAGCGTCGATCAAGAATGCTTTGAAGCTTGAGAAAAGATTTGGGAGCGCTGGATGGCTCGGAATAACCGATCGTTCTAGGCAACGCTAGCTATTCTGATTATTGTCATACGCTTAACACAGCCACGATAGTGGGTTTTGTCCAACAGTTCCAAGGTTTTGAGTCTCCCTAGCCTTATCTTGTCTTTCGTTAACCGTCTCAGCGGCAATGAGATACGAAAGTACGCTGGAATAGACCACTTACAATAGTCAGACTCACTTCGCAGACTCCCAAGCATTCAGATCTAAAGTCCCAAACAGTTTGCTTCAACATGATGCAGTCCACCCGCAAAGCTGACGAGCATCTTCCCAACGAATTCAAAATCTTCTTCGTACGGGGTCCAGACGCTAAGGTAAGAAGCGTTCTTCATCACCTCGCTAAGAATCAATTGGAATACCTGTGGATCAATCAAGTCCAGCACGTGCAAGCTATCCAGGAGTCATCGGATCTTCCAACAGACAGGGATGAGATGAACAATGCATTGGCTATTGGCGTTGCTGAACAGATCTGCACCACGTATATCAAACGCGGGAACATATTTCTGATTGAAGGATACTCTGCCAACGAGAAAGCTCTTATCGCTTTTGCGAACCATGTCGGTATTTTCACATTCCAAAGACTGCCCATTTGCTGACATGGTCGTGTAGTTCGGACAGCCTTATGGTGCGCTCTGCGTGGGTCGAGATCCCAACAATCCACCCTCCGTGGAAGAGAGAGAGAGGTTATTGAACGATGTAAGGAGCTTGGGTTGATTAGAGCTCCTGTGGATCCGTCTATTCTCGATCTTCCAGCTTTCCTGGAAAAACTAGTTAGACGAATTTGAAGTCTTTACGACCACTGGGATCCGTTCATATGATACGTAACGAGTCGCGAGAGTGCGCAGGAAGTCTCTTTCACCTATATGTCTCTCTGCTCAATCAATCCCTTTAGCTTCTGTTGAAATGGCGCCGGAGGTTGCTTCGGTCACGATCAAATGAATCTAGGTACACGCTCCTCTCAGCCTTATGCAAGACTTACGAGGCCCCATCATTCTCCAGAAACAGCCGCTCTTCGCTCTGAAGTGGGAGTTTGGTCTGGAGACTCCGGCCTTTCACTTTCTTTCTCAACATTCATGGGAGCTTCTTATCCATTCAATCTGTCGCGCGAAGGGGGATCTTTTGCAAGGAATTAGTCCTTGCATGAGTGCTAAAGAGCAGAGCAGCGCCAATCCGACTCCAAGATATAGATCCCGCCTTTCAAGAACACATAAAGAATCATAAAAGCAACTTGCCTTCCCCAATTCTAATCTCCGTGTCCTTAAACCCTGCTCAAGCAGCCAAATCCCGCCCGGACTGTCCTCACTTTCTCTTCGTCTTCAGCCGGAAGAGTCTTTGGAAGCTCGCGAATGACATAGAGGACGTTTATTACCTCTCCGTTCCGGAACACATGGACGATCTCAGTCTGAGACCCGATGCATCGACTCCGGAATGCGGTGGTCTGAGATTCTATACATTGTCGGATAGTCAGCCTATACCAAACGACAGTCTGGTGTTCATCGTGGTGGAATAGATCTCTGTGGAGTTTCTGAGAGGTAGCAAGGGTTTTGTTGTTATCGAGGAGTCGAGCGGTCGAGGAGAAAGTTTTGAGGAGAGTGTGAGTTTCCTGAATTGCTTAGGTGCAGCGATCTACTCACTGCGGTATAGTTTTACAAGCTCGTTAAAGTAGAAGGTGGTGCAATCTATGCACCACCTGAAAAGCCGGAAGAGGTTGTACAGAAGTACCAGGAAGAAGAAATCTCCAGGAGACACCAAACGCAGGGTGAGCTGAAGTTCAGGGACCTGGTGGAGGATGCCATCGAGGAACAATAGCCGGAGTGATATTGTCAGCCGAGCGAGTATATGTGTAGATAGACAAATGTCACGATGGATTTGTCTTACATGGGTTGAGTGGTATTGCGCAAGCGATGCAGCCCACGCGATCGTCCTATCACGCCCAAGTGTTTCAATTCGAGTGGGTGTCGTCCCCTTGTCGTTATTCCTGGTGACGTTGCTGGCGATATCGCGGTTGACCGGATGCCCACAGAATCTCTCATGCATTGTTTTCCTAATGACCCAGAAGTGAGATGTCCGTTGGAATCGAAGTAGTGTGGTGCGCATGTTGTACCCGGCTCAGGTACCGGCTGGCTGCAGGCACAACGGCCTTGCACGGTCACACAGACGCGCAACGTACATTCCTCAGCAGAGATCGCGTTCCACAAGGGGATGTTGGTGCTTGCACCTGGGCTTTGTTTCTGGGTTATGCGGCACGGGTCTGGATGACCTGGGCGAGCGTTTGACCTGGACGTTGGGACGTCTGCGGTGGCTAGATATATGGGGGCTTCCTGCTCAGTTGGTTTCTCAAAGTCGTACCCAGCCGTTTTGTCGTAGCTCTCTCTCGTTGCATCCGTTGCTCGTTGTTTGAATTTTCCCCAAGCATGGCTCTCGCGTTTCTTACGCTGCTGCAAATCGCTTCGGCGGCGTCAGTATTCTCCCGTAACGCGCCGTCTCTCGAACACCGCCAAGTCTCGTCCAACAGCACGTACCCGTCACCATCGGCCAATACCACCTCAGGCTACAAAGCAGCTCTCTACTTTCCCAACTGGGACATTTACGGCCGCAACTATCAGCCGCAGGACTTGCCTGTGCAGAATCTGACCCACGTTCTGTATTCTTTCGCCAACATTCGTCCGGATACTGGCGAGGTCTATCTTAGCGACGAGTACGCCGATCTCCAGAAGCATTACCCCACTGATTCCTGGAACGATGTCGGTAACAATGTGTATGGTTGCGTGAAGCAGCTGTATCTTCTCAAGAAGCAGAATCGGCATTTGAAGACGTTGCTGAGTATTGGTGGCTGGACGTACAGCACCAACTTCCACGTACGTCCACGAGACACACTGTAGGACGTTACGATTGCTGACGCTTTCCAGCAAATGGTCGGCACCGCTGCTCTGCGAGAAGAGTTCGCCAGCTCCGCCGTGACTTTGATGCTGGACCTTGGCTTCGACGGGATCGACATCGACTACGAGTATCCGCAAAGTACCGACGAAGGCGCTCTGTTCGTCCTGCTTCTCGAGGCTACTCGAGCAGCTTTGACCAACTATTCCAGCTCCCTTCCGGACGAGCCCTACTTCCTCCTATCTGCCGCTGTCCCCGCTGGACCACAGAACTACCAAAACCTGGCAATCGCCGAGATGGACCAGTACCTGGATCTCTGGAACCTCATGGCTTACGACTATGCCGGTTCCTTTTCCACGTATTCCGGCCATCAAGCCAATCTCTATGCTTCGTCGGATAATGCTAATAGTACGCCTTTCAACACCGATCAGGCTATCCAGTATTATCTCGACAATGGGGTTACCCCGAGTAAGCTTCTCCTGGGTATGCCGCTCTACGGTCGCGCGTTCGAAATGACGACCGGCCCTGGTCAGACGTATAGCGGTATCGGAAGCGGTTCGTGGGAGAATGGTGTCTGGGACTACAAGGCTCTTCCGAAGGCTGGTGCTACAGAGTACTTCGATCCGAATGTTGGTGCTTCTTGGAGTTACGATGCATCCACTCAGGAGATGATATCTTACGATACGCCGACGGCTGCCGCTGCCAAGCTGCAGTACATTCAGTCGAGAGGTCTGGGAGGAGGCATGTGGTGGGAGGCAAATGGTGACAAGCCCATGAATGGGACGGGAAGTCTGATTCAGCTTGTTGTCAACGGATTTGGTGCGCTGGAGAATAGTACGAATGTGTTGAGCTACCCCCAAAGTCAGTATGACAATATCAGAGCAGGGATGCCGTCGTGAGTATGGTACCTGTTGCTGTGGTGGTGATGAGGTTTCGGAGGGAGGAAGATTGGCGAAGGAGTCGCAGCCGGTGGAATTGATTTCTGAGCGCTGTTCAAATAGGTATGATTAGATCTGAATGCACACACTGGAACATACCAGAGCTCCATTTCAACTTGATGGGTGCACGCCTTCTTCTCAGCCATGTCGTAGTTCGCAGTCTCGAAATTCCTACCTTTCAGTACGGCAGGTGGGCTTTGCAGGCGCGCAGCAGACGAGCGAAGTGTTTATGATGGCCGATAAGCCGGCAATGACATACCCCGCCCGGGCGACTTTGCCGCAGAGGGCGAAGGGCAGGCGAGAGCGCTGCTGCTGTGTGGGAGGCACCCACTACGGCGGCGAGGCGTAGGCGAGCGGTACCCGGTAGGCGAGCGGAGCGGCGTCGCAGATATGTTGCCCGTGGGCCTGCGGCAGATGGAGAGGGCTGATCTCGGAGGCATAGCTGGTGCGGCAGACATCTCGGGATCTCAAGCGAACGATGTAACGTGTTAGTGGTGTTCGTGGGCTTGGGAAGAGATTATGTGTTCCAGATGGCGTGCAGGAGCAGTTGAAGTTGGGTTGAGGTCGTGGAGTGAGGAGCCGGCGTTTTGCCGGCAACGAACATATGGGGTTTTCATGCTAAGCGAGGGCACACCTCACCTACAAAGTCTTCAAGAGCCTATAACAGGGCTTCCGGTCTCTGCATGGCGGTAGAACGTCCTCCTTCGTCATGCTGTCGGAAGGACTTCAGGTTTCCCGCGGTCTCGGTCCATACCTCTGGTACAGGAGCAGCTTCCTTGAGAATCCAGTTCAAGCCGAGTGGCTTGTGGATATGCCATGCCGGATTTCCGTTTGCGTCAATATTCCCGGGAGTGAGAAGGTGGCGAGACGGCGAAAGTGAGGTACTGATGCAGTCTGTCAGCCAGTACTGAGTCACGTCTTCGAGAGGCGTGGACATTGGTGGATCTTCATGTGTCCAGTCGAGCGTCTTCTCGTCGATCGAGGCCATTGATGCTATAGGATTACTTGACAGAGCGAAGGAGATAGCGCCGGGCTTCGAGCGTCGAAGATCGGTGCGTAGTGCTCAAGTCGTAAGTCGTTGGGAAGAGACGGCGCAGAAGCCAAGCGGCAGCCTGACAAGAATGGAATGATGATATGGTATGGCGGAGTTTGTGAATCATGTTTCTGCGTTAGCAATGTCAAGATCGGGAGGAATTCCAGTACGCTGCCTGGCCACCCAGGCATTGCCAGAATAGGCACGACACCTTTCGTCTCTGAGAAGGGCACGATAGAGTCTGACTACTCTGGAGAAATGGCCCGCATGCTGGATAGGAGTGGTACAGTTGGGGTAGCTGCTGATGGCGTATCCCACATCTCGCCCATTGACCGTTAGCACCCGCTAGACTCGGAGAATAGGACTTCCCGCATGCTGAGACGGCCCTGTTCAACGCTCATGGCAACCAAAAGTGGCAGTCTTGAGCGAGAAGATTTCGATTTCCAGTAAGCTGCGGAGCGAGTCTCTACAGCGAGTGTCATGGAATAGAACTGTGATTGATGGGACAAGCCAGGAAGGGGAGTGTGTGAAGGGGTAAGAGCCTGGATCAGGCGCAGACTTTTGTCACTTTCCTTTCCCGAGCACGACATTTGACCGGCCTTCTCCTCCGCAGATGTGGTGGGGTTGTTGTCAAGAAAACACCATCTCACTATCCAAACCGCGACGAGAAGATTCACGTTTCGCTTTCTACACAACGTCCTCGCTACGAAGCATCTACCGTTGGAAAGAGGCGATACGATCCGAGACTAGCTAGCTGTGCGGGAGCTGCAGTCTTGGGACATATCTATGTGGATGGACGCGATATGGACCGAGGGCCGTTTCCGGCTTCCTGGGTCGAGCACGAGGAAGACAGAAATAGCCTGGCTGAACAGGAATTTGGGATGCCCATGTACATGTGCCGGACATGAGGGCTGCGTGGGATCTGGGACAGGCGAGGAGAGTAGAGTATCGTGGGATGAGAGAAAGGATCTCTCGGCCTGTCGCTCTGCCTCCATCTCCCACGGCTGGAACATCGCAACTCGACGCTGGCGATCGCCCATTGTCCTGAGTAATACGATGATGAGAGAGGATTCTGCCTGTCACGGTCCAATGTCACAAGCAAAGACGCCATTTCCGATCAATGAGACGACGAGGTGAAGAGGTGAGGTCTCGCTGCTCATACAATAGACTTCCGCCCGCTCCATCACAACATGGCGGGGAAGGAAGCACGCAATCGCAACTACTGCAGGACGACAGCGGGCACTCCTCCAGAACACCACCGCACTCGACCGCTCTCCACTCGATCCATTGGATGCTCTCCTCGATGCCTCTCGCCAACGCTTCGCCTGGTCATGACAAGAACCAGGTTAGCCGCCGCCGGGCAAGTCTGATAGGCCGCCACGGCCGCGTGCCTCCAACATCTCCCCTTCACCCACACCCTCTTGTCTTTTCACGGTAAAGTGAATCTCATCTGAGTTCGTTGTTGCAGCCCGAATTGCTAGTATCCGCGAATTTGTACATATCTCCTGCTCTGCCGCAGTTTTGGCTATTTCCTGGTCCACCTTCTCTCGGTTACGCTGCAGGCAAGATGCCATCTGCTTACTCTAACTCTCCATTCCTTTCACTTCGCCCAGATAGCGAGTGCGGGCGGACGAAGCTCAACGGAGCATCTTCTACCAAGAGCTTCGCTTCCCTCAGTGGAAGCGCTTCACCGACGACGAATGGCAAGGTAAATGGCCATTCCGGCCATGCCAATGGCTCTCGAGACGACGAATTCCTGCGCCTTGCCTCCCCGCAACAAGATCTTCTGCTCCTCCACGGCCCGGGACAGAAGTACTCGCTCGAGAAGTCGAAAGAAATCCCCGAACTACAAGGTGACCGCGAGGTCCTAGTCCAAGTCCTCGCTATCGGCCTCAACCCTGTCGACTGGAAGGGCGCCGACTATGGCTTCAGCCAGCCCAGCTACCCTTGGATCAACGGAAGAGATTTTGCAGGCATCGTGGTGAGAGGGTCAAGAAGTAGCAGTCGTGTTCAGCAGGGCGATGTGGTTTTCGGTGCATCGACCGACTATCGAGATGTCAGAAAAGCTGCGTATCAGGAGTATGTTGTCACAACGGACTACAATGTCACACGGATACCACAAGGCGTCACTGTCAAGGAAGGCGCTGCCTTAGGCGTGGCTTACGTCGCTGCCCTCGTCTCGCTCGGAGTTAGCTTTGGCTTGGATCTCACCAACCTCAGGAATGCTCCTGCTGGACCAGACTTTGCTCGCCTCATCCGCTCTTTGGACCCGCGAGAGCTCCCTGAAGATATTCGCGGCGAGGTCTTCTCTGGCATTCCTCAGTCAGAACGACCCCAACCGGGCGAGTGGTTGGTGATCTGGGGAGCCCACAGCATGACTGGCCAGATCGCTCTGCAAATCGCCAAACACGCGGGTCTGAAGGTTGCATGCGTTGCAGACATTGCCCGCGGCGGTGCGCGTTTGTCCGAGCTGGGCGCTGATTTCCTCGTCGACAAGTATGACGACAAGCGGGCGATCGAGATCCTCAAGGCTGTCACTGGGGGCAAGCTTCGCTTGGGCATCGATTGCAACGGCAAGGACTCTGCCACATCTCTGCAAGAAGCTCTGTCGCAGGCCGATACTGGTCTAAAGTCTCATATCCTCGGCTTAGCTGGTCTTCCCAAGCACGTCGGCAAAGGCGTTGTACACCACAGCGTTCCCATCAAGATCTTCCACGAAGCGCCTTCCGTTGGTGAGGCCATGTCGGTTTGGTTGGAAGAACTCCTCGTCGCCAAGAGCCTGAAGCTGCCAGATGTGGAGATTGCCGAGGGCGGTCTTGCCGGCATCAACGACGCCCTTGATCGCATGCGCACTGGGCATATCAGCGGCAAGCGCATCGTCGTTCCCGTCGGCGCAGAATCACGGAGTGGCCATCAGTCTCCCGTCACAAATGGCGTTGTTCCCAACGGCATTTCCGCTCCTGCCACCGACTCTCACGATCTCAGCTATGCCGACGAGCTCAACTCCGACCCAGAACGTGTGCGCTTCGCATACTGGGTCCCCAATGTCTCGGGTGGTCTGGTCATCAGCAAGATCAAACAGCGCACAAGCTGGGACTTGAAATCCAATGTCCGCTATGCTCGCACCGCGGAGCGTGTGGGCTTTGAATATGCGCTCTCTCAGATTCGATTTATGGCCGGGTATGGTGCTGACAACCAGCATGAGCCTGTCTCCTTCTCGCAGGCTTTGCTCATGTCTACAGAGCGCTTGAAGGTCATTGCTGCGCTCCTTCCAGGGCCTTGGAATCCTGCTGTTGCGGCCAAGCAGATTGCCAGCATTGATAACTACTCCGAGGGGAGAGTCTGCGTGAATGTTGTCAGTGGGTGGTTCAGAGCTGAGGTAAGTCTTGCACGTTCTGCAGGTTTCTGCTGAGGTATGCTGATTTGTTCTGCAGTTTGCGAGTATCGGGCAGTGGTGGCTCGACCATGCGGAACGTTATCGTCGCAGCAAGGAATTCATTCAGTGCTTGAAAGGCATCTGGACCAACGACAAGTTCACCTTCAAGGGAGACTTTTATCAGTTCCACGACTATCCCCTCAAGCCAAAACCGCTCAACTTGCCCGGACGTCCATACCCGGAAATCTTTCAGGGTGGCAACTCCGACGATGCCAAAGAGAATGCTGGATCCGTGTCGGATTATTACTTCATGAACGGTAATACACTGGAAGGTTTCCAAACTCAGATCAGCGATGTTAAAGAACGAGCAAAGAAGAATGATCGTGAAGGACAGGTTGGTTTCGCCCTCAATGCTTTCGTCATCTGCCGCGAAACAGAAGAGGAAGCCATTCGCGTCCTGCAAGAAATCCAAGGCAAGGCAGACGCTGAAGCTGTCGAGGGCTTCCGCCAACAAGTGCAGAATGCTGGATCTTCGACGTCGAACAAGAGTGGCATGTGGGCCAATTCGAAATTTGAAGATCTCGTGCAGTACAACGACGGGTTCAAGACGAAATTGATTGGCACCAAAGAGCAGATTGCCGAGCGCATTGTTTTGCTGAAGAGTCTTGGGGTCTCTATTATTCTGTGTGCATTCTTGCACTACGAGGAGGAGATTGAGTCGTTTGGGAAGGAAGTATTGCCTTTGGTGCGGGAGCTGGAGGCAAAGGGGAGGGGCAAAGATGTGGAATTTGAGATTGCGAGGACGGGAGATGTCTACCGCAAAAAGTAGGTCTTCTTCCTAGATGCTTGCTTGCGGTGGTGGGTGGGATGTACGCTTATGCTATGATACCTTTTTGTAGTTCTGAGAAAAGTTCTGTTGTGCAAGGCCACTCTCATGGCGAATCGCGTGGAACACTCGATGTATCTGCGCAGACACTACGGCGTTGCGGAGCTGCGGTGCGAAGCGAAGACTCTGAAGCGGTAGCAGATACCAAACAGGCTGCTCTGGGTAGAGTTATTGAAGCTACCAGCCAACCTCCTCCTATCGAGGAGGTATCAGTCTTGAACACACAAAGAACGGCCGTCACACTCGAAGAAACTTCGGTCATGACTCCCTTTCAGATTGCGCAGCAGCCGAAGATTCCACCGGGCAGTGCGGCTTCGAGGGGGATGGACCCTGAGGTGGTGAAATCGCCAGAGGCGCTGAAGACATCGGATGAACGAGAGCATCTACCGGAAGCGTCTTCGCATCGAAAGGAGGAAGAATGCTTTCACTCAAAAACGCCGGAGCTCAATACTGACGAGGGAGTTCTCCATGTCCATGATCCATGCGAACAGGGTGGTGCTACTCTTCCTTCTCTATCAGCGCCAACAACAGTAGATACCATTGAGACTGCTGCCCAAACCTCTGCCAATGCGCGGGGTGCTCCAACTGACGAAGCAGCAGCATCTCGACCATGGGCATTGCAAACTCAAGCCGGTAGTATTGATTCGAAAGTCGATTCCGTCGTCGTCGTCACCCCGACCAGCTCGGTCGAGGAGCAGCAGCATCTCGATGATGAGTCAGTGACGACTGCCAAAGACTCTGAAGATTCTCAACCACCACCCGGAACGGACGCTGCTGCGCCTTGTGTTCTTCCGCGATCTGACAACCAGCCCCGTGTGAGCACGGATCCGAAGGTCGTTTCACTCGATGAAGGCTCCCAGTCGCTCCAGGGAGACTTGGCGATTTCTGAGCGACCGCGATCTTTACCTTCTGCGAGCATGGAATCGGAAAGTCGACCTGCTGTGAGCCATGAGCCCAGGAGGGAAAGCCGAGACGGCGGCGGCTTCTTCAGGGCGCTCAGGCGTGGGCTGAGCGGACGTTCGAGGGCAGGCTGGTAAAGCAAATCTCGCTTGTACCAAAGTTTGAGAAGACTGTGGTTACAGCGACTGTTCATACGGGCGGTAAGGTTGTTTGTCGAAGACATGATCTGCGTATCGTTCGACTTGAAAACCAACAAGATTCCTGCTATATTCCACTCGATTGTCACGCTATTCGACTCTACCACAACGGCATGTTAAACGAATTCTCATAATCGACATTACTGTCGACCGCCTCGATCCGATCTCCACAAGTGCCGAAGATCCGATCCCACAATCGGGTCTGCTTGCCATAGTTGTGGCTCTTGCGCCAGCCCTTGCGGTGGTGGAGATCGTGGTCTTCCACTACGAGTTCGCATCGGAAGAACTTCAGCAGCCAGGAGGCCGCGCTCGGGCTGGTGGAGTACACGCGCAGGCCGCTGTGGCCGAAGGCTTCGGAGAAGATGATGTACTCGTGGCAGATCCACCAGTCGTGGAAGCCCTGTGTCATCATGGTCAGTGGCGGGTCGGGCGCAAGACAAAAGAACGCAGCCAAGGGGAAACACGAACCATGGGCAGCCCGAGGGCGTACTTCAACGTTGCGTATGTGAGGAGCGGGATGAGGGCGATTTCCAACACTTCTTGCTCTTCGTCGGCGTACGATGAAAGTAGCGGAGTGGGATGTTTGGTCAGGTGATGGGTCCTGTTCGAAGTGTCAAAAAGCTGCATCTCTAAGCTTGTCTTCACATCTGCGACGAACCTGTGGTATTTCCAGAGCCCGTCGAACTCGTGGCATAAGCGATGGTAGGTGTAGAAGAAGAGGTCGAGCACGATGGAGTACAGGCCGAGCTCGAGCGGGAGCCACCAGCTGAGCGAGAAAGGTTGGTTGGAGCGGTACGCGAGGAAGATTGTGAACATGGGGCGGATCGTGGTCGTCAACTGGACCGATGCCCACACTTTGCCGACCTGTGGGTGGGAGAAGTGTGTCAGTACCTTGCGGTACAGTGTGCAGATCTGGACACGAGCGACTTACACCAACGTCTGGGACCTCGTCTCTGGCATGCTTATCGCCATCCAAGAAGCCATATCGGTGTGCCAAGCGGCGCAGGATGCGGACCTCATGGACGGAATTGATCTGCATCGCGGCAGTGTACAGGAAGAATGCGGCGACGGGATGCAGCTTCCAACCCGTCAAGGAGATGTACAGGTATTGAAGTGCAATGGGCCACAGGGCTCGAAGGAGGATGTATCGATGGCATGACCTTGGCTCTCGCGTCAGTCCGGCGTCAGAAGAAAGGTGTTGAATGGAGACAAAGAGACCGACCATTCAGTGAGATATGGCATCTTGTCCGTCTTCGCGTGGACGGGGACCTCTTGGTCTGGGAATACATGAAAGGCATCGACGGCGTTCAAGAACTTGTGGTAGAATCCCCACTGCCTCTTGTCTGTTCGCCAGGTCGACTTCATCGAGTCTTGCGGTGGTCGTCCGTCGACATGCATCGTGGTGGCGTGCGTGTGTGCTTTCGATCTGGATGATTCAAAGTGCAGTCTGCGGGCACCGCGTCCATGTCTTGTTTTATGAGCATGGCTTCTATTACTGAAAAGAAATGTTGATGCCTTCGGCACTTGACTTCGTCTCCGCGGTTGCATGTGAAAGAGAGGCACAATAATAATAATACTTTCGGCATTCTTCGTTATCGCTTTCTGCTCTCGGGGAGGGGCCGAGAGGTCATCCAACTAGGTTCTGTAGAGTATTTCCCACGCCGATCTTCTCCCGACCATGACGATTGAACAACTGCACCAACCTCTTCTGGCCATCTCATCTTCCCCCGGCACACGACCCCGGAACGAACACACCAATTGCCTTGCCTTGCCGTGCTTCGTCTTGCCGAGCCTCTCGTTCCCCCTTCGTACTGCTCGCTTTGCCAGGTGCGATCCGCTCGAACTCATTCACGAGCCTGCGGAGGCGTCGGTATCGCGCTCGCGCTGTGTGTGGCGCTACAGGTCTCAACTTCCTGCCAAGTCAGCAATCTACACGCTCCGGCGCGGACCTGGTCCTTCACATCATTGGAGAGGAGCTTGTTGCGTCCATGGGTCTGCGAGACGTCAGCGTCGTATGGCCATCTTCATACGCTGAGTTGGAGCCGGGTGTCGGCGGGAAGTGATATTGGCGCGGCAGGCCATTCAGTCCTGCTGTCTTCTCCAACAGAGCGCGGGAGGCGCCACAGTTAACGACTGATGTATCAGCATATTCGTCGGGCACGGTCCCACATTGCAACAAATCGTCTTACCTCCGAAGCATTCTCGCAAGACGCCCAGCACATCGGATCGTGACCAAAAAGTTCGTGAGTTAGTGGACAATCTAGGCTGACTTGTTACAGGCAATGTAGACGGAGAAAGGGCGTTGTGGGGAGAGACTCGCAATGAAGTCGAAAGAATGGCGATTGCTGTATTACACGACCTTTGCTAAGAAGGGTGCGACTTGATCGACAATTCTAAGATTCAAGTTAGACCTTGGTGTTTCCACACTTAACAAGCACACCGTCAGAGGTCGTACAATCTCCACAGGCAAACTCCGTCTCGAAGAACTCTCCCTGCCCATCCTTACTGGTAGCCCTGAAGGTGTACAAAAGATCCTTATCCTTGTCATGCCCAGCCTTCGACTGCGCCCTTGGGTTGTTGTACTTGAGGATGTCAACAAGCACACCTCCCTCGGTGATGTCTTGGTTGAAGTACACGTCGAGCTCGACGCCCTTTTGTACTGGTGTGCAAGGCACAGTCCAGGTGTTGTCGGCGTATGGCTTCAAATCGACACCGGAGCAGAAATTATCTCTGAGGGGCTCGACGATTTGGTCATTGTTAACGTCGTCCCAGAGATAAACGTCGAGACGGAGATCGTTGGTGGAGACGTCCTGGCCGCTGAGCTTCTCCTTGGCGATATCTACTCCTCCTTGGGCGCTGGTGGCTTGGTTTGGGCCCACGTGGAGAGTAGCGTTGAAGTGCAGGCAGCCGAAGGCGGAGGGCAGGTAAGCTGTTGCCAGCAGGGCGAGAATCGTCTTGGAATTGTATTGCATGATGGCAGCGGTTCCAGGTTCCTGAGCGATGGTGTTGAACGAATGTAATGTGCTTGGGGCTGAGGTGCTAGAGGAATGCTGCTGTTGTGCACAGGCTGAGTCTTTTATAACCTTTATTGTCGACAGTCTTTCCATAAGCGTGTACCTGGGAATGCTCCGCTCGATGCCGACCTTTTTGCCAGCATCTCCGTGTCAGTTGTGATCCTGCTCATTCCGATTCGTACCGGATCGCTTCTTGTGCCTTGTCGCGGCTACCTCTATTGACCAGCCGCGTCCTTGTCCGTGCAAATTAATCAGGGGAAGTGCTAACTGGCGGCAATTGTAGCCAGCACGGTGGAGAGCTCGACAAGACACCAGGAAGCGGACACGTCCGGATGCCGTGCTCGAAACGGACTCTGGTTGAGTCATGGCAGTCCAAGAACCGACTGTCGTAACAGCAGATATACTGCTATTTGGCTTCCTAAGCACCCGCCGAACGGTTCGTGGTATACACGTGAGTGGAAGTAATTGCCTAGAATCCTGTCTTAAAGTCAGAAACCAACAGTCAGACAGGCCTAGCTAGATAGCTATATAAGCACGGATCCTATAAGGATAGGGCAACCCAAGCCTAAGAGTAGTATAGTTCCAGAGACTCCTTCTCTTAGTAAGATATAGAGTAGGGTAAGACTTAACACAATTACCTAGAATCCTGACTTAAGATGACAAACCAGCTAGCCAACAGGTCGAGATGGCTATACTAGCATAGATCCCATAGCCAAAGAAGAATCCAAACGAGTTTCGACTACGTAAAGCTTTCCAATATAGACTTCAGGCGAAACACGTGCCGTAACAAACTTCGGACAGCTACTTCGGGAACTCCGCGACAAGCACCGGGAAGGCAACGGTGTTCCATACTTGAGACCTACATGCGCCACTCTAGCCACTCCCCTGCGGCCTACTGTGTTTCCGGGACTGACATGCCTATAATGCAAGCTGTCCTAGTAATTCGAGTAACACAGCGGGGTTACACTCTACTACGGTAAGACCTTGCTTAGCGGAGAGGGCTCCCCCGTGGTCTTCGCTTGGCACAACTGACCTGGGTAGAGAAGTCAGTTATGTTTGTTGTGAAGAGGGGTTCTCAGAGCCCAATGCATGCTCCTTGGCTACAAGAACTTAGGAGCAGTTTAAGCAAATCCCCGAGAGCTCCGAGATGCTACATTGGTTATGTTCTGATTGTTCGATTTTACCGTCGTCGCTTTCTCAAGATGAATAAATGCGCTTCATGCCATAGCATCAGGCAGGATTGACATCGCTCGTGTCGTGCTGCCGTCGTCTATGGCTTTGAAAGCGCTTCCCAGAAAGCTGCAACCTGCGACAAAGTCGTTATGTGCAGCTCGGTAGGTCGATCTCCGTGCGAGATACAACCATGTTGCATGTACAAGCATTATGAGCGCCGTCCGTCCATTGCCCACCCACCAAGCAAGCCGAGAAAATATCGTAGAATCGGATCCTTGACAGAACTCCTTGTCCCGGGCATACGAAAGGCAGTGCCGCTCCTCTACCTCGACGAAAGATTCGCATTTTCCGCGTCTCCATCAATCCAGTCTTGGGTACGTACCCGTGCTGATCCTGGAGGAGCCTGCTGCACGGGCTAGAGCGACGGATGGAAGAGGGGGTCTGGGGGGGTACACGGAAAGCCAAAGATGTAAGATCAGGTGCGATTACCTCTTGGCGCTGGAGCATCTCCGTATTGTTCGGGTATAGGCCTTCCCGCTTTGCCCGCTTCCTAAAGACCTCCGATTATGCTCCTAAGTCAATGTTGACCGAGGTGAGTACCCGGTTACAAGCCCGATTGTATGCGCCCAGCGATGTCTCGTAGAGAGGCGGTGTATTGGAAAAGAGGTTTGCCTACAATGCCGCGGCAGCATCTCAGTGACTAACCTGGCCAGAGGTTGTGTGTCGGTTTTGGTCGACGTTCGGCAAGCTTCGATTGGTCGGTGCAGTACGATCGGCTCTTTAGTGATCGCTTTAGATCTCGTTGTGTGGTTCGACTGACAGTCTCGGTAGGGCGGAGTACGCCACGTTTAGAAACGCAGATACATGGCCGCCACTTTGTCGGAAGACCGAAGCATTTTGAGCCCGTTTCCCATTCGGAATCGACGAAAACTCGGATGCTTACATGCTCTGCTTTCAAGGTTGGGGTTCGATATGAGACGAGGGCGCTAAATGAGGAATGGTGCTGAATATGTCGGCGTAAATGGGACGATGGCAGTAAAGCGGTTCCAATGCCATTCACTGCTGCGATATACGAGAATGAAGCAGCTGATCCTGGCAATCCAACCGGTCATCATTATTACGACGGTGATCTCCTCGGCATTCATGTACAGCACGCCAATTGATAACGGCTTTACCATGGTATCTGCATTGGCGGCTATACCTCCCCAGAGCCTGGAGTTGGTCCGCGGAGCAGCGTTGTCGGAGGGACTGAAAGAGACGCTTTGAGTTGGTATGATTTCTGTGCATCGGAATCGAGAGCAGGATGGAATTGTACATGGACCCCATCGCGTTGGCGAGGCCGTACTTGTGGGGAGATTGACGAAGGGGATGAAATATCCTTGAGCATTCCCGGTACGAACCTCCTGGGCACAGATGTCCGAAAGCCCATCGGAACGTCGAATGAGAAATTGATTTCGCCAAGTCGGTGCAAGAAGGCCAGAAAGATCAGACTAGCCTCGCAGTGCCAACCATTTCCGTTCAGGCTTCCCCACGTTAATTGAGCAAAAACCTCGGAGCTGCTCATGAAGCTGCTGGGTAGTAGTCTAGAGTTCTTCTCGTGATTGTCTAGCTGGATCAAAAGGCCGGATTTCGTATGTGAGAACTTAGCGCTCAACACGAGCGCCGACATCTCGATTAAGGCTTTCGACCAGAGGAAGAGCTTTCCATCGTCGTACGTCACCAGGCAACGGCTGGATTCCGGTCCGTCTAGGGGAGGTCTCTCATGACAGCCGCGGGGGTTTGCTCAAGCTGGGCGATCATCCGGGACCTATGGCTTGTCTATGTCGAGAATGCGAACAGCCAGAACGTCTTAATTTCGCCGGCTGGCGCACGGCGTCGCAATTTCTCATGTGTTTGGTGGGCGATACAGCCCAAACGTTTCCGTGCTCCCGCGTGCTCCTTAGTAGCTCAAAATCGCTAGTTGCCCATGCGAGTTTACATACTTTTACGTATCCACTCATCGTCCGCCAGTGCTTTGGCCGAGTGGCGTTTCGAAGGGTCCCATTGCAGCATTTTCCGCATAAAGCTTAGGAAAAGCTCTCGGTCTTCCGAATCAGTCAGTGTGGTCTCTCGGTCTTCTAAGGGAGCCGAATCTGGCGCTGGGATATCTGCCAGAAGTTTACCTACGGGACGAATGTCTCGGCATACTATCAGAATGACGCAACCAAAGCCTTCCACTTACCATCTTGCGTAAAGAACTTCTCACTCGCGCTACCTCTGGCGAGTAGATCGAGTGGCGGCGGACCTAGTAGCGCAGTTATCTCTGCCAGATGCGCCCGACTCCTGTAGCGTTGAGCTTCGGGATCGTAGCCGGTGAAAAGATGTAGTCAAAAGTTCTTAGACCAGAGTTCAAGGAGTTGTACCCACCATGCAACCAGCGTTCCAGATATCAACCTCATATGACCAGGGAATTTCTAATATGACCTCGGGCGCACGGTAGATATTTGGTTGTATATCCTCCGTATGCTCGACGTCTCCTGTTATGGCAGAGCCGAAGTCGCAAAGGACTGGCGCTCCCCATTGCTTCGGTAGGTTCAAGTTCCGAGAGATGTAAATTGAGCGATCGTCCAAGACCTTTCTAGGGCTCGGGTCCCGAAGCTCCAGTCCTTCGTACTTCTCAAAGACATCCTCGTCTCGAATGCCAAACATGATGTTGTCGGCCTTGATATCTGTGCAATTGTACGTGTGGTTAGTGCTTTTTCCCAGCAACCCAACACCCGGTTGACTGGTTGCTTACCTGCGTGTATCACATTACATTCGCTGTGCAGGAAGTCCAGTGCTAGGAACAGGCGTTTCAACGTAAATGCCAACACTGGCACGGGGAGCCTGCCGATCGGATCGCGGCCGAGAAAAGCCAGTACACTTTCCCACAGAGGCGGATGCACGAGACAGCGGTGCTGGCCATCTAGCACTTCAAGATCAAATGTGTCCAGCAATTGTCGTACAGCTTCGCGGCCAGGATGGGCATGAGAGCGTGCTTCGAGGCGTTTGTAGATGTTGATTTCGTCGTCCAAGTGTTTCCCGAGCGAAGAAGAGGTAATGAACAGCTTCAATACGACGTGTCGCTTGCCGCTGCAAAGCCGTCAGCTGGAGGTGACGCATTCGTTCGTGGGAAAATTTACCTCAGATCTCGCGCGAGCCATATCGTCGAAGAAGCACCATAGCCCAGCTTACCGACAATCTGGTAGCGATCCCGTAAGTCCTTACTAATATTAGTAGAGTAGTAGTAAGAGGATACGTAGTCTAGTAAAGTCTCTTCTTCGACCCTTTCTAAGAGAGCGATCTAGGGAAATACTTGTCTTAAGAAGTTAAGAGGCTTCTACTTCCGACTAATAGAAGTAAGTAATCGTAGGAATAATAAAGGGCTTATTATATCGTTTTAACGATATAGAGCGTAGAATAAAGCTCTTATAGAGTAGCGAGATTACTAAGATAGTAGAAGGATAAACAAATAAGTAGAACTAAGCTAAAACTAAGACTTCTAGAAGGAAACTAAGCTAAAACTAAGGCTTCTATAAGAAAACTAAGCTAAAACTAAGACTCCTAGAAGGAAACTAAGTAGAAACTAAGACTTCTAAGCGAAAACTAAGTAGAACTAAGACTTCTAGAAGGAAACTAAGCTAAAACTAAGGCTTCTAGAAGGAAACTAAGCGGAAACTAAGGCTTCTAAGCGAAAACTAAGTAGAAACTAAGACTTCTAAGCGAAAACTAAGCGGAAACTAAGACTTCTAGAAGGAAACTAAGCTAAAACTAAGGCTTCTATAAGAAAACTAAGCTAAAACTAAGGCTCCTAGAAGG